CCTTTCCGTCGAAGCCACAAACATTATGAGCGCAAAGGCTTCGGGACGCACGCACGTACACATGTACGCGCACCACTCTCACTCCCGGCCTGGCTTGCAGCAGGATGCGTGACGTCTCACGACGGCGTTCGTCACCGCCAAAACGCAGCAAAACATTTCGAGAGGATCCCACACTTGAGATGTTTGGGGGGGGGGGGGGGTTGGGGGGGCACCACAAATCTATGTTATCCACCAACCCTGGACTCCAGAGCACTGGATCACAAGTCAGATGTCTGTGAAATCCAATAAATTAAACAATGATTGTAAAATAATGGCCCTTTTACTTACTCCAAGCACAGATAAACTGGTTTCCAGAGCCATTATTAATTCTTATCATTGTTGGAAACGTCATCAACCACCCTTCTGCCTCAGGTCAAAAGGTCACCACAAACAATAACACAAATGCCACCACACGTCACCATCGCTTCCTTCCTTTTGCCAGATTCCACAACTTATTGTGCAGGTGACGTATGACCTGCAAGGGGTACGGCAGCATGGACATTTAATAATCGGCTCTGTACCTTTGATGGCTTAACTGAAAGCAAGGCCACAACTTTGATGACAACCGTTTGAATGTGTTATATAAAAAAAAAATGTCATGTAACACTTTGACTGAAAATAAACAGTTCTAAAAGTAGCAACCGCTTTTGGCTTCTTTCAAATAAGAGTGCACCTCCTGGCTTATACGTCACACTGTACGTGCTAGGAATCCATCTCGAGGTGCTTTTGTAACTTACCATTTAAGCATGTTTGCTTGGTCATGACGTCAAACGAAATGGGACCTTAATTAGAGCTTGAATTCTCAGGGGAATCTACTTCTAGAACCGCCCAAGGGCTGCGTGAATGACAACCTTTGAAGCAATCTCTTTTGGAGCTGGCTAAGAGCCAGCCAGGTCAAAAATCATAACAAACCACCACCCACTGGAGAGCTCAAGGATATTCACTCGTTCTGGACATTAAAAAACTTACACTGTGCTTGACTACATCATAAACAATCATGACGGTAGTACAAGTTGCCCTTGGAAGGGTAATATTAAAAATTTTACAGTTACACTTTAAAGTTTATATACATCTTTTAAAATGGCAACATGCCTATTTTGGATAATCAAATGCCATGTTTTAGATTCACGATTTCCCAGCTAACAAATATTACCAAAGTACGGATGCACAATAAATACTTATGTGACTGTACATACCAAGGGTTATTTAAAATATTATCCATAGTCAATCCACTGCTGGATAAAAGCCCCAAAAGTATGCCCACCATCTCACATGCTCCTGCGATGTAACAACCCACTGAGCGCCTGCAGACAAGCTGATTCTATCAATATAAATTTTAAGAAATAAAAACCCCGTCATTGTCGAATGAATGCCAATTTTACTTTTTGAATTGACCAACAGCGCTTCTTCAAATATCACATGACCTTTCCACCAAACGACGTCTTTCTGTTTAGCAAGAGAAAGTAAATGGATTTTAAATGAAGTTATTAAAGGTGGAACGATTCAACGCCTCCCCTCCACCTCAATTTGATGAATTGTTTCGAATTCAGGGTCGCAATTCCGATTCAAGAATCAATTCTATTTTTAACATTGTGCCGAATGAATGTAGTGGCCGCTAGGTTATGAGAACCCACTGTACAGAGCGTATACATACAAATGTAACCAAATTCAATGTTACATGTCTGATTTGAAGAATGTATCATTGAGCTCAGGAAGTGACATTCATCTGCGAGTCATTTATTTCCAGGAATAATGTTAATAACCCAAGTGTATGACATTGGCCGGCACATAGTGCTGAGCCCATGTACACAGACACATATACAAAGAGACCTCCAACTACCACTTGAGTAAAATACAACCCGGACTTGACTCAAAACCTGATTTTTCTTCACAAACACATTTTCCCACATTCAAATGCTCTTCACTCGCCTGCGATACTTACTAATGTTAACAATCCCATTTCGATTGACAGTGCACACATATCCTCACTTTTTTATTGGACAGTGGCACTCACAAATTAAGGTACGGTAACTGTAGAAGTAAAAGGGGTAAATAAATCATGCTCGCAGCACTGGCCAGAGCATAAAAAAATTGTCTGCATTCATACAAGGCCGCTTTCATGTGCAGGCATTTTCCCACAAGACCTAGGGTTCACACGGGGTCTTAAACAAGGCCAAATATCACACCAAATGCAAATACCATGCAATTACTCTACACTTCCAATTACTGTAACCTTGAAATAATGTGTTAAATTGTGGAAAGGAGATGTGGTCAGATTCGGAAAAGCTTTTATATTGCACCGAGCAAACTGCACGCGTTGACGCATGTTTCGGTCAATTAAATCGGCGAAAAACGAGCAACTCCCTCGTCGAGTTGCAAGCTACCAGCCACATACATCACTTAAGACCATGGCACCGCAGCCACATGCACGTACACGCCGCAACAACAACACCAGCACATGCTGCTCCCTGCTGCAGAAGCCCTCATCCCACCACGATCTCAACCACGTCATTCCTTCAGTGATGGCCGCTACTCCAGACTCCTTTAAGAATTACATCCCTTCTTCAGCCGTACCAGGTCACTGTCCAACGATTGAGTACTTCACAAAGGACATTTGGGAAACTGTTATTGAGTCCTTAAACTCGCACACTTGTTTTCAAGGTCCATTTGATGCACACGCAAGGGCGTACTGACAGAAAATGTTGTTGTAACAATACAGAAAATAATACCATCTGTTATAACACTGGCACGTACACAATGCACTGGTATACAATATGGCTCTCAAAAGCCACCAACCCGCATTAGGTGCAATCGAAATAAGTCACCAGGTCAATTAAGGCGGCGAATCGACCGCCACTGCTACTCTTGCTATACAGCCCTTCAAATAAATCGGGAGACCTTTCATATGTGAGCATGAGGCTTCTTGGCCCCATGTCTAACGGTAGACAGAAGCTTACGTCTGCATGCTTTGTAGATGACGGCATTTGTTTAACAAGCTAAAGTGATGAGTGGTTGTGGTGGTGATGAGGTTCAGGTGTGCTATGGTGTTGGTGCAACGTGATATGTTGTGATGGTTGAATTGCGGTTGGCAGCACTGTTATCGAATATAAAACAAAGAAAATAACACGGTATTTGTTCAAACATGCAATATATCTGAGCTGTGAAAAATCATAGTAGGTAAATGCATGTTTTTTTATGACTGGAAATTGGGGGATAGGTTAATACATCACACAGCTGATGATTGCTCCAAATATACCTTTAAATACACCTGTTATGAAAACATTGCCAGCTACATGTGCTATTCTACCGACTAAACATGCTACTGGCAAAAGACCGTCTTCCACTGCAAATAACCAACTTCCTCCCTTGTCATTGTCACACGCCTCAGAAAATAAACAAGTGAGCACTTGGACGATGAGCATTTCTGCAAGCTCATCACAGGCATACAGCAGCCTCGCACAACACTGACAGCCGCGTTTTGCTGCACTGCCCAGCAGACTACAGTCTGATGGGCAAGCCACTGCAGAAATCCACGCTGCTTTCAAGATTTAAAAGCACTGTGACCAGAAGGATCATAGTAAGAGGACAATGGTGAATCTTGGGACCCTTCTGCGTGCCAATCTGCTGTGGCAGAGAGCGTTACAGCTTCCAGGCCCTGCTGATATATTCCATTGTTCCAGCGCTAAGCGGACCATACCACCGCCCTTACGCTACACAACGGGGTAAACACCCGCAAGCGCACGACAATCATAATCATGGGCTTTATTTACCCAGATACAAGCCACAATGGGGCGCGACACCCACAACTCCGCACAGATGGATTCGATCCACTGCTGTACTGATATATCGTGCCCACCTCGCAGCCCTTAACAGAACCCGCAGCCAAGACCCATTACAGAGCGCGGCAAACGACGCTCGCGTCAACGCAACCTGGCTGAGCGCGCTTGTCACGGTAAGACCCCGGAAAGGGGGAGTCCCCCTCCACACACGTTCTGGGCCGAAGACCGAGGGAGGAGTGGGGCCCCAACGACCGTTGCGCGCGTTTGCGGCACTATAACGGCCACGACCCTATAACGGCCACGACCCTCCACGACCCTATAACGGCCACGACCCTATAACGGCTACGACCCTATAACGGTCACGACCCTATAACGGCCACGACCCTATAACGGCCACCGAACTCCTCCTGGAGGCCCCGCGCGGGTGACATCGCCGTGACCAAATCCAACCGCCAAACAACGCGTACACAAGGCCCCCAAGGCCACCGCGACCCCGGGGAACGCTGAGGCTCCGCTACGGGAATCAGGGGCAATGGGTTCTGGGTGTGAGGTCCGGGTTCCAGAGACACCGAGTTGATTTTATTCGTGAGACGAATGACCCCGTTTGGCCAGTTGTCCGGATATTTTGACAAGGGAGATCCGTGCTTCGGAAGCACAGCAATAACATAAGAGGTTGGGGGGGGGGGTCTGTGGACCTTGGGTGCCAGGGTGTGCGGTAGGGAGACAGCTATCTGGGATCGATGATCTGAGGTCCGTTATCTAGAGCCGAGGAACCGACGGTAGCAGACGCGGGGAACGAACTGCGGGGTTCAGAGGCAGAGGAAACGCGAGTCTGGGTCAAGGGACGCAGGTGATCAACATCTGGGCTTCCATGGACCTAACGCTACGGACAGGGTTCTGGAGACCGGGGTTCGGCGTCCCGGGACCAATTTAAGAGAGGGGTGTCGGGGCCACGGTCCCGGGGTCACGGGGCCCTAGTCTCACCCCCGCACCGCTCCGGATGTCACGCAGCAGCAGCAAGGGGCGGACAGGGGCCGCGGAGCGCTCCGCAGTCAGATTGCGCGTAATCGCCCTCACCCCCCGGCCACGCACCGCGAGATGGAGCCCTGCGGCCACGCGGGGAGGGTCGCCGCGGGGTCCCCTTCGGGCCCCCGCTGTCCCCCGCGTGGTGCCTCCGCTTACCGCGCTCCCCTCACGGAATCGCCGAGACGAGGCCCCGGGCCGCGGCCGCCATCTTGCAGAAGAGGCCTCTCGGGGGGCGTCACTGCGCATGCGCGCCGGGGGCGGGCCTCGCGCCGCATGCGCGCTTCCCATTGGCGGCGCTGCCCCGCGCCCCTCGGCCAATAGTGCAAGCGCAAAGGTTAAGTGGGCGTGGAGGAGGAGGTGTGGAGTAGAGGGGTGGTGAAAGGGGGCCAGGAAGAGAGGGGAGGGTGAGATGGGCGGGTGTGAGGGAGAGGGGGTAGGAGGCGGGGCTCGCCCCGCATGCGAGCTTCCCATTGGCGGGCGCGGGCCCGCGGTTCTCCGCCAATAGTGAACGGGGAAAGGTCTGGTGGGCGTGTCGAGGGGGGGGTCCCAGGACAACCGACCGAGCTCATGCAGAGCGGGCCCTAGGCCCTGGGTCCCGGCCCGAACCGAGGCGTGAGCCGGTGACGAGCCGGTCCAAAACCCGGCAGTGGTGCCACCGGAGACGCGTGCGACTCCGCTCTCGCGCAGAGCTGCGCGCAAGTGGAGGAAGTGGAGGTCTCTTCCGCAAGATAAACATTGTCGAACCACCACCATCATCATTCTGCGCCATGTGGCCTCAGTCCCCGCTGCTCGTGGGCCTCCTGGGTGTGGAAGGGGCCCTGCTGGGCCTGATGACGCCGCTCGTGGATTCCGCGGGGCCCCTCGGCTCGTGGCTACTGCTATTGGTCTCGCTCGTCGTGGTGCTGTCCCTCGCCTCTCCGGTGTGGACGTTGCTCACCTCTTGGTGTCTCCACGTCGCCCTGCTGACCCGGCTCACGTGGCTCGTCATCCCGTGGCCCCTGGTGCTGGTGCCGGTGGGTGCCTTGCTGGGGCTGGTGGCCCTGGTGGCGCTGCTGGCCTTCGTGGTGACCCGCCGCCACGACCACCACCACCAGAATGGCCCTGTGGGCCCCGCACTGCTGCTGGTGACAGCGCATCCAGATGACGAGTGCCTGTTCTTCTCGCCGGCGATACAGCGGCTGCGACACTCCAGCAGAGCCGCGCACCTCCTCTGCCTCTCCACGGGTGAGCAATCTCTCTGCCCCGACTGGTCATGATCTATGCACTGCTGGATGAAGGTCTCCCCTTTGCGGACGTCATCTTGCAAGTCACTCTTTAACCTCCTCCTGCGCGCGAGGCGATAGTATCGCTGCGTCTACCCTGCAGTAGAGCCTCGCTGACCACATGTTGGGGACCGCTGCTCTCGGCGCATTGGCACTGCTCCGTTCGGTTTTACAAAAGCACTGCAAATCCGCCGTCATCTGCCTCTTCGTCCCTTCATGTTGATCCCGGCCCACCGTCAACAGCTGGAGCTGTAGGCGATGCTGTGTGAGTGGCGGCAGGGTGCTTGCCATTGTTGCTTGTGGTGGTGGTGGTGATGATGGTGGTGATGATGTCCAACAGGAAACTTTTACAACCAGGGAAACCTACGCGAGAAGGAGCTGCGAGAGAGCTGCAGGGTCCTGGGCATTCCAAACTCCCGCGTCACGCTCGTGGACCGCAGGTAACCCCCACTCCACGTACCCACACTCACCTCGCCACCACTGCATCATCGTCATACAACACGGATATCCTGACCAACATACGTAAAGATGGACCCAATTTCAAAGATACAGCGATTTCAATGCGGGTCCGCTTACCACATGGCACGATCACCAACCACGTGATCAGACGACACATTTACCCTCCTCACACCATCATACGCGTCACCCACCTCGCTGCATTACCGCCGTATGTCATATACGAACATTGTGTTGTTTGTCCTAACCCCCACACCTACGATTAACATACATACGTTATGCCATATACTACACATCCTTACACACCACACCCTTACCACCACCATCTCACAATCATATACCACAAATACAGCTCACCTCTCACCACTTCATCATAATAACCTAAGGCCGTAATTAGAATATATATTGGGTGGGACACATCCCCACCAATATTCAAATATGCTCAAAATGCCCCCCCCCCCCAATATATTGCTATAAAATAGATTTGTTTATATTCTTGTGGTTGTACTTTATTACATACAATGAAACAAGAAAAGGTAAAAAAGAAAAAACAGAGCAATGTAATACAATACACTATTAGACAATATTGTAAAAAAAAAAAAACCTCCATCCTATGTGTTAGTGAATTTTTTAATATTTTAGAAAGGAAATTCGTTTTCAAATTTAGATTTTTTTTTCTGGGGGGGGACCCCAGACCCCCTGGAAGATTTGGTCCCCCCCAATGTTGACTCCATGGCTACGGCCTTGTAATAACCCATAGATACCAACTTACCTCGCATCCACTATGCCGCAGATACCCACTCACCTCAGTTGCACCACCCTCACCACACCATCACTTGGATAACCTCACCTTGCCACTTCAATACACCATCAAATACCACAGAAATGTACACACTTCACCACACCATGGTATACCACAGATACTCTTCGCCACCACCATCACACCATCAGATACAGCGATACCGTCACCACACCACCATAACTCGCAGGTGCCCACAAAAGGAATAGTAACTCCTCTCTCTTGTTGCAGCTTGAGAACACGATGTCAAATGTAGGTTCTGTGTGAAGCTAAATGGTTTTTTTTCCTGCCGTGTGCTGTTTAATGTTAAACGGTGCACAATGAGTACGCGTATGCATTGCTTCGTGGCGTTGTGTTTAGCGAGCTGCCGGACGATCCACAGGTGACCTGGGACAGTAGCCTGGTGGCTGACATCATACTGCAGCATGTGGAGAAGCACAAAATCGGCTTGGTGAGTCGGCAAGTTTTCGCTCTCCACGATTCTCGATCCGAATCTGTAAGATGCAACAGTTTTCGATATCAGCGGTGCACGTTTTTTGTTTGTTTGTCAATGTCGCCGTCCAGCTGAGATTTGGTTGTAGACAGTAATTCCTGCTAGGGCCATGGAACATGGTGCAGAAAGCGTTTCAGGAACCCAGTGCTCGAAATATAATTACTAATGTAATTTAGCCATTATGCCAGCCCAGCAAACGTAACGTGTCCCTACCGGGGGGTGGAGCGTGACCGGGCAGGTGCTGACGTTTGACGCGGAAGGAGTGAGTGGACATGCCAACCACGTCTCCGTTTACCACGCACTCAGGTGAATCCCACCGTCTCCCGCTCACCAAGGCCTCGCACCACCTCGTACCGAGCCACAAACATTGTCAGTGTCACAGTTTACAAGATAGGATGCTTGAGCAGAATGCAAAAAATCCATTCACCATCATTGGGGCCGATCTATCCACTGCTGGATGAAGGACTTCCCCCCTACATGAATATCATACCTCGTGGTCTTGCGATACTAAAATCCGTCCCGCTTTTGCACACAAGCTGACCTCGTCAGTTTTACACAGATTTTTCTTCCAGGCTAATGGGGCGAATGAGACAAAACAGTGGAAAAAGACAGTACAGACAAGAAAGTAATGCTAATAAAAAAAAGTCCAAAACAATCATTGCAAACCTTTACTCCAACAGTAAAGACGAGACAGTATGCACTAAGACCTAATCAATTTAACACGTAGGCTTCGCGACCAATATCATCCATAATCCAGGTTTTTTTGGGTTCGATCGCGTAAATATATCAGTGTCGTTAAACCCGCCACCACCCGACACAGCCAATTAGTAAGGTTTGTCACGTAAACAAAACATGCCAATTCGTTACTAGTACAGCACACTGGTGTGTTGAAGAGCAAAGCCACAACATTTAAATCTGAGTATGACGTTTCGCCAGTAATTACAACTGAGATTCCCCCCCCCCACTTCGCGCAAGAAGGGCACACAAGTGACGTCATCACATCTCTCCCTCTATTCAAGGAACGAAAAGGGAAGATTTCTCCACAAATATGGCTGTTGCATGCTTAAGATAGTTGTCATTACTGGCGAAACGTCATACTCAGATTGTAAATGTTGTGGATTTGCTCTTCAACACACCGATATACTGTACTAGTAACGCACTGGCATGTTCTGTTTATGTGACAAACGTTACTAATTGGCTGTCGGGTGGTGGCGAGCTTAACGACACTTTTATATATTTACGCGATCTAACCCTAAAATCCCGTATTATGGACCTAATCGATTGTTTGTGCTTCCTGGAATGGTGACAATTCACCAAAGTGCAGAGACGGTGAACCATTACACGCCTGGAGTTTGCCTTCTGAATCGCTGCATTGGTTTGTGATGTTGCCGGCATTATAAATAGAAGTTAAACTCGAGTTGACATCAAGTGAACGTGGTTGACAAGTTCATGATTACAAGGCGAAGTACTGAAATAAACTGGCCTTTCGTTTTTTTAGGAATCTGCAGTCTCAGAAGAGACTCCCTTCAGGTAAATGATTTTAAACACCACGTGCACATTTCAGTCTTGGGCGTCTAATCTTCACAATCCAGGTGTCTCACGATCTCCGTCTTAATGATCTCCATCGGACCGTACACCCGCAGGCTGCCGCACACTGTACCTGCAGAGCGTCTCACTGCTGAGGAAGTATGTCTCCATCATGGACCTGCCCCTCAGCTTGCTGCGGTCACAGGCGCTCGTTTGTCTCGCTTCTCTGGACGAGTACGAGATGGGCCTGGTAAGTAGCCGGCCCTGCTTTTCCACCGCAACTGTACTTAGTTTTACCTGCGCGGCAATTTCACTAAATGCCTGTGTGACGGACGAATAAACAAGCGGAGCCTATACCGGTAGCGATATCCCGTTTTAAGGGTCCGTCAGATTAACATTCTTGGCTGATTTTCTGCACGGAAGGTAAAAAAAAGAAAAATTAACGTACGAGTCATTTTAGTTTAGAACAATGACAACCACTGACAGGTGCCATAAAAAAATTTCTGTCGTCGTCTTTTGTAATATTTCTAGCCATTTCCGATTAAAGTACTTTCACATTAATGCACAAAAATACAGGGTCCCCACAGCATATGATGTAATAAGATTTTACTGTATAATGAAATGGCCAACTTGCGTGAGACGGCTTGTGTGACTGTTTGCGCAATCGAAGTGCACCCCGTGCAATAGTGCGGTCATCATGCGGGTGCCGTCAGCTTCACGATGCCACTCGCTTGTGTTGCAGCAGGCGATGAGATGCCATCGCAGCCAGCTGGTGTGGTTTCGCTGGCTCTACATCCTCTTCTCTCGGTACATGCTCATCAACACCTTCTCCGAAGATGGTTCGTGAACTCCGATACAAGTTACGCCCCCAAATCTAAGAGAAATAGGATCTATAATTATGGTGGGGCAATTGGATTACAAGGTGGTGACAGGTGAAATGCAGTGAAAAATCTAAATTTTATTTTCCAGCCATTCATATTGGAAAGTATTAGCCTTTGGCGAGTGTCTGGCGAATGTCTTCGCAGTATAACATAGTTGGGTCCTGCCACTGCTGCTGCGGTATTAAAATAATTGCCTGAGTGCCGCACACAGACAAGCCACGACCTGCCAGCAGATCACACTAGTCTTCCAATCACTGTCAGACGACTTAAAACATTGCACTTGAGGTCAGAAAACTTGTAGAACAAGGTTTTCAATTGTTTAATTTTGTAATGTAATTAGTGTTGGCACTGAAAGCCGACGTTGCAAGAGAAACATAACTCATTTTCTGTAACCATCATTGCGTGTAATATATAACCACACATAAAACCATATTTGACATTTTTGCAAAAGGGGCCAAGGCAAGTGGAATGACAAGTTGTGAGACATTTGATATTTAAAATTGTTGCCTTTTATGCACTGAATGCTCAGAACTACATCCAAAGACATAGCAGTATGCAAGACAGTGACTGGGGGCACTTAATAATAATAATTTGCACTTATTAGGTGCCTTTCACAAAAAAGTCTGAAGGTGCCGTGTATGAAAGGAAGAAATGTTTTAAAGAGAGAACTGGGTTGGCAGAATTATAGCCAGAGGACCAAAACTGTGGAAAACTTTTTTTTTAAACGTAAAGCTTTTGAGTCGTGATTTAGAGATGCCAAAACACATCGAGAGCCTCATCCCCATGGTAGGGAGTTCCACGACTGGGGGTGCACCACCGTAACCGCCCGACCACCCGAAGAGCATTACCAAGATCGAGGTATGCGTAAGCAGCATAGCCCCCATACCCTTGTGTGAATGTCGTCACACCTCGGGATCTGTACAGCTGATCATTCACTCCTGGGACCTGCGACGGATGTCTTCGTGCTCAGCCATGGACTTCTCCCACTCCTGCCCATCGAATACCTCCACGGAGACACTGTCTACCGTTCCAGGTTCCAGACAGTGGGGCATCACACCTGCCAAACACAAGTGGAAACGCCTTTGGGTTCCTCATGCACGCCGCTGCCTCTTATGCCGCGTTCCCATGACCAGTGGCAAATAGACTCCTTAGCCCAGGAGTAGTCTACGGCCGTTCGTGCACGGCTGGGATCTTGTCGCCTCACGCTCTGTCATCCATGTGGCTCCATGAGTTCAGGCCCTATTCCCCCTCAGTAACCTTTGTGGTCAGAGGGAAGCAATTTTAAACTTGAATGCAGGTTTGGATTAGGTTAGGCTATCCCAAGCTAAAATGTACATTTCTTATTTTCAGCCCCTCTGTTATTAAAATAAAAACACAGTCCTCGAGTTGAGCCAAAGTGAAGCGACAACATTGCCTGCTCTTCCCTCTACCGTGTCGACCCCATGATGTCATAAGTCCCAAAAGTAGCCAGAATAATAGCACCCACCACGCTCTACAAAAACACAGCACAGTTTTAACCAGCTCGATGCCGAATTGGCCGGTGAGGCTGCTGTGGGAAGCTCGGCTGAGGTCACCTGCTCCCCGGCTCGCAAACTGGGCCATCTCACTTTACAGTGGCTGAAGGAAGGCGGCATCGGTGCTTCGCGGATAAAACCGCAGGTTCCCCAGGCACAGCGACAGGTGACACCTCATGCCCTCTTACCAAAGCCGTCCGGGTTGGAGCGGGGCGTGTAGAAGCTCTGCACCCCGCACGTCTTGCAGAAGGTGTGCTTCGCTGCGTGCGTGTTGAATGTGTACGTTGTGAGGTTCTCGGCTCCCTGTTGTAAAAAAAACAGAGCAGCGGCGATTTACAAGTCATTTGTCAGTGTGGTGAAAGTGGGAGTCAATTTGCAAGCGGAGCAATATCATTAGAAATGTAATGACCTCCCCTCTTTCATTAATGCAGTTAATTGTACCCATCCGCAGTAATAATGACATTAATAAAAAAATCACATTCCTATCCTGTTTGTGTTTCTGTCGAAATACGTTTCTATGCATGCGAGTGTAAAGATAATCTCAGTGCACCGGTGTGTTGGAGAACCAAGCCACAACATTTACAATCTTAGGACTGTGGCTTGGGTCTCCAACACACCGGTGGTGTTGTATTAGTAATGAATTGGCATGTTCTGTTTACCTGACGAACCTTACTAAGGAGCCGTCCATAAATGACGTCACGCGATTTTGGACGATTTTTGACCCCCCCTCCCCCCATTCGTCACGGTGTCACAAAAAGTCAGACCCCCCCCCCCCCTCAAATATGACGTCACGAAGCTCTGCCCCCCCCCCCAAAAAGTGCTTCAAATCGCTTTAAATTATTGTCATTGTAGTGCGTATTTAATGTGGCGCTGCACTCTGATGTAAGAGAAAACATTTATTGAAAAGTCTAATTAAGTAGAACGTGTCTATATTTAAAGTTGCACATTTTGATGCGACGTCACATTTCTCACCCCCCCCCCCCTCGTCACACATCGTCACAAATGTCTGACCCCCCCCCGGTGTGACGTCATTTATAGACGGCCCCTAATTGGTTTGGTCGGGTGGTGGCGGGTTTAACGACACATTTATATCGCGAAAGCCTACGTGTTGAACCTTTGTTTATTTTCTCAGCCGTTTGGCTGCATTTTGGCTTGGGGGGTCATTTTTCGGTCATTGCACAATGACGAGGCCGCTTTTAAAATGTTCTTTTTTTCGTAAGCCGAGAGGTTTGTGCACGGCCTATTCGGACGCACCGGGCCCGCGCGCTGTCGCATGCAAAATTTCCAAACGTCTTCGTTATACTGGTAGGAACGAAGTTGTAAACTGAGTGTACCAGCCTGCAATAGATTAATGTGTCCGTCCGTCCGTCTGTCCCCTTTCAATACTTTAATGAAGTGAAATCTCGTGCTGTTGGGTGTAAAATCAGCAATAGACAGCGCAGACTTGATATGTCTTATTGCACCCAACATTTGGAAGTCACATTATCTCATTTGCGAACTTCGCTTTTGGGGATGTGGCAAAATCACACACAGCCCACAGCCGAATACCATTTGCGAGGCGAAGTTCGAAGGCACCGTGACGTTACTTTGCCAATGTTCCTACCAGCCCACCCTGCAGGGACCTGTTCTCGTGACATCGCCGGTATTCCACCGCTAATTTAACTTGGAGACGAAGAAGGAGGCGGAAAAAAAAGACGCAAGGAATTGCAATTGACGTCGGTACCTGCCAAAACTGACAAGGGTTTTGCGGCGCAGCGATGTTTTGTAAGTCAACGTTAAGTGTGTGAAACGCACGCACCTTCAGCAACTTGAATCGCGACGCTGGGACAACGAAGTGCCTGTTTTGCTTCTTTGTACAAATGCTGCACCTGCACGGTGATGAGAGTCCACCGGCGTCGCTGGTGAATTCGCCGTGCGGTGATCGCGCGCGCGCACGATTCGTCCGAAACACAAACTCAAAAGATACGCATTGGCCAACAATTCGCGCATTGAATTTCGTTTTAAAGCTTTTCGTGACTGCAGGGATTCATTTTTCTTGGTTCTTTCGGTAAAGCCACGTAGAAGGGAAATATTAAAATAAAACGATAACATTCTCACGAGTCACGTTTCCATTGCAACACAAGCAATCATCATCAGGTGTGAAAACCACTGCAAGAACATTTTTTGAAAAAAGTGACGTTTTTTTTAAAACAAATTCTTGCTGTGGTTTTCGCACCTGATGATGATTGCTTGTGTTGCAATCGAAACGTCGTAAGAATGTTATGATTTCCCTTCTACGTGACTTTACCGAAATAACCAACAATATTTGTGCAACGTGCACGGCACGCGGCTTTCCCGTGCATAACGTTGTTTTAAAGTCGTCCGGCGGGAAGATCTCGAATAAACACGGAGAGACGCATGCCTGGAATTTCACTAAACGGGGGAATACATGGATCGGCGAGTAACAACGATTTCATTTAAGACAATTGTTATAACAAGTTGACTTGAGCAATAATGTATTGTTCTGTGCATACACCGAGGTCTTACATTTGTTATACGTGCAACGCATGTGTTTGCACACAATGTTACTTTACGCATGGAACCCTGTCTTGTAGACCGGGTGCTCTGTCCTCTTACCAAAGAGCTGCTGAATGTTTACACTCCCAGAAGGCCGCGTGGCTGATGGAATGTGTCAAAAGTAACTTTTTTTTCCCATGTGGGAGGGACAGATATGGGAAGACGTTGCCCGCTTATCGATTCCGTTTCCTACATTCCCCACGAAAAGCAAACGCTTATTTTTGTACTTCGTAAAACCTTTCCCCCGCCGTGGACTCGGGGCTCGTGGGGGGCCGCCTCACGCCGTGGACTCGGGGCTCGTGGGGGGCCTCCTCACGCCGTGGACTCGCGGGGGGCCTCCTCACGCCGTGGACTCGTGGGGGGCCTCCTCACGCCGTGGACTAGCGGGGGTTCGCGGGGGGCCTCCTCACGCCGTGGACTCGGGGCTCGCGGGGGGCCTCCTCACGCCGTGGACTCGCGGGGGGCCTCCTCACGCCGTGGACTCGCGGGGGGCCTCCTCACGCTGTGGACTCGGGGCTCGCGGGGGGCCTCCTCACGCCGTGGACTAGCGGGGTTCGCGGGGGGCCTCCTCACGCCGTGGACTAGCGGGGTTCGCGGGGGGCCTCCTCACGCCGTGGACTAGCGGGGTTCGCGGGGGGCCTCCTCACGCCGTGGACTAGCGGGGTTCGCGGGGGGCCTCCTCACGCCGTGGACTGGCGGGGTTCGCGGGGGGCCTCCTCACGCCGTGGACTGGCGGGGTTCGCGGGGGGCCTCCTCACGCCGTGGACTAGCGGGGTTCGCGGGGGGCCTCCTCACACCGTGGACTAGCGGGGTTCGCGGGGGGCCTCCTCACGTGCAGTCGAGGACGCGGAGGTGCGCAGGCGCCCACACGAGGAAGCGCACAGCGCCGCAGTGGCAGCCGCCCTCGTGGCGCCGCAGCAGGCCGGCACCCTGCTCCTCCATGCGGGGCACACGGTGGAGGAGGTGGAGGAGGAGGAGGAAGGGGGTCGTCCTTCCCCGCCGCACCGAGGCTCTGCGATGGGTGCGCGCCGCGGTCCTTCAACTCCCCACTCCGCGTGCGGAATACAAATTCGCCAGCGATTCGATTCCGAGGTCGCGTTGCTGTCGCGATTCGATTCGTTGTCACGACGCGATTCCGATGTCCCAAACAGAGGCGTTTTTTGGGTTAGATCGCGTCAAGAGATGCGTGTGTCGTTAAACCCGCCACCACCCGACACTGCCAATTAGTAAGGTTTGTCACGTAAACAGACCATGCCGATTCGTTACTAGTACAGCACACCGGTGTGTTTCAGAGCAAATTAACAACATTTACAATCTGGGGACCCTGACGTCTCGCCTGTAATTGCAACCGGCATCGTCAGGCGCACAGCCAGAGTTGTGGAGAGCTCCTCGATTCTAGATTTAAAGCTTTCGTGACTGCAAGGATCCATACTCTTTGGTTCTATTCGGTAAAGTCACGTAGGTAAATATAAAATAAATAACTCCTCGATTGTCACGTGGGCGGTGGGGGTGTGAATTGGGTTTCTGTCAACGATTCGATTCGTCACCAAGATGCGATTCTCAATGTCGGTTGTGCCGATTGTCACGTGGGCGGGGTTCTTCTCAACGATTCGATTCGTCGTCAAGATGCGATTCTTTATTCAGGTCGTGCAAATTGTTACGTTGGCGGGGTTCAATCCTCGCCGGTTTTTTTTACAGCAACTCCGCCTCACCACGGAGATTCTGCCGGGGATTCGATTAGTTATGAAAACATTTAGGCGTCACGACTCGACTCTCATTTTCGTCGCAAGCATCGACGCAATTTAGGGATTCACAAGGCGGATGAGCGATTCGATCGCTGGTGGCTTCGTGGCGGAATACGCGCCTCGAGCGGCTGGCGGGGGGTTAACGCGACCCAGCCGAGTGCGGCGCTTGCTTCAAATAGAACTCGAAATGCGACCGACGCGCGCGATTCGAGTTAATGTAGACAGTGAATCGACTCCGGAATCGACCGTACCCGGACCCGCCCCTGCGGCAGCGCGGTCACGTGGGGGACTCCAGAAAGGGGGGGGGGGGAGACGCAGATACGTGACGTCATCGCGAATGTTGTGACGTGACGTCACTGCCGCATCTTGGGACGTCGCGTTCACCGTTGACGCCTTTAAAGCGCCCGAACCAAGCGAATTGACGTCACGTGACGTCCGCAGATGCCGTCGCTAATCAACACTCCCGGTTGCTATGCGCAGCAGCTGCCGGTGTTGCCATGGCGACGCGGCCTTCGCTTGCCAAGGCGCGACCGATGATGATTGCTTGTGGTGCAATCGAAACTTCGTGATTCATTTTTACTTTATACCTACGTGACTTTACCGAAAGAATCTAGAAAAATGTGATACTCCGACTGATGCTCCTGTTGTTTGTGGAGTGACTCATGCAGCCAGCTATGGCTGCAGGGTTTGGTGTTACATGTTATTTACGTAGTTTATTGTTAAAAATTCGGTCACAGTTCCCATGATCACTGTTACATTGCATTTATGGCTTTATTTTGGTGATTTCGAAAACGTTTTTTGGTTTGGCCATGTTTTTGTTTATTGTAGTACCGAGTTAGATTGATGGCCTTAATCTTAGTTTTGTTGTTTGACTTGCATCCCACTGGGATTTTTGCACACAGCATTGGTGATGTACGGTGCTATTTCAGGAATATTTTGATGTTTTTTCCTGGATTTTCTGTTTGCACAGTCACACACTCACTTTAAGATGTTTTCTTGGCAATGTTTTTTTGTTTGTTGCGGTTGCACCCGATTCAAGAGCCGAATGGCTCACAGGGCTATACCAAATAAATGAAAACTATGTTCTTGCTGCTGCAGACCACGAAAGAGATTATCGCTCTCCATTCTACGTTTTGACAACGACCAAGACAGTGAGTCGCTACCCAGCAGCGCGGCCAACACCGACACACAGAAAACTCCTTTAACTAACAAAAAAAATAACACCACCACCACCTGTTCACCACAATGATAATCATCGTCGTCATCTGTACACCACCACCACCTTGCCCTGGAGCCCACACGATCGAGGCGATTCTCAGTTCATTCTAGATTTTGAAGTTTTCGTGACTGCACGGTAAAGTCACGTATAAAATATAAAATAAATTAAATCACGACGTTTCGATTGCAACACAAGCAATCATGTGGGAAAAGCACAGCAAGAAATGTTTAGCAAAAAATTGTTTTCTTGCTGTAGTTTTCACACCTGATGACGATTGCTTGTGTTGCAATCGAAACGTCGTGATTTAATTTATTTTAGATTTTATTCGTGACTTTACCGAACGAACCAAAGAACAAGGTTTATTCGGGCGAACGATGGAGGTGGGGGGGGTCATATAAGTACGGTACAACAATAGATGTTACTGCACTGCGCTCTGCTGACCAACACGTAGCCCTGCATTGGACTTAAACAGCAATTACATTGTTATGCGATTTATTGAATACAGCAGACAAGCAGAGAGTAATAAAGTGCAGCTCAGGAACGTGGAATTTCCACCACTGGTTAATAGTTGACAGCGGAGAGAAGCGCCAACCCCCCTTCTCTATGCTAGGACATCTTTTTTTGAGGAAGGGGGTGTATAAAAACCCATACCTGTCAACCCATATAGTTTACCCGTATTCTTGCAAGGGAAATTGAGTTTCCAGGTCCATATTGCGTACAGCCGTTTCAATACGGGGAAAAAAAAACAACACTTTTGTTGTCTATTTGTGTTTCTCCCTTGTGATGAGACTTTGTAGGATGAACGTTCGCATTTATAAGGGCACGGGGTGACCAATATGGTCTGAATTGGTATGTAATAAGGTAGGGCACTGATAAGGGGTTGACAGGTATGAAAACTTCGCTTTTTGGACAGTTGCCAAACTGACCTCAGCCAAATATATGACGCAACTACTCGGCATGCAGCGTACGTAGCCAACCGTGCTCGTCGGAGGAAAGACAAAAAAAACTACCTGCATGAATATACACAGCACTCGCCCACGTGTTTAGTTGTTCTCAGTCTGAACCTTGGTCAGCCACAACCTCATTGAGAAACGCGTCTATGGTGTTGTCAGCATTGGGCTCATTGGTGTGCCAACGGTTGTTCATCATTCCACACCTCACTTCCGAGGCTTCGATTTCTCGCCAAATATTTTCCAGGTCTCAGCAAGACCGGGAGGTGGTAAGGGACTAGTTGCCCAGCCATAGCGAGAACTACGGTATGTGTCGGCTGTCAGAAGTATTTGAAGGGTTTCCAATCCGGCCGGACAAATCCGGCTAAAATTATGCCCCTACTAAAAAAACTCTGGCGACAGCTACTGCTCGTTTTCTTTTGCGAGTGTTTCCAAGTCGGCCAAGTTGCTGAGCGGCGCTGGCGGCTTGGGCTTGCGACATCTCAGGCACAATATTATGGAGCCCCCCACTATGAGCACGGAGAAGAAGATGAGGACTCCAGTCACTGCCTTCAGGGTCTCTTCACGAAGGATTTTTTTAGCTGTAAAAACAAACCAGAGATTGTGCCATTCATTACACAGCGTACATATTTTACATTCGCTTATCAGCCGCTTGCGCGTATGCGGGTGACGGCAAGTAGAGCATTTACAAAGGTTCTCGGATACTTATCACTTCGTCTGGCAGATCTATAACACTTGGATTATGCAACAAAAAATAATCACCATATCTAACAGAGGGTCCTTGCCATTGAATATTTGCCAGTTTACCAGCATTAGCTCAAGCAAGCCCAACTACGATTGAGACACCGACTGTCAAAACCAGTCCAAAGTTTGGCTTGTGTAGAACCAATGCTGCCGACATGCACTCCCAAAAGGCCATACAGCTGATGGAATGTGCAAATTACATACAGATTTTGTATAGAAGGGACATATGCAAAGGGTGTTAGTTATCTGCTTATTTATTCTGATACATTGTGTAGGAGGTTAGGAATGTACTCAATGACCACCCAGCAATAATTTAAAGGTTTTGGTGATACATATTATGATACGTCAAAACAGGCAAGAACGCTCTACAGACTGCACTGCAAGGATGGAACCCTACTACTGACCGGTGCGGACTTTTAAGGTCACTGGCTGGCTCCTGAACCCAGGTAGAACACAAATGTACTCTCCACTGTCAGCCGGGGACACGAGAAGTTTGACATGCCCTTCATGATGTTGGTCTTGAATGAAGGTCCCGTTTCTGAAAAACAATGAGCAGTTGGCATCTTCACCCAAAATCCTTCAAATGGTTGTCACGCATAAATACAGCAAATCACTGCTTTTCAGCATTTCGAGGCTACCAGTCCAACGACGTGTACTGTGCCTTCTCTGCAATGAGTTGTCATTGTAGCGAATGTGCTTGGGCAAGACACTATGCTAAAAGGAATGACGGAATGGAACGCGTTCGAGAGAACGTCCACTGTGGATATAGAGATTGAATTAGTTTCTGTGCAGGTCCTGGGTGGACTGTTGCATCACAAAACCATTAGAGGTGGTGGTGGCTTTGGGAGGCCTTCACACAGTGGATAGATCATAGCTCAAACGATTAACAGCTATTTGAGGTTAACTATAGTCCAGTCTGCATGCGTTAGAACCGCACCCACACAATGCAATTGTAATTCGGGTGACTAGTTTAGCTCTCCCATACCGTGTTCAGGTTGTACCGCATGACTCATGCTGAAAGACACGTAGTACAACCCGAATACACATCGGTGACACAGCCCAACATCTGCTCGTTGCAGGGGTTTGTTCAAATCTGGCAGGCGACCCTGGTTATTATTGCAGATGTAATAAACATAATACTGTGCCGTCTGCTTCAGTGGACTTTAAAATATCCCAGGACATTCAAAATGAGAGCCATTATACGTCTGTGTCAGGGTCCGAATTTGCTGAAGTAAAAAAAATTGCCCACAAATGACTCAATTGGAATTTCATACAACAGAAATCATTGTCGACTACTGGCTATTTAATGCACGTTTGCCGGCCAGGTGCAAAGTCACCTTGTAACCAACAAGGAAAGCTGCGACTCTGGGTGCCCTTTCTAATGTGTTGATATGAGATGGGGTGCCGAGATGCTGCTATCTCCCTTGCCTGGTATGCACGAGGTTGTGAGTTTGATCCCGACCCCTGTATATGTTAAATTTGCATCTTTTCCCCATGGTTTTGTGGATTTTTCCCCCGGGTCCTCCGGGTTTTCCCCCTACACATTTAGAAACCATGCATTTAGAGCATTTGGCTGCTATACATTTCCACATAAGCCACTTCGTTGAGCTATTATTTGTGGCCAGGTCGTTTCTGAGAAAGAGCTAATAGCTCGGTCGGATTTATCTAGTAAATAAAATTGTTAAATAATAGACGTAAAACACATACCATCGTCATTCTGCAGCACTACCAAAAAAATTCCTGTGCACTGGTAGAACTAGTTTTTACCATAAAATGGAGATACGAGGGTCAACAGGACAACTCAAAACCTTGTACCGATACTCAGTGCTCTGTGTGCGTGGAATTTGTAACACTGCGGAGTGCAACTAACCTTTCCCAGTGTGCTGGCTCATGGTCCTGCAAATGGTCAGTGGAGTTCAAGCTGGGCAGGCACACCAGGTCGACGGTACTGCCAACAAGAGCCAGATTGTTGGGAAGGATGTCCACGGTTACTGGAACTGATGGAAGAGATATTAGAACGTACAGGAAGGGCCTTCACATGGTCATTCAATGCAGTATGTGTGAATGCACGTGTCTGCGTGTATTCGTCTGTCTCACCAAATTGCCATGCTTTATCTTCTGCCTGCAACAAAAGTAAACGTGACACTGTATTTCAAACCGTACACACTTCATAACCCGTGTATGGCACACACCGTATGCAAGAGGCTATGGTGTATGTTGTGAGGCTCATTTAATAACATCGATCATTAGTATTTACACAGGAGACCTCACCGAGTAAAGACTTCAGGAGGGTCCCTGCAACATCGGGACGCTTGACCATTTCCATTTAGAAGCAGATTTAACAACTCCCAAAGATGTGCTCACAAACAGGAAGGCACGACTCGCATTATGCCCCGATTGCATGTCATGTGACCCGAACGTTGCGTGTTCAACACGCTCAGCCTCGTCCTTGTTAAGTATGTGGGAGAAAACCGGAAGAGAAAAAACCCAAGAGTACGAGGTGGCGAGGCGCAACACTGGCACCTCCACGCCATCTCCAGGTGCACCGCGCGGCCCCGACATTGCGGAGGCTCACCTTGAGCTCTACGGTGTAGCAGCCAGAGAGGGTGATGAAGCAGCTCGCCACGTTGACGCACTCCGGAGGGAAGCACTCATTCCCCACGGGCCCATTCACAGAGGCCGCCAACGTGTTTTCGCTCTGAAACATTCACACAGCAGCAGCACCACCAGTAGAGTTGGAAGAGTAATGCACTAATATTTTCCTGCATTTGTTTATGCGGCAGAACTCTGTATCGGTGTTTCCACCTCTATGACCTCATCAGCAGAGCAAGACCCGTTAAACCAACCAATTTCTGCTCTAGGTCATAAAATAACCTCCACCGTCAACATCCTCAAAGCGACAAACCACAAGTAACTTCATCATTAGACCTCCTTTGCCAGTACCAAAATATAATAATAGCGTTTTCCCCTTTTTTCTGGCAACAAAACTGAAACCTTTTAACAAGGAATCATGTGTGCATTAACCACAATACTTGTGATTCCTCGTAAAAAAAGGTTTCAGTTTTGTTGCCAGAAAAAAAGGGAAAAACCCTATTATTACCACAAGTAACTTGTTGAGGAGCTCCACAGCCATCGGCAGTCAACTCCTCCGTGCGCCCTGCGTATCACAGACCTCTCTCACGCCTACAGTGGAATGTTAATCGGTCATCTCGAGGTGTTGTAGCCCTGCCATTTTTACACGGTTACCACATAGATGGTAAGATTAATGGAAATTCCACGTTGCTATGACCTGTAACCGATGTGCCCATATAAACACACCCAGCAGTGCGTAGTGTACAGCTGGCATAATGTGCCACGTGTAATGTCTGCAGGAGCCTCGAGCAATGCGTGACAAGAGAGGGACATAATTAATTTTGAGCCAAGGTCAGCCTGGAGACGTTTGAAGGAGTGGCTCCCTAGTCACCACACATTGACGTGCCAAGGTCCGGAGCGCTCAGGCGTCCTTGCTGTGTAGCCTGCAGGGTCTCTTGGCAGGAGACGTGAGACCAGTGCCTGGACAACGTGCGTGCGCTTTGCAGTGTGCTGCGTGCAACGTCAGGTCACATGCCTTGGCCAGCACGCTCCAGTACTGCGTGGCGTTCGCGTGGACTGGCGAAGAGGCGCATTCGCTCGGATGCAGGGAGTGGGAGCCGGCACCTCCACACTCGTAGTATCCCATCCACACCGGTGTGGCTACGGGGGTCGGGAGAGGGGGGCACGAACAACAGGTTCACTACGAATCGACAAGTCGCGTTGTGTTAGTTTCTCGCGCTTGGCGACCGACGAACACGTTCCACGTGACTTGGAGATGGTTGGTTCAAAGGTGGAGAGATGTCTTGTGTGTGTGTGTGCGCGCGTGTGGTGGCCTCCACAGATAACACGTTGCCTACACGTGATAACACTCCATCCCTCTCGCCTCCCGTTGGATTCAACATCAGCGTACTCTTTGGTTCTTTCGGTAAAGTCACGTAGGTAATAAAAAATAGTTTTTTCATTTTTGTTTAATTTTATTTATTTACTTTACCCCTACGTGACTTTACTGAAAGAACCAAAGAGTATGGATCCTTGCAGTCACGAAAACTTCAAATCTAGAATCAACATCAGCATGCTGCCAATCACGATGACATTTAAGTGTTGCCGGTTAGACAAGTCCTAGAAAATCCATATTGGACTTTCTACAACGAGTTTATTCCTCTGGAATAATGCCCTGTGGAGAAGAGGGGGGGGGGGCAGCCAATAACATCCCGGCAACTTCTATGGTTGCACTGTAGTTCTAAGCTCCCCTGGTGTTTACCAGAACAGAAACCCTCCGCGACTTTGTTCTGGAAGTGAAAGATATACCAGCAGGTTGACTCACTGCGCCGCACCACTCATTGTGTGAAGAAAAATGTAAGTAATGCGACGGCATGCAAACATTGACGTCAATCCACCGCTGGATTAACCTGCTACCCCCCTCCCCCACTCCTCAACGCCATGCGCGTCATGGGGGTTATTTGACCATACTTCACCACGCTAGTCGGGGAAACACGTTGGGAGGACAGGAGCACAGTCCAAATAAATGTATACGTTGCCGCACTGCCATCGACACCCCGTTTGTTAGCGCGGGGTTGCAATCCATCCGAGCACTATGCAGGCTCGAGCCTGCTTGGCTTGCGAGATCTGGCGAGATCGTGCTTGGCGACTGGGGTGAGAGAGAAGAGAGAGAAGAGAGAGGAGAGAGAAGAGGGGGGGAGCGGCCGCCACGCCGAGCTCGGTACGACCACGGCGAAATCCTCGCTCCTCCCGGCCGCGGGGCCAGCAGAAGGAGACCCCCACAGATGGACACCCAACACTTACCGGTCACGAATTAACCACCAACACAATTCGTACCCTTTTACGTATTGGTTCCGCCACTATTAAAAAATCCATTAACATTTTGGTTCCGCCACATCCCATCGGTCAAACGGTCTTCTGTAAGTTCAGAATTTCAGCAGTATTGGTAACACAACAAACTCTGGACCGTTTGCGACATTGAGTTTCTCAAACAGCAGTGACATGCTTTGCTTGAACAGATACTGGTGAACTGCCAGATGGTGTGGTGGGCAAAGTGACCCTCTCTGTTAGATGGGTCCCAGTTCCACAACAACTCTATAATGCACAGCGCAGACTAAATCGTTATCGTCGGTCTGAAGAATGCACGTAACAATACAAACATCTGAGACAAGTTAGAACAACGAAACTTTCCGTAGGAGCTGCTCACCTACTGACAGCAGCACGGAGGTGGCGAACACCAGGGAGCAGAGGAACCCGTGGGTAGTCATCTCGGACTTGCAGGGGTGGGGAGGTAGGGTCGCCTTCACAACACGGTCCGCACATGCACTGGGCAGGGTACTCTGTATGCCGAAACCGCGGTTGGGCCGGGCCGTATTTACGAGAAGAGAGGCAGGGCGAGTACAGCATGGGGGTTGGGGGTGGGTGTATGGAATTAGTGGCATCCACTCGCCGACTCGACGTGTGTATGACGCCTCTATTACACGCCCATCATCGACACCAGCACCATCATCATCATCATCGCTATGGCTCGCGATGGTTATTGAGAGGGCGTTATTCGAGTCAAGAAAGTCCAAACAGCAGTCAGTCGGCTGAGAAGGAGGCGAATTGCGACCGAGTTGGGCGCACAGCGGCGCGGGTCGTCGTGAGCGATGTCGGTGACGTTGAGAAAATTGTTTTCATGCAGCAGTGGCCTTTACCATGGCCCATGATGATGATGACGGTGCCGTGACGAGATTGCTCCAATGTGCAATTGCATTAGGCAATTGTTCCTAATTACATGCACAGCAAACCTGTCAACCCCCTATCATTGCCTACTTTATTACAGGCCAATTCAGACTTTATTGGTCACCCCGTGCCTTACAAATCTCAACGTTTATCCTCCAAAGTCACATCACAAGGTTGAGAAACACAAACCAATTAAAAACGTTTGCTCGCATTGAAACGGCTGTACGCCGTATGGACCCCCCAAAACTCAATTTCCCTGTACAGGAATACGTGTAAACCGTTTGGGTTGACAGGTTTGGCACAGGCGCGTCGTGTGTGCAATGTGGGCAATTGTGAAATCTCGACGACCGTGCGGTTGTCGAGGATTTGGATCTGCGTGGTGGTATTGAGGCTCTGGGTAAAGGCACGACCGCTGTGGACACGATTTCATATTCTAACCCAGCGGGTTAAAGGGTCCTTTAGGAAGCCCGGAGACACATGGAGAGTGTGCTCTGTGGGGGGTGGAGGGACACAGCAACGCGATAGGTGCAGGGAGGAAACTTGAAACTTCGGCCCCAGGTGCAGCAGCTCCCTAGCGGAGCGAGGTGGAGGCTAGGATCCGGCACAACTGGAATAACGAGACCGGCGGCACGGGTTCATGACTGAAGGCCCCCATGAGCTCTACCGTGAGCTGACGGAGAAATACCCCAACATTCCAGTTACGGCGTTACGAGTCAGCGCCACTGATGGGATATGCATCGCACGTGCTAAGCACGTGCACGGAGTACGATCAGCAGCCGTGCTCACTCCGCAGACACCCTGTCAATTAAAGCGCATGATCTAATTGGCAGATGTGTTGGTGCCGATCGTGTCGGGGAGCGCCGCTTTGAGTGCTGCGTGACGCAATGAGCAAACGCCCTGGCTTCTTTCATCATCATCATCAGTTATTGTCAATCTACTGCTGGATGAAGGCATCCAAGAGTAGCCGACAATTGTCCCGATCCCGCGGTGTCATAGCAGTCCACCTAACAGCTGCCTGCACGCGAGACAATTTCATCGTCCTGTCGTGTTCCAGATGAGATGTGAACACTTGTGATAATAAACTTGATTTGAAGCTTTCGTGACTGCAGGAATTACTCTTTGGTTCTTTCGGTGAAGTCACGTAGAAAGAAAATAAATAATAGAGTACGACGTTTCGATTGCAACACAAGCAGTCGTCATCACGTAGAACTAAGCTTGAGAGACAAAACACAGACACGGAGACACATTTAGTTCTACCTGATGACGGTTGCTTGTGTTGCAATCGAAACGTCGTATTCTATTATTTAATTTATTTTCTTTCTACGTGACTTTACTTGTGATCATCTCTCTGGGGCGTCCCCTTACTCCCCCAGTGTATTCCTCTTCTTCGGGTGCTGGGCGTATGAGCTCATCTCAAGCCAGGGTGGGGGACAACGGGGGAAACACCCCCTCCCTCATTAGTGTGGTGCACGTCAGTTCAGGGTTCAGGGCAAGAGTTCGAGAGGTCTCCTCTCCGTCCCCTCTGTCCACGAGCCGGAGCCGTGGCGTGCAGCCAGCCACGAGTCTTCGTGTGTGTTGGCGGGATTTTGTTTGCATTCGTGCATCTTGCCGAGCAGCGAAACATCGGAACAGCTCCCTAGCGGAGGTGTTCCGATGCTTTGCTGATGTATTTAGAGGGTAAAAGTGCAGCCCTGTAATTTCTCGCTCACGCCACTGCTGGTGGAAAGGTCTCCGCGAGAGGGAGCTCTCGAGAGCCATTCCTTGTCAGACGTATTGGAAGAGGTGGGATTACCCACACTACACTCCATCGTATGCTACTTACCGATAAACTCACTTCGGTAAACCCATGTAAACTGCTATGATTGACGGACAATCATAACCGCGATCTTCGTTCATACAGCTTTAAACATTTTAACATAAATGCGTGTAACACAACCAACCAAACACATTTGCAATAGCTAAAAAGTGTTTAATAAAACATTTGATCATTATCATCAGCCATGTTCAATCCACTGCTGTGGTATAATAATCCACTTGCTGATGTTATTGCTCTATGGTGGATGACTTCTCGGACGTGTTTCGTTCATGATGAGAGGCACACAAATCATAGTGAAGCTACTTGCACGATAAAATAAATAACAGACAGTTGATTTGTCGCTTTCGTGACTGCAGGAATTACTCTTTGGTTATTTCGGTAAAGTGACGTAGAAATATAAAATAATAAATTAAATAATAGCATACGACGTTTCGATTGCAACACAAGCAATCATCACCAGGTACAAATTAAAGAGAAAATAAACCTCGTCAACTTAGAAATATAATGCAATACAGCACAGATAGTCGGCTAACATAACAGTCAACACCCTACCTGGTTGTATTGCATTATATTTTTAATTTTACTAGGTTTATATTCTTGGTTCTTTCGGTAAAGTCACGTTGAAGGGAAACAATAAAATAATAAGGGAAACAATAAAATAATTATAAAACTTTTTTATATATTATATATATTCTTGGTTCTTTCGGTAAAGTCACCAAGAATATGAATCACTCCAGTCACGAAAGCTTTAAATAAAATGTTACTAGGTTTGTTTTCTCTTTCATTTGTACCTGATGATGATGGCTTGTGTTGCAATCGAAACGTCGTATGCTGTTATTTAATTTATTACTTTCTCTTTCTACGTTACTTTACCGAAAGAACCAAAGAGTAACACACATTTATGGATATCTATATAAATAAAGACCTTAATGTGTATGTGTCAAAAACCTCTCGGGTACTTCTCGATAAGGTCGAAAGCTGAACATTGGTACATAGGTAGCTTTTAGGACACAAACAGGAAAAATATGAAAATCCGACATCTCGATTTTAAGTGGCCCATGAACATGATTGTCCGTGTCATTCAGAAACCGTTCAAAATATGAGATTGTGGTTTTTTCGTTTCATAGAGTGTTAAACAGCAAATAAAATTTAAGCGAGAACCATTTATCTATCTTTTATTGTTCCGGAGATATTTCGGATTCAAGCGGGTTTGAACGAAAAAATTACGCATTTTATGGTGTTCAAATATGAATAATTCGAAAACGGTGAAAGATAGGAGCTTCCCCTCATAGAGTATTAAGTTAATCAATTTTTGTTCTTCCTAATGAAAAGGAACGGAATCTTTCCATTGAGTGGTTTCTGATGAGTACGTCTTTAAATATAAGAAGATGAATCAAGTAAACAATTTTTGTTTTGCGGAAAAATGCGAATTTTTGGAATAGATGTCCGTGTCTGATCGTAGATAAAAAAAAAATCACATCAGGTTCATTATTATATATTTAAAACTTTTGCCTGGCGAATCATGAACTAGTCTTGAAATTAAGTCTTGCACCCCAGTGGATGTGCGCAATGCAGACACGAGGCACGATACATCTGTAGGGGACATCGGCGAATGACTGGAATGAGAGGACCAAGAAGGCAGACCCCCACGAGTGGGGAAAACACCAGGAAAAACATTAAATCAGCATCGCCTGATTCCTCCCAAGCCCTGTGTGACCCAGCAATGACCACCGATTGCTGACACGAACGCGGCGCTGAGAGAAGCGTCCAGGACCTGTGCTATACGGCCGCACCCTGCATCGGAATACCCCCCCAGGGCACCGAGTCCATGCTGGCAAGGTTCATCCCGTGGCCCTGGCCTTAATGCTTAAGCCATGCCGTAACTGGAGAATGGGAGTCGGTTCATTGCTTGAGCTCCTTGCAAGATTTTGTTTTCACCAGGGTGCGATCTCAACAGAGGCCAATCTGAGTCTAAATCGCAAGAGTGACCTGGGTCATTAAAGCCATAAAATCAGAAACATAAAACACAGGACCAGTAACGAAGACAATATAAATCGGAGCAGAAGAGAGTGCGGTGTCTTGCAGTTGCACGGTACCAGCGGCCACAAACGCCTCGTCACAGAACTGGCTGGGCCTGTGGCGGCGCTCAGCACAAACAAACCGAGCAATTGTTTAGAGCTCCAAGCAGCTCGAGGTGTCATAGATTCACGAACAAATTAAGGATCCACCATATATCAGCTCGAACTCAATTCCATATATTAATAAGCGAATTCATACCGACACAGTACTGCTAATATGCATTTCATTGTAATGAGCCAATTACCTTCAATATTTCACAAATATTAAAGTTATGCAGCTTGGCACGCCTATGTTTTTTTTTGCCACGCCTATGGTTTTTTTGCCACGTGGCACAACCAAGAATATGTTTTGCTAAGGGCCTCTAATGGAGCTGATCATTGCTCTCTCAACAACCACCGCCCTGACAGACAGCCTTGAGACTCGGTGAGGCTTTCATGGATAAACAAAGGACATTGTCACCATTACTGTTTGACAATTAACTTCGCAAAAATTATGGTCTCGAATGGGGTTCAAATAATTACATTTGATATGTATGAAAAAATAAAATAAAGTTCACAAATCTCTAACAAGAGGAAAACTCGTGAATTCTGAATTAAGAGATACCCCGAGTGATTGACGCGCTGTGATATTCCCGTGATGAGGCGGCGCGTGAGGAATTCAAGGGCGGGGCGTTGCCACGCCCTGCGGATGTCCGTGTCACAGGTCGTGATCGGCGCATACACCCCGAAACGGAGAGCAGCACTCTCGGCCCATTGCCAACGAGTTTAGTTTCACAATTCGATGTTGCTACATCCTCCCATTGAGTTAGCGGTGGCGCCCTCTGGCGGACGTACCGTGCAACTGCAGCTGAGTAAACATTTTAACTGGTTAAATTTTGGCTTACAGCTTTCGTGACTGCAGGGATTCATATTCTTGGCTCTTTCGGTAAAGTCACGTAGAAGGGAAACAATAAAATAATAAAAATATAAAACAATAACTGGTTTGTCGCTACAACGGCGACACTCCGATGTCTATCGATTTAACACATTACATTGGTGATGCTGCTGCGTTTGCAGCGGTGGTCAAGCACAAATAATAAACAACTCAACGCATTTGAATGGCCTTTCCTTCTTTCTAGCACATATCATTAATGTGCTGATGAGAGTTCCAAATCTAGAAATTTTCAGCATGGCTGGAAATATAATTGTACCAAGTCTCCTGCTTCTCACCCAAAGTGCAAACTTCAAACCACTAAACTTCTCCGGTGCCTCATGGCGGTACGACTGGCAAACTCGTAACTTTACGTATGACTTACTTGAAGAATACGTGTAATCTGTCCATTAGAGGTTAATTCGGAACTTTGTTGGAGTGGCAGCCTTGGCAACGTGGTACAAACCACATCCCAACAGTGAAAAATCACGTTTTCTGGAAAAGCGTAATTCCCCAGGCACGCGTCAATGCCTCCTCGATTTTACAAAGACGCTTACGCTGAGGACAAGGGGTCGATTGGTGACTGTAATAATCAATTACTTACAATTGAGCAACTGATATGCAAATTAGATGCTCATGTTATATTCAGGTTAAAGAGAGAACAACATCGGACAGACGAGATGGAAGAAACGAGCACAAACTGTGTATGCGTCTCTCTACACCCTGGACACCCTGGCCAATTAGATGTTCCATCTCGGTAAAACATGAAATATTAAAAATGTGAAGTTGTCATTGCCTATTTTAAAGATTTGTTTCCCTTTAACGCCAAAGTGTTGTTGGTGAATGTGCTGCGTATGCTGCCATCTACCTCGTGTGCACAGACTGGGTCTGCTTTAATCTCCTTGGAGTTCAGCAAGACAAGCCGTTTAATGCTACTGGCTTGGAGTGGCAATCCTCATGTCCGTGTTCAGCTGAGGAGGAGGTCACGTCACAGCAGGCTACTCGAGTTTACGTCTCTCCGTGCAATGAATATCACCACGATGGCCACCACCAGCAGGGCAGACACGAGGAACGCAGTCGAGACTTGCTCAAAACCTGCAAGACAAGGGCAAAGATCCCCCCGTATAGCCTTAGCAGATTGTTGGGGCAAGTGCTATTAGCGAGCACCTATGAAGGTCGCCACGGTACACGAGGAGGTGGGTGGCAAGCACCACGCCCGACCGCCTTTGTCTCCCGAGTGCCAATGTTTACACACTGCAGCAGGTACTAATTTGAGGCTGAGTCGACCTAGGGGAGACCCAGGACCAGTTCGAATAATCGTCACTGGTGTTGGCCGTGAGCGGGAATCGAACTCGGGTCGATGGGTTCCTATCGCAGCACGTTAACCATTGCACTACCGCTTCCCTCAAAACCTGCACACACGATGGTGCACTATCATTATCTTTGCGGCGTGGAACAACCAAACAAATTGAAGGAGGCAAATTCTCAGAGGGAGACGAATGACACAGCGAGGCAGCCCGTCTCACCCGACGCCTCTGTGAGGATGAGGGCTGGGGTGCTCTCAAACTCCGGGAACACACAGCTGAACCGCCCTCCGTCCGCTGGGCTCCTGATCGGCACGAGAATCGATGAGACGTTGGCCGAGCCGCCTATGGCCACTCCATTCCTGCAGCATCCGACACACACATTAAATAGTTTACTAGACGTAATAATAACACAATGCCATTCGCTTACCCAGGTACATCTCACAGGGCGAGAGGTGTCCTGCTACTTTGAGTTGTTTGGCCAATTCACGTTGATTCTTTGTGCGGGAGACAACCAGAGAAACCCCACCGTGAATGCGAGGGGTTTAACACTCAGTTGTGGTGTGCGACGCAGATGCTGAACTGTCACCCTTTGGCCACCTCGCAGATCAGTGCAGATGCTGAACTGCCACCCTCTGGCCACCTCGCAGATCATCTCTTCGTGATCCACTATCCCTTATTACTCCCAAAGCACTGGAGTCACAGGCATATGTCACCACTCATGGTTCAAAACAAATCTTCTTAATAGACCAACGATGACTCGCAAATTTCAGCGAGACGTTAAATGCATAACCAGCACTGCCTGCAACATCACAGGGGGTTCTAAGATCATTACTTTATTATAGTGCTAACAAAACATGCATATAAATCGTTTATCTGAATAGACCATTTACAGTGTATTAAAATTATATGCAAATCATATGCTAGTGGTAATTTTATGATTGTGGTGTAAAAACTATTATACAAACGAGATACAGAGAATGGAAAACAATACAAAGGCGGGAGCAAAATAAGACAAAAGGGCGTTGAATATTGAACGAAATTGTGACCCTGAATGGTGAAAAGTCATCGAATATCTTAGGTTGGGGTTGAATTTTTACCTGCTTACCGAAAGATGTGAGTGCAGGTGTGGGCTACCTCTTGCCGATTGGCTATCACATTCCTGATTGCCTATTGGCAATCAGGAATGTCCCACAGTGTGATTATTGGTCTCCAATCTCAAACCATGGATCACACAGAAACACCACTTCCCGTTTCGATGATTCGCTGGCAGCGTTTCGTATATTCACCATGATGCTGCTCCTGAAGCTGGCTCACTCACCAGCCTTCCCACGAACACAGACAAGTGGTTGATCATCTTCCCGCCGTCGTCGTATTTGTTAACGTGGATGTGACTTACCAGCTCCACCCGCTGGGAATGCGTCCGTTTGTATTGAAGCACTTGAGGGTGATGAACTTCCCTGGTCTGACCAGGGCCTCCGGAGGGTTCACAATGGCGGTGTCGGAGACTGCCAAAGAGAAAATGATAAGAGGTGTTGATCAACTTGATTAACACGTGGGTGGGACAGGATGCTTCGTTGTTGGCTTTGCGTGAAGTTGTGTAAACGTTATTTCAGCATATGACATAAATATTGTATTAAATATTGTGCATTTTATATTGTGGTTGCTATGAATGAGCTGACGGCTGAGAAATTTGATAAAATATAAATTTTTACTCACTGTAAACAGAGCTTGTGTTCGCCACCTTTAAAAAAGGAACATCATCACCATCATCATCATTTCTTTATAATTTTCGTGTGCTGTTGTCATTATTTCATGTGTGGTTGTGAGTATGTGTGTATTATCATAATTGTCATCAATATAAATATATACATTCCAGCTGATTATCAATCCACCAATGGAAGAAGGCTTCCCCACGCTATGTCGACCATACTTCTCCACGCTAGTCAGTGTGGGAATACAACTTGGGTCGCCGGGTTCTTAGCGCAACCCGCTAACCACTGTGCCAATGTACAGGTGACCTCATTGCAAACGCCAATTTTTGTTTACCACCTCAGCACCGCACCTCACCCTCACCTGGAGCAGCAAGGCCAGAATAAGGCTCTTATTATTACTATTGTAGAGGAGTATTGTGAGTAACCAATGAGGGGGCGAACAGAAGGAGTTGCGAGCGGGTTGACAGTCAAGAATGACGTAACGTCATGAGGGACGTAAGGGACTTTCGGAGAGCACCTTCGGGAACGTGGGCGGAGCCGAGCTGGGCGGAGGAGCCGGGCTAGGGGGCGGAGCTGAGCTGGGGGGAGGAGCTGCCCAAGGGGTTCTTAAGGGGGACTCCGTGACGGAGGCGGGGTCGTCGTAGGGAGCCAGGGTAAGGATCGGCTGAAGAGGGTCTCTCTCTCCTCGTCACGAAGCGGTGTTGGCTGAACCCCCGCTCCGGGCAGATGAGTGAGAGAACTCATAGGGTAGCCGAGGGAATGGATCCAAACAGTATTCAGTGTCCAAGGTAAAGGACCGAGATAGAGTGCACCTACACTGGTGTGAGTGTAGGATGTCGAGTGTGACAGTGTTTTAATAAACGGCAACAGCCCTTATAGAATTCCTCATCTCTGCGTAGTTCTACTGCACTCCACTATTACCATGCTTGCTTACCCAGGAAAGCCTCAATACATACATCTGGACTGAGTAATTTGCAGCCAATTTTTCAGCATTGGAATATTTGGCCAATATCAGTTTCATTGCGTGTGTGTGTCTTTTAATTATTGTAAAAATCAATGCAGAACAGGTGGAGAACATACAACCTTCACACAGCATGAAAGTTGGGAATTGATCCCAGGATTTATTGCTGTGAGGTGCACGTGTCTCCTCTGCACCACGATGCTGCTCTCACCTGCAGTAACACTGCTGGGCAACGTGACAGGATGAGCGTGCAGTTTGAGAAGACTGCGACGCACGGCTTCACGCACGTGGAGTTGGTGGTACTCGCGATCACCTCCTGCTGGTCCTGTAGATGTTCAGAGACGGACCAAGGAGTTGCAGGTGGTGTCATTGGCATATTTAACCTCATGAGAACGTAGAAATGCGTTGTCATCGCCAGAAGCGGATCTAGAAACTTGCCATGGGGCGGTGTAGGGGTCCCGAAAAATCAAGCTTGTTAAATTGGGCTCTATACTGCTATAAATAAATATTAAATGCATCCCCTCTGGTAAATAAAAAAATACACAATATTTGGGGTCTCAAAAGGAGAGCAATCGACCCCTATTGCTCCCCCTTGGATCCGTCACTGATCACCGCTGACACCGTGGGCGGAAGGCCTTGAGTGAAGAGAGGCATTTGTGTTCCATCAGACTTCCAACGGGTATTTAAAATGAGTGTCATCACAGGTGAGTCTCAGGTGAGCCCGTACCTTGTAGATGGACCAGGTCTGCGGAGCTTTTTTTACGCCAGGAACCTGCGAGCAGTCTGAGCGATGGACCACGTAAGGCCCAGCTCCCTCGCAGTTATAGTAGTGCTTTGCCTCTATCTGCGACATCAGCCTGTCTGCAGGGTGCGGGGACACAGGGACATACTGAAACTTTTGGTGTTGGCAAACATACATAGGTAGAAAAATACTCCACCTAAAACAGAGTTCAGTTCCTCAGCTAAATGTTTTATTTTACAGGCATAACTCCCTCCTGTCAAAGCCCCATTGGTTCTTCCATCAGTGCCTGTGTGATTCATTAAACATTTGACCTATGGCAAGCACAGACGACGATGATGATGGAACAACCCATGGAAGTTCATGTCCCTAAGAATTACGCGTTTCATGGAGATAGCTCGACTGTTAGAGGAGTAACTGGCAGATCAATATGGCTGAAGTCCAAAGCGTCTGTCAAGAATTAATATTTGTTCTAGATTTGAAGTTTTCGTGACTGCAAGGATCCATACTCTTTGGTTCTTCCCCCCCCACCTTCGCTCCTGTTTCCCCTCCCGTCCCCCTTTCTCCGTACTCTAGCAGCCTCACCATTCCTCCCACCCCACGCACCCCCCCCCCCCCCTGCCTCCCGTCCCTCTCTTACTTAAATATAACCTCTTGTTTTGCAGCAGCTCTCTTGAACACTTTAGCAATTGTTTTCTTGCTGTGGTTGTCCCACCTGATGACGGGTGCTTGTGTTGCGCTCGAAACGTCGTGATTTAATTTTTTTCACCTACGTGACTTTACCGAAAGAACCAAAGATAATTAATATTTGGTTGTCAGTGTAGACCCACATTTACATTTCACAAGAGAATACTGGATCGGCAAATGTGAGAAGGCTGAGTAGGGAGGGTGAAGACATGCTGGAGACGTCATTACATTATTAAACACACTGACGCAAGACTAACCCAAGGGAATACCCTGGGATGTGGGGCTGCCATATTTACACTCGAAACATCAGGTGTGGCGATGCACCTGTCTGGAAATGTGTTCAGATGATCTGAATGTAAATCAGTTACATCAGGTACTCGGCTTATCTACATAACCTGATTGTAACAAGTCTCGTCACTTGTTACAATCTGAACTTGATTTTGTGCAATACAATATTCAACACAATTTGGATTACGTGTATATGGCGTATGAATCTGACCACGTCCTAGGATGCTGTGCAGAAACAGTGGGAACATTATTTTCAGGCGGTCGGGCAGTCATAGGCAGAGGAAAACAAGAAGGCCTTGAGTGTGAACTTGACCAAGGGCAGTGGGTGGGCAGCACGAATGGCTGTTGACTCCCCACCCAATTAATTGTTCTGGCGTCTTTTCGACACACCCAAGTGCCCTGAAGCATTGTACGGCTTAGGAGCCTCGACAGTAGACATGGCGTAAAGTTACACTGCGCTGTTGTGCGACGTCCTTACCTTGTACAGTTTCCACGCCGAGAGTACAGAGGGCCCAGGCTGCGGCGAGACACAACCAGGGTGGCATCCTCTCAGTGAAGAGCCCCCTCCTCCTGCTCCTCCACTCGTACCCCTGGCTGCCTCCTCCACTGAGCTCGTATACACACAACCCACCTCGAAGAATTAAACAAAAATACAAACAAAATCATAAATACAATTTCCACATGTACGTCAAAACACTCGTTAATGTAATTGGCCAAACATTCCAACCTTCCCCCCAAAGAAGAGTCCTGTGACTAAGTGAGGCTTTCTGGGATCGTGAAAGACATTCTGATGACATTTATCGCAGTGGCTATGTCATCATAAGAAACATAGTTATAGCATGGACCCCGATGAAAATAGTTATGAAATGGGGCCCTCTGTTTAATTATGCCCCTTCTTCATCGCCCGGTGGCCCCAGCCCGTGGGCCCCTTTCGGCCCGTGGGCCCCAGCGCAGTGTCACCGCCAGCATGCTCCATGGCGACGCCACTGCGTGCCAGGAGCGTGCCGGGTGCGTGCCAGGTGTCAGAATGAGAGGTGTTGGAGTCGAGAGGGCCACTCACCAGAGCTTCGGCGGCAGGGAGGGCGAATGGAGGAACTCCGTGGCGCACGCGAGAGAGGCTTCCCAGAGAGACGAGCTGATGAGGCACAAGCGCGGGTCCCCTCTAAAGCGAATGCCTCGGATGCTTCATTGACGTGACCAGCCCTGACACCGCAAGTGCCCCACCCCAGCCCAGCCGCAAACCCGCCGGGCAGGTTCACCATCAGACTCAGTGCCATGTGTTGCAGTAATTTCCACGAAGTTAACAGACCTTTCCAACTGAATAATGCGTGAATCTCAATGTTGTCTTGCAGCACTCCAGGAACTTTTGTTGCTACGACATTTTATGCATAGTAATTTATTGCACTATAACATTTGCTCTATGTTCTGGACAGTATTGTATTTTTCCAGGTCTCCCCTTGGAAAAAGAGACTTCTGGTCTCTTGTCAGTCCACTACTCGATGTGCGTTGAACTTCTTTCGCACCGTATGTAGCCAACCGCGCTAATCGGAGGTGCGGGGAAAGGATCCATACGGTTTGCCCGTATTTTTGTACAGAGAAATTGAGTTTTCAGGTCCATACGGCGTACAGCCGTTTCAATACAAGCAACAAAAATTAAATTAAATATTTTGTTGCCTATTTGTGTTTCTCCCTTGTGATGAGAATTTGTAGGATGAAAGATGAGATTTATAAGGGCAGGGGGTGAGGGGCCGTCCATAAGTGACGTCACGCACCTGGGGGGGGGGGGGGGTCAGACATTTGTGACAATGTGTGACGAAGGGGGGGGGGGGGGTTGAGAAACGTGACGTCACATCAAAATGCGCAACTTTAAATAAATATAGACAACACGTTCTACTTAATTAAATAGACTTTTTAATAAATGTTTTCTCCTACAACATCAGAGTGCAGCGCCACATTAAATACGCACTACAATGACAATAGTTTAAAGCGATTTGAAGCATGTTTTATTTTTTTTGGGTGGGGGGGCAGAGCTTTGTGACGTCATATTTGAGGGGGGGTCTGACTTTTTGTGACGCCGTGTGACGAGGGGGGGGGGTCAAAATCGCGTGACGTCATTTATGGACGGCCCTTTACTAATAAGGCCTGAATTGGTCGGTGATAAGGTAGGCACTGATAAGGGGTTGACAGGTATGAGTACTGTACACACACAAAACTATTAGGTAATAAAAAAACCAAGATATTTTGTTGTATATTTGTTTGTGTTTTTCCCTCGTGATGGGACTTTGTAAGATGAACGTTGAGATTTATAAGGGCAGGAGGTGACCAATAAGGTCTGAATTGGTCTGTAATTAGATATTTACTGATGAGTTGATAGGCATGTAAACATAATGAAGACCTCCCCACGTCGAGTTGGTCGTGAAATGTGTTTGACCATACTTCACCACACTGGTCATTGTGGTGAGGCGTATGGGGGGGGGGGTAGTTATTTACAACGTAGGGCCGACGTTGGCTGCCGATTTTGACGGATCCAACCACATCCCAACGTCGTACCAACGTCATCATGTCTACTTGGTGGTGGTTATTTTCATTGGTGCAGTCTAAGGTCCCAGTGTTACAGATCAACGAAAGTCTCTGCTCACCTCCTCGTTTTTTCAAACCTGAACTTCTAAGAACCTCATCATCATCATCATTGGCATTGGTCAATCCGGTATCCACTGTTGGATGAAAGCCTCCCGGAATCAAATGATCTATGTCAAAAACACACCTCTTTAACCTCATCAGCGTGGATAAGAACACATTCCTGCGGAGGGAGCATTGGGTTGCTCGGTCAATGGCCAGGGTCAACGGCGGCATGGTGTATTTCGCACAATATGCCCGACTGTGAGGGCGGGCACAAGCCGGCGTGAGTAGGTGAAACGTTGAGTTTTATAAGGGCACCACGGGGTGACCAGCCCCTCCCCACCCAGCCCCACCCAGCCCCTCCCCACCCTCCCCTCCCCACCCTCCACCCAGCCCCTCCCCACCCTCCACCCAGGCCCTTCCTCCCCACCCCCTCCCCACCCTCCCCTCTCCACCCAGCCCCACCCCTCCCATTTTGCTCCCAGATGCACGACGGACGGACACAATAATCCCCTGTGGGCTGGTTGTGTAACCAGGAGGTTCCTACCAGTATAAGTAACAAAATACTCTCACAATATGCCCGTTTTCTTGTCGTGTTTGTCTATCCTCATAAAAACATGTTTTTACACATCCCATCAGCCTGACAGTCTACGTTTTTCAACAGCATTGGATAAATACTGTACAGGGTGATCCAGATGTCTTGTGACCCCTCATTTAATTCTCTAAGACTTAATATTTGTTTTAAGGTGCATTTAAAACATAAATGAACATGCAAATGAGATTTAAAAAATTGACTCAATTATATTGGGGTCACAAGACATCTGGACCATCCTGTACATAAACACTGGAATGGTTTCGACATTCATTGTTCTCATCAGCAGTCAGATAGGATTACACCAATTACCCTCCTTGGTGTTTGTGAGCATCTCGCCTCTCCGGACAAACCTCGTTTACTTGACAACGAACAACCTCATATTCTTAGCTCTTTCGGTAAAGTCACGTTGAAGGGAAACAATAAAATAATAAAATATATATAAAACAATACAAATTCTCACGACGTTTCGACCATAACACAAACGGTCGTCATCAGGTGTGTCGGTTTGCATAAATGTATTTATTTGTAAACGGTGTATTTATTTATTTAAAAACGTCAGCGCCACGCGCAGCGATTTGGCAGTTTATTTAGAAGGACGAGTCCATCTATGTTCTGAAAAGAGGAGGGGGGAGATGAAAAATTAATGTATGCTGTCTGAAAGACACTGTAAGCGTGAACAATCAATTAAGACCTGAAATGGTTAATCAAATCTTTCCAATGATTGCTAAGCCAGAATCCATCTTCTCGGTTGAAATTGTCTCTGTGCTTGTATATGTGGATAGCCTCATGAACGAATCTCTCATGGTAGCCAGATGGCTTACAAAGAACCTCTGTCTTGGAAAAGTCAATGTCATGTGAGCCTACTGAATTATAACAATGATCTGCCACGGCCGAGGTGTTGGTCCTACCGTGTTTAAGATCTGCTTTGTGTTCACGAATGTGGTCCGAGACATGGCGTTTGGTTTCTCCAATGTAACTACTACCACAGAAGCAACTTAGTTTGTAGACACCAGGGTACTGTATGTCCGGAATCACATATTTTACAGACGGAACTAGATCACGGATTTTATGTAATGTGTTGAAACGGACTTGGATCTTGTGTTTATTCAAGATTTTGGAGATCTTTTTTGTGATCCCCGCAATGTAGGGTAAAGTGATGGTTTTGAAAGGCTCCTCAAGAGGGTCCTTCTTCATGGTTTGAGTGATAGCTTTGCAGATTGTATAGTCGGAGTAACCATTAGCCTTAAGAGCTTGGTGTACGTGCTTGAGTTCACTGCCTATGTGTTCCTGGTCATGTCTCGGACCGCATTCGTGAACACAAAGCAGACCTTAAACACGGTAGGACCAACACCTCGGCCGTGGCAGATCATTGTTATAATTCAGTAGGCTCACATGACATTGACTTTTCCAAGACAGAGGTTCTTTGTAAGCCATCTGGCTACCATGAGAGATTCGTTCATGAGGCTATCCACATATACAAGCACAGAGACAATTTCAACCGAGAAGATGGATTCTGGCTTAGCAATCATTGGAAAGATTTGATAAACCATTTCAGGTCTTAATTGATTGTTTACACTTACGGTGGCTTTCAGACAGCATACATTAATTTTTCGTCTCCCCCCTCCTCTTTTCAGAACACAGATGGACTCGTCCTTCTAAATAAACTGCCAAATCGCTGCGCGTGGCGCTGACGTTTTATTTAATAAATAAATGCACCGTTTAAAAATAAATAAATTAATGCGGACCGGCACACCTGATGACGACCGTTTGTGTTATGGTCGAAACGTCGTGAGAATTTGTATTGTTTTATATATATTTTATTATTTTATTGTTTCCCTTCAACGTGACTTTACCGAAAGAGCTAAGAATATGAATTACTGCAGTCACGAAAGCTTTAAATCAAAACGAACAACCTCGTCGTCCGCACTTGACATCCCCCCATGCACCGAGTTTCCCTCAGAAACCTCGCCTCCATCTCTTTCCCGCCGAAAGAACAACAACAAAAAAAACCTCGACACGATCGTCAACAGCACTGCGTTGACTTTAACAAACAAACAAACAGGCGACGTTTTGGGCAACGACCCTTCATTCCTGCATGTAGAACGTTCCCGCCAGCGCGACTGCCGTTTAGGCGGGAGAGAGTCTGGAGCGAGAGGGAGGAGGAGGAGGCGGAGGAGGCGACGGCGACTCCGGGCCGCGAGGTGGCGCTGCTGCCCGGGCAGGGAACGGAGGCCGCTGCTCGGCTGCGCTGCCGACCGCCGGGGCCTCCGCTGCTGCTGCTGCTGTTGTTGTTGCTGCTGCTGTTGTTGCTGCTGCTGCTGTGAAGGGAACCCGCGCTCCATTGCCCTTACGCTTTCCACCGGCGAACATGGACGCGGTAATCGTCTCTGGGGCCGAGGAGGACGAGAAAGAGGGGCAGGAGGAGGGAGAGGAGACGGGGCCTCCATCGCGGAGCTCGCCGGGGCTCCACGGAGACCGAGGCCGCTCAGCTGATGATGGTGCTGCTGATGATGGTGCTGCTGATCCTGCTGATGATGGTGTTGATGATGGTGCTGCTGATGGTGACCACCTCGGCTGCAGCGCGTCCATACACAGGTGCGACGTGTGTCTGCTGTCACTGCCGGACAAGAGGCGATTCGCGTTGACTTCGTGTGCCGGCTGCTCTCACCGCATTGACGGATGAGGGGCAACGTTGCAATGGAGGTGTCTGGCACGAGTGGGGCACACAGGCCGCCCCGAGGTGCGGCGTGAAAGCCAAGGCGAGCGAGGAAGGGCACCTGGTGTCTGGTGCATGAGACTCGGTTTCAATATCATCTCACCTTGTGATACATACACCATGTGTTAATCCATTCTGGAGGCTTACCTGTTAGACATTTGAGCCGTAATCGAGGGTTACCTCGATGGGCTGTCACCTGGTCCGAAATAGAGGACGTTCAGTGGGTGCTGGGATGGACTTTGAGACACGCTTTGACATGTCTCATGGGGTCCTCACCTGGCTATGAATGATGGGTGTTAACTCACTGGATCTACCTGGATCCCTCTGCAGCCGTGACTCGGACTCGTCTCATTTTGCCCTCACCTGGTTATATGTAAATGATGCTGAATGCGTTCTAGAGCCGCATGTGGCATATTGGTGTCACAATGAGATCCGTCTCAATGTGATCTCACATGGTTACACAAAGTAAAGGATGCTTGACTGGTATAAGCCTGACTGGAGTAAACAAAAAACAGCACGAAAAGTGATTTATGCAAGCGGGCTGTGGAGTCAGCTCATAGCAAGGGAGGCACTTGGAGTGTTGGCTCCATGGGTTCTCGCCCAGTGGCGATTCTCGTCCACACTAAACTGGGGGGTACACATCCATATTTTAAACTTCGTGAACATTCCAGTGGTTGTCTTATAGATACAGTCGCCCCCCACCATAGGAATGTGTAATTTCCACCATTGGCTCAGGGCAGTAAGTTGGAGATGCGCACCGCCTCAATGCTCATTTGAGCAGGAAATCACTTTGCCTTTTGCGTGGAAAATTTCAAAATGTGGGATGAGACTGCAATAGCAGACCTCGGACGTCAGGTGTCCACTGTGTAATTGCTGGTAGTATCTATCAAAAGGAAGCCACTGTTTGGTGGCATCAACAGCATTAGCCACGATGACCTCTTTAATATGAACACGAGGGACTTCCCAAGCCGCCACCCAGTGGGGGACTGCCTGTGAACAGGAGTGGTATGTGGGGAACCATTGCTGTTCATTAGCAGTGCATGGGCTTCCATAGATTTCTCCTAGCTGGGTATGAATGAGTGATGCTGAGTGAATTCTGGAACTGACTCTAGGCATCTGAGACAACTAGTGTTTATGAGGTATGTCAAGTGATGCATATGCCCCAGAGATTTGGTGACTTGTCAAGATTCGCAGCCGTAATTTGACCCAATAATTGATTTTATTTCTGATATTCTGTCACCATCTAATTCGTATTTTTCACATTTTCTGTCTCCTTCATATGATTGTGTTCGCTTCATTAGCCTAAGTGTAACATTCAAATATATTTTAAGTACAATTAGAATACAATTCTAATTCAGCAATCTATTAGCACACTCACGATTCAAGGTATTGTATAGTGAGTGCAGGAATCTTCCGTGATTGATGAGTCTGCATTGTTATGTAACCAGTGTTTAGTATTGGAGGGTGTTGGTATCGAAGCTCTTGGACTCGCGAGCCCTTGCCACCACCATGAGGCGCCACAGCGGAAAGGGGCTCGTTGGATCGAATTGAGTGAAATGCGTTGTGACACGTTCACACGTTACCACGAGAACCATTTTTTTATGAATCTCTCTTTAACGTTAAAGAGGCAACTCACATGGACATCCATGAATACGTTTCCCAATTTAAACAACTGCAGAACAATTCTCATAGATAGACTAACCCTGTCATTGTTGATGAGAAAAAAATGGCAATTGCATCCGCTGTAGAAATGTGCAAAAGACGGTCCAAGCACTTTGACTGCTCATGCAGTAGAGCAGTAGTCACTCTCAGTGATTAGAATGTTAAAAAAAAACGGCTTCAGTTCTTGGAAAGAGGCCCATGTAGCCATTTGGCTGCGCATAATCACGTGCACCAGTGTCTCTTTTTTTTCTTAAAACAGAGTGATGCAGCTGGCGTAATGTTCTGGAATCTAAAAATATCCCTGCACCGATTACACAACCTGCAGTTGTGAGCAGCCACACCCAAAAACTATCAGAAACATACACATTTTCTAAACAGATTTCTAAGTGACACAACAATAACCAAGTTACAGCCTGCCAGCACCTATCTTCCCTAAACCCCTTCCCCAAACAAAACCCAATTGATCCTTTTGCATTAGATTGGCTGTAAATCTCTGGTGTTCTGCATTTTACAATTTACTGCAGCCAAGGAACAGTGCATCAATTACATAAGTGTTTTGTAACCCATTCTCAGATATATGTAAATGGTGAGATATTTCTTTCTCACATTTACAAAGTTATTTTTTTTAAATACAGTATTTGTAGATCAGAAATATATAGCTAATTCTGAAGACGTCAAGTATGCTATGGTAGTACTGGATTACATAGTATTGTCATTTGAACAACTTTAATCATGTCACATGATTTATTCGAGCCATTCATGTAATTCATTTATCCAATGGCAATCGATGCAGCAATGGCCACTTGAGGTTTGTAAAAGCCCGGATGTTTGTCCCCGGTCTTCACCAAGCATTGCGAGTGACGTCAAATAGCCCTGCCGATCTCGCGGATTGAGGTTTAAATCACTCAGTCTGATCCTGCATTCACTCTCGCGCATTGCATCCACACCCCTGCGTCGCGTTGTTCAGTGGGGGCTTTACACAAATTTGCATTGATGTCGACTGAATTTGCCTGACTGTTTCATTCGCCAAGACGGGGAGATTCGGAAGGAGCCCATCTGGAAGAAGGACGATCACCGACAGAGTTGAACGGAGCTACTTCGGGTGCCGGGACATGCACGGGAATAGCGTCGCAGGAGGAAGTGGCGTGCGGCTCCGGATCGTCACGTAGCAGCGGCGGCGAGAGATGTCCAGCCTCTTCCCTCTCCGCCTTGCTCGGGCACATCCTCACCAGCAGGGACGGGCCGGTGGTTGACACGCAAACCTCCATCCCAGAGGTGCCACTCACTCGCACAGCCTCATTTTCCACCGATTGTTTACTCGCCACTGGTCGGATTAGCCACATGACTTATATCCTCAGCCAAATCGAGAGCTATACTAGATATGGTGTTCCGGGTGCGGAAATATTTCCAGGTTATTAACCTGGCTGAATTTATGCCCTGGCTGCTCATAGAGGCAGATTCAGAATCAGAATCTTTATTTATACTGGAGGAATCCGATGAGCTACAAAGCTCTTTTTCACAGATGTCCAGTAGACTCCTTTGTGTGACCCAGAAGCCTGACAGAATAATGTTCATGTAGTTGTGTAATCCACTCGCCCCGTTCTTCAGCAAAATAAAAATGGAAAAATGGTTGTGTTTTCCATAACCAGTTTACAGACAGATGAATATTTTTTACACATTGTATAGCATTTGTGGTTCGTGTCGACATTTCCAAAGGGCAGGCAAGGTTAATACCATATTTTGCCCTACATTAATGAAATACACAAGAATGTACAGCATATGGGATAAATGTACAATAATTTCGATTAACACTGTCATGTATGCTGTTGGATTTAAATTATATTATTTTATAGTGTATTTTGGGAAATATGAGTAATAGTGCAACTTGTAAATGGGTTAATAATTAATAGTATTGGTGAAATATCTCTTTCCCCCTTGTTGCTAATACACCACAGTCATTTGAGCTGAAAGGGTGTATACACTGTGCGCGTGTAGCTGGTGCATCATGGCATCGCCAATGTTCCATTAGGGCTGAGCTGAGATGATGAAATAGAATCCTGGCTGCTAAGTGTGCTTGAGGCATGGCTAACATAGCCCACGGCTAACGGAGCCCTGACAGGCCCGACTCTGCAGCTCCGTACATGCTTTACTTCCTCATAAACAATCCCTGGGTTTGCCGCTTTCCACCACAAATAATGGATGTGAGCTTCTTACTAAAACCAACATTTCACTCACATTCCTGTGTGCTAGCTGTCATCGTGGTTTATAATGAGCAGAGTTGTTATAAATGTGCATGTATGACACCATCTATGTTGAGGTGTGGTGCACGCTGCTTTGCTTGTGGCCATGTGATGCTGCTCGTGTGACGCGGGTGTCTTGTGCGCGCGACAGGAGCGGTGGGTGCAGCTGTTTGAGCTGATGGAGCGACAGCACCAGGAGAAGATGGAAGCCCAGCAGCACCAGTACAAGCAGCACCTGCAGGTCGGCTTGGTTGTTTCTTGTAACCTCGCAGTTACTGTACTGAGAACAGGCCCCGTGGACCCACAACCCAAAGTGGCCAGCGGCAAGGAGCTCTCGTGATAGTGCAGCAGATGAAATAAAATTTAAAAAAATTATGATATCGAGCTAGGTGACGGGAACTTGAGGAAAAATAGACAGGAGTGCCACAGTTAAGCATTGTGAGAGAGCAAGAAAAAAATAAATGTAGTTTTCTGCATGATGGTGGTTGAACACAGTGTGGTGAGGGGGAAAGGTCATTCTGAAAGAACAAGTCGTCAGCACTGGTGGAGAGTCGATTGGAGTAAATGAGTGTAGGAGCATTGCTTATTGGTGTGCTGTCAATTAGGCATGTAATGATTCGTTCCCTCGCATCCCGATGAATTATGATTTAGGATCATGATCCGATTCACGGATCTTTTCTTTTTACCATTGTGGTGAATGTCACGCCTCTAGTGACTGCAGGGGTCACTTGAACCCATTACATAGAACATATACGAACCGTAAATAATTAATTCGCACGCACGCAATCTGGTGGATGTTTTGTGAGTGTAAGAATTGATTTTAATTGACGAATGGATACGTAGTTACATGGATACTGTCGATCAGTAACCGTCGCACATTGTCCAGTCAGTAAACGGCAGTTAATTTGGAATCGTTTGAAATGGGTAAGTGGACAGAGGGCACTGAGTGGATTGTCCGTTTTTCAAAAGTGAATGCTGATATCTGGCAGCTGCTGGGATAAGTGGGGCTCAGGGCCGGTGACCTTTCCGTGTGGAGAGGAACCAGTCTGCTCACGGGTGGGTGCGGAATGCTCCGTGTGCTGCCCGCACTGCTTTGATGCACTCTTGACAATCCCGAGTGCTCATGAAACTTGCATGAGCTCAACATAATTTATGAATGCAGAGCATCAACGAGTTTTCATAGGGCTTTTAATTAGTTAGGCACACGGTGTACTTGGCCGCCATCGCGCACCGCTTCCTACTGCCTCGTTAAACGTCCTCCTCTAAGCTGGGAACATTTTCTTGCTGCCACATTAAACGGTGCCATGCATTGCAGTGAAGGTAGGAAAAGTTAACCTTTTAAACAGACATATTACTATCACATCACTTTTGAAGATACTGAACTAAAAGCGAATGTTCTATTCATTACTTACATGCTTTATTTATAAACCAGGTGGGAGCCCATGGAGACTGAACTTCTTTTTTCACCGAAGACTTGGGCCAGGAAACAATATAGGAAATTTGTCATTAAAAATTCGAAACATCTAACGTCATACACTTGATCTCAACATAAACATTAAACAAGAATTAACAATAAAATATTACTGCTTATGACCAAATCACACGAAACGCACTCGATCTCACCAGATCTCGGCAATCAAGCAGGATTGAGCTTTGATAGTGCCCTCATGAGCGACCACTGTGCGTAAAACATGAGTAGCCACTGAGCGGAGCTACTTTGTCAGCAGAGGGCATTGTGGCAATATCCATTGTTGTAATAGACTATGGGCCAAAGTCTATGCTCTCCGCCTTCACCAGCCCCCGCACTGAACAGCGTGATAAAGTATGGTCCAATAACCCCCCACGACCCACACGGTGTGGGGAGGCCCTCATCCAGCAGTAAACTGACGAAAGGGCTGCTTGTATACAAAGCATTAAAAATAAATGCTTCCCCGTTTGTTTTTTGTTTGTTCAGATGCTGCACACCCAGATAGTCAACAGCATACACGAGAGGAGCCCTGACATCACCCCCAGTCACTCCTCTGTCCAGGAGTTGAACCTCACCACCTCGGAGTCGGAGGACGAGCGGAGCAAGGGCAGCACGCGGAGCGAGAAGTCACTTTCGCTACGAGATCTGACGGAGGCCCCCGCTGGGTCCACCACCGACAATCGGGAGCTCCACACTCACCTCCACGGGCAGGCCCTGACGGCGGAAGGCTCAGCACATGGGGCGGCTTGTAGCAATGCTCGCGAACACCTCGGTGCCGAGTCCATACAGGGCGAGGGCTCTGACGATACGGAATTCAATCGTAGTAGCGACGGGTCGGCAACGGTGTACAGCGGAAGCTTCGGTGAGGCTCGGCATCTCGAGAACGTTCAAGAATTTCCACGAAGCTTGGCTGCATCACAGGGAATCTGCGCGGAGGGTGAGAATTTGTTCTCGGTCGGCAACAAAAATGACAAACCGTTCGGCGGACTGGGGAGGAAAGAACAAACCGCGGAGTCTGCAGCGAAATCCTCAGCAGATGGAGCGAAGCAAAATGCGGACGAGAGTCAGAAAGGTCTGCAGATTGAACACTTACAGAGCTTCTCCGGTCACATGGGGTCTCAGGAGGACAGGGGTGCCGTGGCCCCAGATGTGTGTGTGACCGGAAAACTTTACCAGGCGAGCGGCCACCTGACAGGCACAGTGGCTCTGGGACAGACCTATCGAGTGCTGAAACCTCCGGGTAGCAACGCTATGGTTGAGTCTGCCGATGACAGCAGAAATGCTTCTCCGACAGCAGAAAGGTGAGTGATGTACAGATGGGGTATTTTGAATTCAGTCGTATCGGAATAGCATACTGTACTTGGATGTTACTGCCAAATGTTGTGAGTCTTGGGCGGCAAGGTAACCAGGAGATGGCAGTAGACACTTGATATCCATCTGTCCTGAAATTTGAGTGTCACCCCTTTGTATGTGTGGGTTTTCTCTGGGTACACTGGTTGTCTCCCACATAAAGCCATACACTCATTAAGGAAATGAGTCGGTACAGGACCTTCCTTAAAAGAGTCTTCACTCTTTCCTGAATAAATAAACATTATTATTTGCAATGGTTAATTGTAAGATTTAAAAAAAAGCATTACGTAATAATAACATTCATGTTTGACGTAGAATATAAATTTTAATATTGGAATTTTTTGTAACATTTAACAATATTTACAGATAATATAAGGTAAAAGCATTTAGTAATTTGTCTCTCGTGTCGATGTATGAAATGCATATCTAGACCCCTGACGTCTTGGGTGGAGCGGCAGAAGCAGAGGCAGGTGTGGCAGAAGGATGCGCCGGCAGGAGCAGAATCGGCAGACGGCCCCACGGGCCACGCAGGGCCCCGGCCTGTAGGCCCCATAATGGCTTCCCGGCATGACAAAGCCACCCAGTCGATCGCGCTTGACCAACTGCGGCATTCGGAGCCTGGTTCCGACGTTGCTCATTTCACTCCTCGTGGCACTCGTCCCGTGGGTCCCATCGCTTCCCCACAGCACCACGCTAAGCCCACCGCCTCCCTGATCCCGTCACTGAGCCGCGCCGGGCCGGTCGGTTCTGCCGCAGCCCAGCGGCACGGCGATCGGGCCCCGGCACCACACGGTGGCTTGATGGAGCATGCTGCTCGCTCGGTGGCCGATGAGGCTTTCCAACAGCAACACGTCCACCTGGCGGGCCCTGGCACTTTCCCGCACGGCGCCGCACAGCCTCGGGGAGCAGTCGAGTCCCCACAGCATGGCGCGCAATCCAAATGGGCCCTCGCTTCGGCTGAGCAGCATGACGGTGGGGCCCACGCGGGCCACACCGTTCCCCCTCATGTCGGCCAGCCTGTGCTTTCCATTATCCCTCCTCCTCTGCAGCAGCGCAGCGCATTCCTGAGGCCGGCCACTTTGCCTGAACACATGACAACGGCAGCACAGCCAGTAGGTTTACCTGCACGCTTGCAGCATGCTAGCACATGGACACACCCGTACTGCATCACCGGAGTGTTCGCTTGGGGTGTAGCAAGCTGCCAATTTATTCTTTAATATAACACATTGTTTGGTGATGCTGCATTGGCAGTGGTGCACAAACATAATAAAACAACTCGACACATTGAGTTTTCTTATCACGTATGTGTTGAGTTTTCCTGACATTGCATCTAGTTTATTAAGTTCACGACACATGCATTCGATTCGTATGTTGTTTGTAATGAGTTTTCTCGACTCTGTTAGCCACTAGAGGCCATTACAGTCACTGCATGAAAACATTAACGAGTCAGATCACAAACCTGAATTGCGATTATCCATTGGATTGTTCGGGGGTGAGGGGGGTAAATCACATATGTTAATATTCACCTTGGGTCTCGCATTTCGTGGTGACATTCCATGTTTATTTGGACATCGTGATTTTAAGCGAGAATTAATTGATAGCGTCATGTTTTATAATGAATTACAAATGCAGTACTGTGCATATAATTGGTGTGTGACCTTGTGTGAATACCGTACGTTGAATGGCTTCCCAAATTACGGCGCTGTATAATTTTCATTAACATGATGACGTGCACTCCATTTCGACAGTAAGCCTGCATGCCATAACACTATGCCTGCATGTCTTTAACAAAGCGCCAGTGTTGCAGCACCACTTGGTGTGATTGTGTGCGCATGTGTTTATACTCTGCAGCACAACAAGTGGTGGCGCAGTGGTTAGCGTGCTGCGCTTCAAATCCAGCAACCCGAGTTCGATTCCTGCTCACAGTCAACACCGGTGACGATTATCTGAACTGGTGCTGGGTTTCCCCTAGGTCGATTCAGTGTAAACTTCGCCACTGGAAAAACGCATGCCCTCGTGTACCGTGTCGGCCTTCATAGGTGCTCGCAAACAGCCCTTGCCCAAACACTCTGTCGAAAAATGTGGATTTTTTTGTGCTCTGCAGGCCTGGCTTGCATCGATGGCCCTCTCCCCGGTGTACAGAACCCCCGACACGTCAAAGGCCGACAGCCCTGACTCGCTCTCACAGAGCGAGCCCGAGTCCCGGGCGTCCCAGGCGTCCGGTAAGAGAGACGCACGTCCCCGCCCACGCGTTAGTCGTACGAGCCACGCGATGAGTGGTATGGAGTGGTGTGGGTGGTCATTTGTGAAAATTGTGTAGAGCCTTGAGGTGGCCGGGTGGCGGAGGGATCATAGCATTGAGCTGACATGGCTCGGCTTTCGAACCTAGGTTTTGAACTTTAGGTTTCAGCCGCCAGTGATTAAACCTGGTTCTCAAATGTAACGACTTGATGGTTTTAACGTCACCAAAAATTGCATGAAAAATTCGTGTTTTCACCACATTTGGCAACATTTCCGTTCTGAGAATTAAAATATCGTTTGGACTGCCATGCAGAAAACAGTTAACTGGAACGGAATGTTTGTGTGAAGTGCAGTGCCCCCTCGTGGGAATAAGAGGTTTCACAAAAGGGTTTTCAGAAACATACAATTGCATTTATAAAACGCACGGTTTCGTATTGTCTATTCATTATGGCATGAAGTTACCTCCTTGATTGGCACCTTGATTGAAAAATAAAGATTTCTCCGAAGCAAAATTAGTAATGGGAGTTAAAGCTGTTTTGTGGTGTGTGGCACACGTGACTGGACTACAAGTGGAATGTTTAGATATATGTTGAACTTCTTTCGTACCATACGTAGCCGATCGTGCTAATTGGAGGTGTGGGGGAAGGACAACAAAATGCGGCAGCTCCTCAGCCAGCATTTGATGGGAATCTGTGCATTGGGTATAGATTTACCTGTGGCCTTGTATTCACCACCTGCGTGTGTTGTTCATGGGACTTACTGACGTTTGCTGGCTAATGTTGGTTTGTGCTGTGTTTATGATTCAGACTGCTCACTTTGGCACAAGAGTCACTCCTTTGGGGCAGAGACGATGAGAAACGGATCCCCGCTCCACGGACGTCTGTCACAGATTCAGGTTCCGACTGGAAAAGCTGTAGGGCACCGCACGTTAGACACGGCACTGGGGTAGTTATATTGACATCAGAGAGCTCATTAGCCCAGCGCTGCTGCAGTTCTCCAATATCGGCTCACAAGCGACACAATGTTACAGCTCACACATGTCACATTAACGTGAGACAGCCCTCTCGCCCAGTGCTCCAGTGACAGCTCACACAACACATTACCATGTTTCTGTCTGGTCCTTTAAACTAAGCTCTTCCCATAGGTGGGCAGATGCCTCAGGGGTGAGAACACTTAGCCGGTACCGCTGCGATCCTGGATTCAAGTACAGGTTTCTGCTGCTCGTGATTAAACCAGGATCTCAACGTAGTGAGTTGATGGTTTCAGCCATGTAACCAATGACTAATTGTAGATCTACAACTTGACCGTCCATGGATTGCTGTCTGACACAGGCTAGTGCATTGCTTTCCGAGAGTTACAAATGGACATTATTCCATCTTGAGACTTGCCGTTAATAGAGCAGTCGAAATGAAATGGGCAAAATAAAAATAGCTATTCCCTTTTGACTACTCTCATAGCACCTCGGAGCTTTATTTTCATTCTCCACCTCCAACCACTTCCTGTCTTCTTCTTCTTCCGCTCCACCAACCGCAGCCACCCGGCGTCTCCCTGCGTGAACTCTACAGGGAGCGGAGGAGCAACTCACTAGACAGTCGGCACCCGGAGCCTTTTGGACAATTTGGCCCCGAGGTAGGCGGCCCTGTGCCGACCGGCGTATGTCGGTGCCGGTTCCGATAGCTTCAAGGGGAAGCCCTCTCGCCGGTGGCTCAAGCACCGGCTCGTAGCTTCAGCAGACTCGTGTGCCGCCAGTTCCGTGGCAGCACCGTTATAGTTGCCCTTCATCAAATGAGATCAAACATCCCAAATAAATTACATTATTATAAACTGGTTATTCAGGGTGTGTCCCTGTGCTTATTGTGCAGGTTGCACTGGTGTATGTGTGTGAAGCAGTGGTTTGTGCATTGCACTCCAAACCCATTCACTTGAGTTTGATTCCTAGTCATGGCTAACATCAAGAGCAAGTAATGTCAAAGCCTGGCCTGAGCCTTTCCTAAATTTACTTGTCCTTAAATGAGAATGTGGTACGGTGTGTGAACATCAGCACTGGGGAGACAAAGGGTGTGATGCTGACCAAACCTTTAATTCAAGCATCATTTGGCCTTTATAGACCCTCACTAACATCACTTGCCTCAACAGTCTCTCTGGATACACAGGGAGAACTTTGTCTTGGCCTGTGTGTGTGAATTAAGGCTGGACTTGGATTCTGGCTGGACGAGTCGCCTCTGTCCCCCGTGCACCACGTGCAGAACATAACTGTCTCCAGTGATGCTGTCCCTGCCTCTCAGGTCAGTCACAGTTTTGCTCAGACTCATTCCCTACACAGAACTAGAGAACGACATGGTCTGTTTTATTGTCTAGTTTTTACAGATGAGATTATATCAAATACAAATCATTTCTTCAAGTGAAATCACTTGCACTAATTTCTGACAAGCTTTGGATAATTATGCGCTCAAAGTCTGTGCCATACGCAGCTATTGGCATGTTAAGTGAATGGGGCTATGGAAAACATTATTGTGGGCATTGATTGCAAAGCAATGGAACGATGAGATGTTTGTTTCATACAGAAACAGACTGCTACCTCTGCTCCCCATGGCAAGGCCGCCCAGGCGAGCACAAATTACCAGGGCCAGGCTGATGTGAGAAAACGGAGCCAGGCGCCTGCTTCACCCAAAGTGGCCTGCGCGGCTCGCAAAACGCATTCCTGCGCTCGCAATGGGCCTGCAAAGGCCGCGCCGAGCTGCTCGGGGTCTCCAAGGCGCGGTGAGAATCTACCGCACTCGCTGCCGAGCGGGGGCTCCCCCATCAAGAGCGGGCGGCGCGCCGCTGCGAGCCAGAAGCGCGACAAGCGTGCCGATGGCAACACGGGGGATGACACGTCGAGCTACGCCTGCTCGGAGAGCGACTGGAGCATGGAGACCTCGCCGAGCCCGCAGGACCCCGTGCAGCTCTCACGGTGAGACTTGCAGCAGCTGCTCAAAGGAAGCCACTGGTGGGATCATCGTGCTTACTTGGGATTACCACATGTTTTTGTTGTCCATGGGGCTGGTGTAAATGTGATGGTGATTATTACTAGTTGTGTAGCAATGCATTTATTTATTCATTTAATTTGATATGCACATCCTAGGAGGTGGCTGGATAGCTAAGTGGCGATTGATATCTGAACCCATCCTGGGCTTCCCCTATGTTAAGCCTTGTTTGAGTATCTGGAGCAGCGTGTAAAACATCAGCACTGCGTTTACAGGCGGCCACGGTGTGGTGCTGGCCCTTCCATACCCCCACCGTGCCGGCCTTCATAGGTGCTCACTAACAGCTCTTGCACCAACAGCCTGTTAAAGGCTACATGACGGATCTTTGTCTGTGCACGTCCGTGCTCGTGTTTTCCCCTCCAGGCTTCGCGTGCAGCTGCGGGAGAAGCACGCGCGGCACCTGGCGGACCTGCGCTCGTACTACGAGGGTGAGATCGCGTCGCTCACAGAAAAGCTGAGCAAGTCCAGCCCGCGCTCGCCACGCAGGGAGGCGCAGCGCGCCAGCCAGCGGCAAGTAGCACCACTCTCCACTCCCATCTGGAGCCTCATGCTGTGCAGGAAAGACGTGGATGATAAAACCACAGCTGATTTTAATGTATGTCAGTGGGCAACATTAATAGCGTATAAACTAATAACAGGCCTGTAAAAAATAAATTGGGATAACGTTTTGGGTCATCAACATTATGGACCTTCCAGGCCCTTGTTTTCTGTCAATATTTAAGTTGGTAAACCAGGGACTATTTTCATCAGCAAAGCATGGCCTGTTGAACAATGTCGCCGGATTGCCTGATGTTATGTTCAAGAGCCCTCGACAAAAAGCATGATGGGGCCCATTCAGCACAGTATGGTAAAATCATACAAAATATTATGTGTTTTAATACCGAGCCATCATTTTCTACACTGGTACTGGCATATGTCGTGTTGTACACAACATAAAGAGCTAAGCATAAGTTCAGTAGTCCACCTGCTATAGGTAGGGTGTCTTACACTCGATGTGTTTATTTTTCATTACATTTGTTTCCGCTTTGTTTATTACAGGTGCGATGAGCTGGAGAGAGCTCTCAAAGTGACGCATCAGCGAATCCGGGACCTAGAACTGAGAAACCGGGAGCTTGAGGCTCAGCTGGTGAGTTGATCGCACAATTCTCACTCGCCACGATGTCACCATGAGAATGAGAGCCTGGAAATGTATCGCTCGCTCTGTAGAGGGTGGTACAGTTCCACTTATTGTAAAATACACCGTGCTTGCTGAAAACATTTGGAAGAGGCACGGTGAGCATTAGGTTTTGTGTTAAATTATTCGCGGCAAAAGGGCTGACCCCTGCTGTGTGGACCGGAGGTCACTTGGAGGGATCTCAAGATATCGTTCTGTGATATCCGCTTCCATGGGCCGTTCTCCAACACGGAGGTTCGCGCTGTTCTGCGAGAGATCCGAAATAAAATTCCACATGGCACCGTGCACTAAGGCGCACGCTCGGAGCCGCGAACTTGACGGAGCGGCGTGGCGGCGCGAGCAGACGGAGTGGCGCGAGCGCTACGAGACGGCGGCGGTGGCGGCGCGCGCCATGCAGCAGCGGCTGGAGGAGGCGCGCGCGCACGTCCGCCAGAGGGAGGGGGCAACGCTGAAACTGCAGGCGCGGCTGCGCGACGTCGAGCACGCCTTCGAGACGGCCTACAAACTGTCGGACGACAAGGAGGCGCGCATCCAGCGCGAGCACAAGATGCTGCAGGACGTACGCACGCACTTACCCCCGCGCCCCCCCTCATGCAGAGTTGCGCGTGACCACTTCTCGTCATACGCAAACGTTGACATTTAAATAAATTTCCGTCTTGCAGCTGCTGGCAGAGTACGAGTCACTGGCAAAGGAGAATGAGCGAGTGAAGGTACGTCACGTGACGTGCGTTTGCACGGTCGGTAGATTTATCTTCGTATGCCTCTAAATAAATGATACTGTTCAGAGCAGCTTTCTAATCGATGCCACCATCTTATTCTACGCAGGAGGCACTTAGAAACACAGAGGACAAGCTCTTTGATGCCAACAATGAGATATCGGAGCTGAAAAGGTGAGTTCGGATTCATGTGGTGGCGTGTCACTCCAGCATGTGTCCTCACACTACGACTACTGCTACTGCCGAGCTTCGCGGTATTTGTCCAAAGCTCCCGCTGCGCTGGGCCAACCGCTGGCGTCGTCCTCGCCCTGTGCCCAGGATGAAGTCTCGCCTGGAGGCCCAGATAAAACAGATTGAGCATGAGCACGTGACCACCAAGGCGCGCTCCAGCGACGGCATCTCCTCGCTGCTGCACATCAACTACAGGTAACGCTGCTCAATGGTAGTACGCACGATCCCACGGCTACATTCACAGTGTGATCACAGGTATTGATACAAGATATTTGTATATTACGCCCCCTCCCAATTATGTAATCCGTTTATAAGACTGAGAAGACACTGGACACTCTCGCACAGAAGCAGATATCTCAGAGCTACCTCTGAGTGCCCTTCAAGTGACATTGCATCTAGATATTAGGAAGCAGCACTTTCCCACCCACTCTGCCATATAAGAGTAATATTTATTGCATGACAGTCAATCCGATATTTATAATTACCAGAGCTGGGATTTGGCCAAAATTAAGTACTAGAAACAAGTTTTAAATGCATTTTTTGCATGCATTATTTATGGTTTGGCTGAGAACATCAACTCGCTCCACTTGAGAACCCGGTTTAGTTACAGATAGCTGCAACTTTGATTGGAACTCTGGATCTCATTGGTGCTGTATAAGAGCTCTGACCTCTGAACCACCCGGCCACCTCTGAACCACGAATATTTTGAATGTCCACGCTCGCCGCCGTGTATACGTCGCTTTTTTGTCTTATCCCAGCAGCAGCAGCCCGGCCGTGGTGGAGAGCGGCGTGTCTCCTCCGGCCGGCGACTCCCCCAGCAGCCGGCGCCGCTGGCTCACGTCTCGTCGTGACTTCTCTCTCTTCACTGGGGAACCGGGCCCTGGGCCGCCGCTGGGCAGCGATCACCCAGGATTCTCTCTGTCTGAGAGGTGAGTGCATGAAGGTCACATCGGGTCATCGCCATCATCATCGTAACGATGAGCTTCAATGGGAGCCTATGGGCCTGGCTTCTTTACGATTACAACCGTCATACAATCTTGTAACCATAACCCTTTACCAGACATTCACTGCGATGACATCTGCTCTGATTAGCACCTCTGATTAGCACCTCCAATTCGCAAGGGTGGCTAACATGCATACGTATATGCTCGTGGTTAGAAGCTAGGCGGATTGTTGCATCACAGTACCATGACAAGAGATGGTGACGGCCTGGGGAGGCCTTCATCCAGCAGTGAATTAATCATGGATGATGATGATTACAGGGAAAGATCAAACACAGTGATAACGGCTGTAAGAACAGCACCCATTTGGACTGTAGCAATGCTAAAGCGCAGGCAGTGAAAGGCTCCTTACCGCTTTGGCAATAACAAATCTTACACATTTAAGTTGGCTGAGTATTTTACAAATATCATTCCCCACTGGGAGTTATTGCATGGCTCAGTTGCTGTGGTTTGAGGCAGGGCTGTCCCCTCACTGGCTGTGGTGATGTTATCCCAGAATGCACTCCCCGCCGGAGAAGGATGACACCCGGCTCCAGACGTCTCCAGACAGCCCTGCGGGTGCGGCAGCCGCGGTGGCAGTTCAGGCCTCGATCCCGCCGTTCCTACGCCCGTTCCCTGGCAACAGAGACAAGGGCAACGGCACCGATGACGGGGAAGACGCAGGGTCCCGGGAGGGGCCCCCCCAGCATCCGCACCCCACCCAGCATTCGCACATCCAGGGCATTGGAGGTGCGCCAGCAGCCGATCTGTCCGTGACGCCCGTGGGTTTGAGTGGAGTTTAATTCAGTCACTGTGTCTTGTACGTAGTGTTTTGCACATCTTTCACGCTTGAGCTAATGTGAGGTTACTGTGTCAATGGGAAGTTCGGAATGATTGTGTGCAGAGCATGGCCGTTGAGGTCGCCTAAGCGCATGGAGTAACGAGTTGTCCTCCAGGCAAGGGTGAATGCGAGTAGAGTGACGTGTTTGCAGACGGAATCGGGCTAGTGGGGGTGGCGGGGAGCCCGGCCAAGCGGGACCCGCCCAGGGGGGGCGGTAAGGAGGGGAGAGGCCGTCCGCTCGGCTCGCCCCCGAACCGGCGCTCCTCTTCGGTGCCGCCTAGCGGGCGTCAGCACCATCCGACGCCGAGTACGCACCGCACGACGCCCGCCGCATCAAACCTCCATCGTCACCGAGCGGCCCCGCGGCACTCGCCGCATGCCGGCCGGGACGCCCCGCATGCCTTCTTCCCCTGTGCCTCTCATTCCTCTTTTCCACTGTAAAACCGTGTGCCAAGCCAGCCCAGTGTGGCTGGGGGGGGGGCGCTCTAGGTTGTTTTTCCACTGCAAAATCCCCTGACGTTACACGCGACGAACTTACACGCATCTCGCTTCGTTCGCGACGAACGAAGCGAGATGCGTGTAAGTTGTACTGGCTGCTGTCACACACAATGAATTCGTCGTTAGCTCCACCCCTGGCCCTGCTTGTTCCGGAGTCGGATTTACATTTCCTATGAGAGTAACGTTATAACAGATTGGGATCAGCACGGCACAGCAAATAGCCAGTGGAAAACCACCCTTATCATGCAGGCTCGGCTCGGAATGTGTCAGTGGAAAAGAGGTATAAGTGTAAGTGCTTGCTGTGTGTGGGGTCTGTGTCCTATGAACCCCAGTTTTGACCCCTCTTCACCCATGCGTGGCTGTTATCATCCACACAACCTTTCATTTTGTTTGTGCAACTGTTAAGAAACAATTCGTCTGTTCGAAGCATGACCATTTTCAATCACATAACCAATTAATAATGAATACCACATTATTAATCGGATATAACATGTTTAAGCATACATACTTTGTATTTTTAGAGGTTGTTTATTAAAAAGCTGGGCTCAGTCTAAACAAACATCATTCTTCCATGTCCCCGTGTTGCATATGAAGCCAAGCAGGCCTTGTCCAACTTCCCGTCACCCAAAAGGGGCAGCCCCATGAGGGACCTCTCGCTGGGATTCAGCCGCCTGCTCGGCAAGGAGGAGGGGACGCCCACCAGGTACGTGGCCGTGGTGGCTTCGCAAACCAAGGGGCAGAGTAATCAATAATCTGAAACTATAGAAGCACTGGTTGTGCATTATGTGTTGAGTTGGGCTATTTTATTATCTGAGGAACTGTTTGCTACTGATTATCAGATGTATTACTTTTTTAATTTGATAACACGAAAATAGTTGTGGAAAGTCGCCTGTGTTCCCACGTATGCCGCTGGACGGGAGGTGATAGGCGGAAGGGCTTGGTGACATAATGGGTGTCGCGTGTGATTACAATCTTTAAAGAAATCATTGAATTCACGGACTAATAGTTCTAGTCATGTGTTGTAATGGATAGGGTGAGTCGCCAGTAGGGGGCGTGGGCCCAATAAGAGGGTGGGGGGGGGGTCAGTGAGGAATGCAAGAATGGGAGCTCTTAACGTGGGAGCGCCAGGCAATAATATACAATTCAATTAAACCTTCAAAGCTGGTTTTAAAGTTTCTAAAGGCAAGGCAACAAACTGTAAAACACAATGCATATTCTTTATTGTTTTTTTTCGAATTGCTTAGATGAAAAATCAAGTCCCTGTAAATCTGCACGTTCAAAAATCTGAACTTCAAACGGTGCCAGGATGGCTGCTGGGAGCTCTGTCCTCTGTGACTGGACTTCCCTTCATTCGGATCTGTTTAGGAACCGTTGAGCCAAGTGGTGCATCTCTGGCTACGCTTGTGCTGCTGTGATGCATCTCTGGCAGGGATCCTCGTTTTGCTTTGCACCTGGATTGGCACGGGGGCGTGCATTGGCGGTGGGGTTGAGTGTGTTCCACGTGCCCGTCCTCGTGTGCATGTGCAGGTTTGACATTCAACTCAACTCTGTAGATCAGCCCTGTCCACCGACTCCTACGGCCAGTCCCCGTAAGCGGCTGCAGTTCATCCCACTGCAAAACATTTCTGCTGGTGAGATTTACTCCTGCTACTTTGATGCCACTTATGCTAATATCAGCCTCTTAATTAGCCCTGCTAATGGTGAAGCTGTAAGCATTGGATCTGATAGCTGGCTTATGATGGTGTAAATTGTGTACTCCTCACCACTACCTCCTCGCAATTTGATGAATATTCATGATTCACGGTCGTGTGCCCGGTGCCAGTGTGTACGTTTCACCAGGGAGTTGCTCTGTCTGTTCAGCCACGAGCCCGGTGTGGAGCGACGGTGAGGGTGTGCGTCTGTCCCCGCGCGTCGAGTCGGCGCTCAGCGCCGTGCGAGCCGGGACCGTGACAGCGCGTGCCGCCTGGGAGAGCGACGGTGCCGCCGCGCTGCTGGCGCAGGGTGGAGGGACCTCCTCCCACAAGCCGCCCACTTCCTCCTCCTCGCGGACCAACTCCCATTCCACCGGAATGGCTGGGGGAATCCTGCCTTCCCGACAATCGAAAGCGGTTCAGACGAAGGCGGGGACCCCTGGGTCTGGGCCAAGTCCGTCCAAGCCGAGCGGCGACCAGGCCCAAGGACAGGGCCACCAGGGGAGGGATCTCCCCACTGGGCCGAGCAAACAGGGGGCGGCTGCCATGAGCGGGGGCCCAGCGAGGCCTTACCCCACGGCAGGGGTGAAGCCGGTGGTTCTGTCGGCGCCGTACGAGACGGAGTTTTCGGTGCAGGAGCGCATGCGCACTCTGGGGCGGTTGGAGAAACAGCTGGACGAGCTGACTCTGGAGAAGCAGCAGGTGATGAGGACTTGTGCTCCCCACACACGATGTGCATAGGGGATTTTACCATTTTCCTTTTGACCATGTTTTTGATTATTAACACTTCAGCAAAGGTTGATGCGTTTATGTATCAACGTTTGCCTATAATAGAAGACACAAACCAGCTGCCTGTAAACTTCCATTTTGCTTGTTGGAAAAGCTTAAACAACCATTGCAAAGGCATGATTTTAACCTATTAATTATTGGATGTAATCTGCTCCTTGTCCCCAGTAAGTGTTCACCCCCCTATTACAGCCAGGTTTATGTAACACTCAGCAGTGCGCTATTTCCTCGGTCATCAGCTCAGCCTCCGTGTGCCTTGCAGATCGAGTCGGCGTTAAGCCGAATCCCTTCTTCTGGAGGCCGCGTCACTCGCCAGATCCGCATGGACAAGGTAAGGTACCGCTTCCAAACGCACTCGCTCGCGTACAAAGTGGTGCCGTTGTGTTCATGTATTAATTGGAAATTACGAGATCTATACCACGCCGTCGTGATAGTTTGCGCACGAGATGTTATTGCGCTTGTGCCCACTGGCGCTGGCATGCAGGACGAGCTCGAGGAGCGGCTGGAGAAGGTGAACCGCGAGCTGGGCTCGGTGCGCATGACGCTGAAGCGCTTCCACGTGCTGCGCTCCTCCAACAGCACGTGACGGAACCGCCACTTCTCTCCACGTCCCATCTCCTGCACCGCGTGCACCCGCTAGCGCCACGTGGTAAAAACTCAATTTGTGAGACGCAGATGCTAGCCGTGCCACCGCCATCGCTGCAGCAACGGTTCGGTTCAGTCTCTACCAGTGCGGCACACGCTCAGTGGTATAGCTATCGAGTGTTGCAGGTGGTGCAACTACACTGGAGCCCATGGGCAACATGAGCAACATGAGCCCAGGTGCTGGGATATGGAGAGGGTAAATGTAATTCCTTGCACCAGGCCACCAATGACAACTATGCTACCCCACTGCTCGCGCTGGCACTTATCTCACTGAACAAGCCTTCGAAAGTGTAGAATGTCTAGCTATTGAATAGCACTGGTGTACAGGGTTTTATATTTTGCAGCCAACTCATGTAATAAGCCTCTTTTGTACCATTTGCTGTGTTGCAGTTTGCGAGTTTTCAGTCGTATTTATATTTGCAGAGGCAGTCTGTGGTGTGATTATATGGAGTGGAGTGATTATCAACCTCTAACAATTAAAATCAAACGTTGTTAAGACCTCAATGACGATGCAGCTAGTTTGGATTTTTATACGAAGCTAATTTATGTTAATATTTATTTACTTTTTACATTGTATGGCGTTGCTTAACATTCCATTTACAATGCTAATAAGAAATGGCTATGAGCAGGCATTCAGATGTGTACAGGGTAGCACAGTCAAGTGTCCAGTAATATTTCAGTAATGACGATGCCGTGTGTAAGTTATCTTTGGTGTGCTTTAGTCTTGTAAGCCACTGTATTGTAAAGTTGTAATACATAAAGTGTTAATGGAATACGACCCAGCGAGTACCAGATATCTGCCTTGCCTTATAGACCATTGCTAATTATGCACTAGTATGCACTCATTTCCAAATTAATTTGTAATGTTACAATGCACACACGACAGTGTAGGATATGAATCGCGGTGATTTGTTCACAGAACTTCAGCATGGCTATTGTTGCGCCGTCCAGCGCTTGTATGCTTTGGATTTCTCTGCATTCTACGGAAGGCTGCTATGCCGGCCGCTGACTGTTCTGGTCGGCAAAACCTGTGTGCAGTTGTCTTGGTTAGATGCGCGTGCTGTGGATTAAATGCACTGAACATTTTTTGCAATAAATGGTTTGTACTCCAGAGTTTTCTATGTACAATGGCCACGATGAACAGTTACCAGAAACCCCTGCCAACCATTTCAGTGTTCGGCAGTTGAGATAATGCGAAATCACGTCGCGTCTCACCATGTAGATTCTGCCCAGTCACCAGGCTCCTTAGTGCATACGGTACAAGGTGGTTGGTGGTTGACATATGCGGGGAAACTCAGCCTCTTTTATTGAAGTGGTTGCGCTGCACTCTGGTTACCATGGATGTGGCCTTGTAGGCAAGTAGCCATATAACATTTCGCTTCCCTCTCACCATTCAATAAATTGTCATGATTCGAGGTCGTGATGTGTATCATACCACCTCCGATTAGCGCGGTTGGCTACGTATGGTGCCAAAGAAATTCAACATACATAAGTACATGATTTGGGATTGTTTTTCCATTGTGGAGAATGTAGTGCCTCTAGCAGCTGCTGGCGTCACATGAACCGATAAAGTCCAAACACAAATAATACAAAATCTCTGCACACTTGAGATACATGGGTAAGAATCAATTTTAATCGATGCATCTTTACAAGCATATTACTGAGGGTCTGGTTGTCATGCTTGAAACGTGGATTTGCATGACCAGATGCGATTAATGATATATCCAGTATCGCACTCCCATCAAAATAGCTGCTTCTGTGAAGCACTCAACGCTAATTGTATGTAACTTTGCAATGCATAACCAAGACATTCCGTGAAATATTACATCACCAAATTCAACATTTACTAATTAAAGTACGTGAAGGCCTCTCACTGATCAAACTACGAAACTTAGTGCAAACTTTAATTTCTAGTGTTCAGACATTCTAACAGTTGAGCAACTGGCAGATGTTGCTGTGGAATGGATGGTGTTGGCACCAGTCGTGATCTTGTAGTGAAAATTCTGGTAGTGCTCAGTCCTCGGAGAACAGCATGGACACCAGTTCAGGCTTGAGGCACTCTTCCTCCACCAGCTTCTGCGGCTGAGGATCACAGCAGCGGAGGTGGATTACGGTTAGACATGGATGGGGACCAGGAATGCCACCTCAAGGCATAGAACCAGGTCACTCTGAATGTGCACAATCTAATTAGATCTCTGAAGCTAAAGATGGGTCGAGTCAGTACCTTGATGGGAGTCTGCCTGAGAATGCCAGGTTTTATAGGCTTGGGCTGAGGTGGCCAGGAGATGACAGCATAGCAGTTAATTCTCAAATTCATCTGCGTGGAGATGTATTACCCCCTCATAAGTTTGGGTTTTCTGGTTTCTTCCCACATGAAGCAACTCGTTTATGGAATTGACTAAACATCCCAATTCAGCACCATTCTCAAAACAAACCTTTCCAGGGTAATTAAAGGACACTTTCTGTTACATGTGAGCTTAAGATTTAATTTCCGCTGCATCTCTCTGGATCGGTGAATCAGAAAATATTTCCACATCTGGCAAACCACATCCAGTATACCTCACGCTATGCCTCTGGTTACTAACGACATGTCTACTCCAGTCTCCCAGCGACCAGGAAAATATTGAGTGAGAAATTAGGCCCCGTATGGGCCGCAATGTTGTGCTAGCTATGTATGGATCCTCGTGGCTGGTCTAAGCTAGATATGCGTTTGGTGGAATTGTATCCCGCTATCTTTGTGTACAGCTGACCCATCAATGCGGCCAGCAAAGCCAAGAGGCTACACGCAGTAAAGTGCTAGCTTGGGACCCCGGGTGTTGTTAAGGGGGAGTCGCAGGGCGTTACAGGGACCCCGGATGAGCCCCTGAGCGGTGCCGAAGTTCCTCACCGAGCCGTACTTGAGCAGTGTGGGCACAGCCGTCAACTGCAGCTGCTTCCGGAACTCGTTGTCTTTATTCTTCCAGCTGTGGGAGCAAACACGGCACGGGCTGTGAGATTCACTGCCGATCAGCGCTCAAATTAACAGGCAGTGGGCAGTGTTGGTGCTCATGGAGATGCCCTGAGCTGTTAGGGCTGCAGTGAGAAAAAAACAGTGCTGCTCTGAATAATAATTAGCATCAGGTTTCGAGTCCAAGGGCAAGATAATGGTTTAAAATGATCAGAGCATAACTATGCATGGCAAGATATGACAGAGGACGTTAAGAATAGGTTGCACGTACCTGTAAATCAACTGCTGGATGAGAACCTCTCCAAACCTAACGAGTTTGAGGAGTGATTTAAACATTCTTCTTAACATAGCCGGTCAATGTGAGTTCAAGGTGAGGAGCATAAATTCAGCAAATAAGCACAGTAAAATGGATTGTGCTGTTCTCTGCTGCCCACCGCCTCGCCAACACGGCTAGGGCTATGGCTACCAACTGCCCGCAGCAGCATTTCTAAAATAATGCTGCAAGAGTGCAGGGTGCCCAATGTGTGTGCGCCATGTAAAACAACTGGCAAGAGAGCCCTTACTATGCACGGTCGCCCACTTGGCAGTAGATGAAGACGGCTCCTTCTGGGAGAGTGTTCAGTGCGCTACGCACCACGGGCTCGGCTGCTCGCACCGCATGGAAAACACAGCCACACCTCAACCAGAGTGGACCTCAACCAGAGTGTACCTCATCCAGGAGACCACACCTCAAAGGACCATACTTCATCCAGGCAACCACCACACCTCATTCAGGAGACCACACCTCATTCAGGGGACAACCACGGCTCAACCAGGAGACCACACCTCATTCAGGGGACAACCACAGCTCAACCAGGAGACCACACCTCATTCAAGGGACAACCACACCTCGTTCAGGAGTCCACACCTCATTCAGGGGACAACCACACCTCAACCAGGAGTCCACACCTCATTCAGGGGACAACCACACCTCATTCAGGAGTCCACACCTCATTCAGGAGACAACCACACCTCATTCAGGAGACAACCACACCTCATTCAGGAGACAACCACACCTCATTCAGGAGACAACCACACCTCGTTCAGGAGACAACCACACCTCGTTCAGGAGACAACCACACCTCGTTCACGGGACAACCACACCTCGTTCACCGGACAACCACACCTCGTTCAGGGGACAACCACACCTCGTTCAGGAGTCCACACCTCATTCAGGAGTCCACACCTCACTCAGGAGACAACCACACCTCAACCAGGAGTCCACACCTCATCCAGGGGACAACCACACCTCATTCAGGAGACAACCACACCTCGTTCAGGAGTCCACACCTCATCCAGGGGACAACCACACCTCATTCAGGAGATAACCACACCTCATTCAGGGGACAACCACACCTCGTTCAGGAGTCCACACCTCACTCAGGGGACAACCACACCTCATTCAGGAGTCCACACCTCACTCAGGGGACAACCACACCTCATTCAGGAGACAACCACACCTCATTCAGGAGACAACCACACCTCATTCAGGAGACAACCACACCTCGTTCAGGAGACAACCACACCTCGTTCAGGAGACAACCACACCTCGTTCAGGGGACAACCACAGCTTAACCAGGAGTCCACACCTCACTCAGGGGACAAGACCTCAAACGCGGGTGACCACAACTCCGCGACAGAACCGAACGAGCCCTCGTTCGGGGGCCCGCGCCACTCCTCACCGGCCACGCAGTCGGGGCACCAGCTCTCGCCGCCCGCGTCTTTGCTGCCCGAGAAGAGCGCGAAGATTTCGCGGCCCTGCAGCCGTCGCACGGCGCTCGTGAACTCGGCGTAGCCGCTCACGCTCACCTCCTCGCAGCTCGCCATCCTCGCGGCCTCGGCGTCTGCGGGGATGGGAGTGACGGCGTCGTCACGATGAAGGGGTGCGGCGGGGTGCGGGGGGAGCACGGATGCGGCCACGAGCGATGGTGATGATGGGAGCGGTCGACTTAACGGTGAACGCCGCGCCGCACTACGAACGCTCACGGCCAACACCGCTGACGATGAACTTAAACCGGGTCACGGGCATCCCCTAGGTCGACTCGGACTCAAACGAGTACCCCGGTGCGGTGTGTCAAGACGTCGCCACTTGGGGAGACAAAGGCGGCCGGGCGCGGTTGTTGGCCACCCACCCACTCGTGTGCCGTGCCGTGCTCGCTAACAGTACTTGCCCCAACAGTCTGCGGAGGCGATACGGCGGGGGGGGGTCTCTGTCGTGTGTTGCGTTGAGGTGGGGGGGGCTGAGCACCTCACTCGGCAGTAGCAGCAGCGGCGGCAGACGCGACCCTTGACCCCTCACGACTCGCTCGTCACGTGAGCTCTGAGCTCGCTCGTCACGTGGTCGGGCCGCTTCCGGTAAGGGAGCAGGGGGGAAGGGCCCAGAATGCAGCGCGCTGGGTTCAAACACAACCCGCGCGGGGGGGAGAGTGGAGAGGAGGAAAGCGACGAGGTGGTGGTGACGAGGTGGTGGTGGCATTATTGAAGAGATGTGGGGGTGGTGGAGTGAATGATGAGGAGAGGGAGTGAAGAGAAGCAAACAGAGGTGGAGGAGGTAGAGAAGAGGTGAGAGCAGGAGGAAGGTGGTGGTGGTGCCCCTCCCCCGCCATCTCCTCTGGGGCCCGCGGGCCGCGAACCGACGCGGCGTCTCCCTGGGAGACCGGGAGCGGGGAGCGCCCCGAGTGTCTGTGGCGTCTGTGGTGTTTGTGGCGTCTGTGGTGTTTGTGGCGTCTTTGGTGTTTGTGGTGTGTGTGGTGTCTGTGGTGTCTGGTGTTTGTGGTGTCTGTGGTGTCTGTGGTGTCTGTGGTGTTTGTGGTGTCTGTGGCGTCTGTGGTGTTTGTGGTGTCTGTGGTGTTTGTGGTGTCTGTGGTGTTTGTGGTGTATGTGGTGTTTGTGGTGTCTGTGGTGTCTGTGGTATTTGTGGTGTCTGTGGTGTATGTGGTGTCTGTGGTGTTTGTGGTGTCTGTGGTGTTTGTGGTGTCTGTGGTGTCTGTGGCGTCTGTGGTGTTTGTGGTGTCTGCGGTGTTTGTGGTGTCTGGTGTTTGTGGTGTCTGTGGTGTTTGTGGTGTCTGGTGTTTGTAGTGTCTGTGGTGTTTGTGGTGTCTGTGGTGTTTGTGGTATCTGTGGTGTCTGTGGCGTTTGTTTCCTCGGGCCTCCGGTGTTGCTGGAGGAGGCTCGCGAAGGACGCTGCTGCTGGTGTAGTTGGTTGGCAGTCGCCATCCAGCTCCAACAGCGGAGGGCAAGAGGAGCGACGCTCACAACAACGAGCGGAGCGCCGTGCGATTAAAATAAAGTCAGTAGGCACAGTGGGGGGGGGGGGGGTACAGCTGGTTGCGTCCTTTGGTCATCTCAGTCGGTCAACCCATGGCACCTGCTGGGCCTGTCCCGAGACTTGTCAGCAGCGAGCATTCGATACTTCACGTGACCTCAAAGTTCACCTAGCCTGGCACAGGCGTCGTCACTGAGTGGCGAGTGGCGGGTATTGGTGTTTGTGTGCGCGTGTCGGCCAACTGCTGGATGCTGGATGAGGGCCTTGTGGCTTGTACGTGATTCCGTAATGATGCCTGTTGGTGTGATTATTGGGTCCTTGTGTTTTCGCAAGCTGCTGGGTTTCTCACTGCAAAGAAGGGGTCAGTCGCGTAGCTGTAATGGCCGATATTCCATTGATTTGTTTTGGAAAAAAAAGTTTTAAAATAGGAACGAGACATGAAAGAAATCGTTTATTGTTAAATTTTAATCACAGTTCCTATGATTACTGTTGTTCATTGTTTTTTTATAGCTTTAGTTTGGTGATTTCGAAAACATATGGTTAAGCCATGTTTCTTGCGGAAGTGCGGAGTTGGCCTGATAACTTTAATCTAAATTGTCTTATGGTTATTATTGTTTGACTTGCATCACACTGGGATTTTTGCACACAGCGTTGTAATACGTTTTTTTTCTGGAAGATTTTTTGGTTTATCCCAGGATGTTTCTGTTACGCGTCGTCGCTTTAAGATGTTTCTCTGTTCATATTGTGTTTGTTGCGGCTGCACCCGACTTAAGAGCCGCATGGCTCACAGGGCTATGCCTCATAGATGAAACTTGAAATATGTACTGGGTGTGGGGGGGGAGATCGTGAATTTCAGAGTGCACGGGAATTAGTAACGGACGTTGCTCTTAACTCGGCCTTACAGAGAGGGAAGCCGCGTGGAGGTGCGCTGAGTGGAGGTTGAGAGAGCAACGGAGGCTGCCCTCGGCTGCCGTAGGAGGAGACCATCGTCTCGCGGGGTTCTCCGCCGTAGTGGGAGAGGTCGAACCCGTCCACGATGGAGCCGAAGGTCCGACCGTCAGGACGAGCCATACAGGTCAGTCCCCGCCTCGTGCACACAGCTGCACATTTCAGTGGTCACAGGATAAACCATTGGCGATCTCCTGTAGGGGTCTGGGGGAACATGCCCCCAACCCCCCCGTGAACACAATTTCACTCCCAGGAGCCCCCCCCTCCCTCAGCGATTCAGAGGCAGCTCCGAGGTGGGGAGGGGGGCTTGGGTTGAAGTTAAAGAGGTCACCACGGACAATTTGGATGATGTCACACATCGCCATTGCTTCCTTCTGCCAGATGCTGCAGCAGATCCATGTCTGCTCTTTTAGTCCAATTCAAGGTATTTATTCTTATTTTACACTGAGGGTTTAAAATATGGATGCCCCAGGCCCCCTCGTGAATGCCACTCCAGAGACCCCGAGTTTACTTGGTTGAACTTGAAATGAGACTGACTACTTCCTTCCCTGAAGAAAAGGGATCTGACGCACGTACCACATAACGCTACGGTCCTGCACGTCTGCTATGGTTGTCTGTCCAAGCTGCCTATCCCGCTATGCACAACCCACCTGTCGCGGAAGTTGTACACACCCCCCCCACCCACGTGTTTGGATCAATACAAATAATTTACAAAAATATATGGATGCCCCCCTGACACAATGTGTTTTATTATGACCTAGGACTGTCACTGGGTGAGAAGGATTGAAACAGGTTCTTGGCTCAAAATAATTCCAAGTACACTCTAGATTTGAGGTTTTCGTGACTGCAGGGATCCATACTATTTGGTTTCTTCATCCTCCCACTCTCAGCCCCGCCCACTTCCCACCCCCCCAGCATTCCCTTGCGCGTTTCCTAATACACCCCCTCTATCTCTCCTCCCTGGCTCCTCCCCCTTACCTATATAGCCTCTGGTTACAGCAGCCCTTTTGCCCACTTCAGCAGTTTGTTTCTTGCTGTGGTTGGTCCCACCTGATGACGGACCCTTGTGTTGCGCCCGAAACGTCGTGATTAAATTTATTTTATTTTTTATACCTACGTGACTTTACCGAAAGAACCAAAGAGTATAATTCCAAGTACTTAATTTGCTATAAGCTGACTCCAAAGGCCGGTTGCATAAGCCACGTCATATATTGTTTTCCTCTTAACTCTGTCTAACTCAATTTGACGTTGACTGAATCCATCACGTGTTTTGACTCTCACCCTGTTTTATTTGGCTCCTTGTAGTTGCGATTCAACCTCGACCCCGGAATGACGGCTCGGAGTTTGGTGACGCACTTCTCAAACCCGCGTCCCATTGTCATTGAGAAGCTGGGCACAAGCTGTGGCATCGAGCCACCCAGCACTGGCGACGGTGACGACTCAGCGCTGTCCCAGTCGGGACGCTTCTCGGTTCTGTCTGCCGATCGCCTCTCTCTCGCAGTGCAGCTCGCACGCAGGGACCTCAAGAGGCGCCGCGCTGCCCAGAAAATGCAGGGAATGACCTCTGGCGATCTCTCGTTGGGGAGTCCGATTGCCGGGGAAGAGGCTGCTGTCTCGCACGCCCCCGGGGGGAATGCTGGGAGGGAACAGCGGCGCTCCCAGCTCCCAGCGGGGACGGTGACGGCGTCGGGGGCCGTGGTTTATGTTTATCCCCCTGGGCGCAAAGCACAGCCAGCGCCGGGGGTCAGGGGAGGGCGCGAACCCAGGTGTTCCAACTCGCCCCCAACGCGCGACCCCGGACCGACTCCACCATCGCAGCATGGGAAGGGGGCGGCCGAGATCCGCAGGCTGCGAAAGGAGCTCGGCCACTATATCAGCCGAGTGGAGGAGCTGGCCAGCCAAGGTGCGGGCCTCTCCGCATGCACTCGTGTTCAACAGCTGTGTTTGTTTCGGTCCTTCGCTTACCGCTGAGTCGCAAAGCGAGAAGATAATTTCTGTGATGTGTTGTGCGATTTGAGAAAAAAACCTGACTCCGTTGAAACTACCGTAATTATGTTGGTGGACGTTTAGGCATGTAATGGTTCACTCTGCTGCCGTTCCAAAAATTGGCACAATTCAAGAAAACACATTAATAGTTGTTTATCTAAAATGTTCGCTGTCCCATTTGATTTGATTTTTTGTTTGTGAAAATTTTGTTTGCCCCATTTGTCTATACGTTACTTTAGCATGTCATATAATCTGCATAATACATTATTCATCTATTTTTATTTGCACAGTTACGTGCTTCCCCACTATGCAGGAAACTCGATAATTTCCTGGAAACTGCAATTTCTCTGCCTGTTTTATGGTGGGTGTGGAATCCTGGATGAGTTTAAGATAACCTGTGACGGTGCTGCTCATGCAGGGAAGGGAGTCGAAGAGCACCTGGAGGTGGAGGAGAAGAGGAGGGCGCACACGAGGAGACAGGAGCAGGCGGCACGCACGGCCCGCGTCCTCTACATGCTCCAGCAGCAGGCGAGACGCAGCCGTGCACAACCACACATCCATGCAACCACACATCCATGCAACCACGCAACCATGCAACCACGCAACCATGCAACCACGCAACCACGCAACCACGCAACCATGCAACCACGCAACCTCACCCAGCTCCGAACTACTCCTGCCTCAACCACACAACCACACCCAGCACAGAAAATCTGCTCCTCACAATCATAAAACTACCCCCCAGCACCGCACGATTTCACGCCACAACAATGGCCGCCCCACGCGACTGTCCTTCACACCAATTTGCTGACTGTGCATGGAAAAATTCACCATCTCACGATGCAATGCATTTCTAATAAATAACAAAAATATTGACATTTTGGAGAATGTAGTAGAACAGTGGCTCCGGAATGTATTTACACAGATTAAAGGTAATCGTGTTCTTCCCATGTGTCACTGGTTGATTTTAGATCAGGGAAATAGAGGAGGAGCTGGACAAGATGGGACCAAACAAGAGCAAGCACACCAACAAGGTAACGGCCAGTCAGAACACACTTCACGTGTGTTTGCTATCATTATTGTTATATCAGATATGTGCCAAATATGTGTGGTGTTTGGCACAGCTCGTCCAGGAGGCGCTGCACAAAGGGCGCAGTGTGGAATACGAGCCAGAGTTGTGTGCATCTCCCTTGCACAGCATGTCTCCCCATGACACACTTGCCTTGCACCGAGAGCGCCCGTGCATTGAGCCAGGAAAACCTCGTTGAATCTCAGCGATTTTATAAGGATGCCCCTGAGTGGCAGAAAACAAGACTTGAAAGCGCTCGCATACGAGGGGATAACATTCACCGACCCTTGCCTCCAAAGACTTGGGTTTTAGGCGTGCGCTGCCATGCGGGGCCTCGCCGAGTCTTACCGGGCCTCGCCGGGCCCTGCGTCGTGGGTGCAGAGTCGTGCTGAGGCGCGACTGGCGGCAGCGCATCGGGGCGCCGTGCGGGCGCTGCAGATGCTGGCGTCGCAGCTATCGCAGCCGGCGTCGCGGGTTCCCCCACACGCAGAGGAGTTGAGCCGCCTTGTGCGACAGCTGTCGCTGTGCTCGGCGCGCCTCGGTGGCGGGGACGACGTGGCGCACATCCTGCAGCAGCTGGAGGTGAGCGCCGCTCTTTATAATTTTAGCCTGTGAATTGCTTTGCCAGACTTGCGTCGTTCACTTTGATGCTGCTGTAGTTAACATTTAGAGCACCACAGTATCTAATTGTCTTAGAGGTGCTGGTAACACTGCATTCTAATTTTCTCTCCATTGACTTAGAAGCTGCCATTTTCTGTTATGTTTTAGGATTTAAAAAGACTGCTGAAAGAGCAGAAGAGCCCAGCAAGGCAGAGGGAGAGCAGCCCTGTCCGGCATGGAGAGGGCAGCCCTGTCCGACATGGAGAGGGCAGCCGTATCCGGCGTGGAGAGGGCAGCCCTGTCCGGCGTGGAGAGGGCAACAGAGGGGGGAGACGCGTCTCGCCGGGAAAGAGGAGCTGGAGCCCCCCCATGCGACACTCGTACCCCGTCGCCAGGCAGCTGCAGTTCAAGGGTCAGACCGTGCGGGTGTACAGGCCAATGAATGATCTGGTCACTAGATTATTGGTCAATTCCTATTTTCAAGATTGCGTAGCATTTATGTGAGATGTAATGTAAAGTGATTTGAAACACTGAACCATTTCAGCACCCTGTAAAGGCAAATCTTGATCCATATAAACTTGACCGTTGCATTTGAAATGCCTTTTGAAGAAGATGATCATCATCTACATTTTGCCATGTGTCAGCAGACAGGGGCGAGGTGAGGGCAGGACGGGCGAGGGCCAGCAGTGGTGGGCGTGTGGACGAGGAGGAGAGGAGGCGCATGCTGCGATCAGGCCTTCAAGCGCTTGTGCACAAGGCCAGGGGCGGCCGCTCCGGGGTGCTGCTGCCTGGCAAGGCCCAGGTACGGCCGCTGCGGAAGGTGGTGTGTGTGTGCATCTTGGAACCGCGAGGGATGATGGCTTGGGGAGGCCTTCATCCAGCATTGGATTGATGATGACTGATGATGATGATGATTTTACTCATTCGCAATTGGCTGGTGCACAGCAGAATGTGTTGAACTGTGCGCAATCCAGAAATGGGCACTCCAGGAATTCTCACCGGTGATGACACTCTTGGCCAAAGCACTGTCAAGCTTAACTTTATACGTACCTCAAGAGCAGCGTCACTCCTGCGTCCACACACACACACATGCACACGTGTGACGTCACTATGCGGGGGAGCGTCACTACCCTGCGGGTCCAAACAGACACATGACGTCATCTCAGCTGGAGGCAGGAATTACGTGAGGGCCGGTTCAGGGATCTGGTGGTTGGGTGAGGCCGTGGCACTCTGAGTGAACCCAGCTGGACACGTGACCTATCAAGGTGGGGGCCCCAAGGGGACCTTGGGTGGCGAGGTGGATAGCCGAGGAGCTTCGAGAGGGTTCTCGAAGAGAGGCGTGACCGGGGTGGGGCCTGGACACGCAGAGGCCCATAAAAGCAGCCTCCTCACGGGAACCGAGGCTGCCCGTGTCAAGAATGAAGATGGATCATGAAGACGCCTCCTAAGAAGAAGAGTCAAGCCTCCAGTCAGCGGACCCGCCAGTAGCCCGCCTGGCTAGGTCACGCTAGTGTATCCGAGAGTCTGAGATAGAGAGTGACGGTGTGTGTGTTAGTCAGAGCAGGTCGGTGGTTACCACCTTATGTTAGTGTAACGTGGTTGGTGTTAATAAACAGTGTTGCCTCCCAAGAAGTGTGTGCGCCTATCTGAGCCCATTTCACCTCTATTGGGAATTCCCCGTTTGTGACAGTGTGTGTGAAACAGTGACAGCGCGTCGGAGAGCAGAGAGCTATAGGATTGTACGATGTGTGTGGTGTAGCCATTACGCATGGTGTGTCAGTGTGGACGTGTCGCCCTTCATAGGTGCTCGCTAACGGCACTCGTCCCAAGTCTTTAAAGGCTTTTTCTTTGACGCTGTTGCAGGGCGCGAGTCGAGCGAGGGGCCGCGTGGCGGTGAGGGGCACGCGTTTTCAGCGCGCCACCCTCGCATCGCACCTCAAGCGGTCTCAGCCTGGGCCTCGTGACCCCAACCTGCCCTGGCTGCCCCCCAACCCCACCTCCCCGTCCAGCAGCCCCAAGCACAGGTCGGTTGGAGCCGAGTCTCCGGCGCATAATAAAAGCTCAGTGTTTCGGTTTTTTTCTCCAGTTGTGTGATTTTGTTGTTGTAGAATACTTGTCAGATTCCACGAGCAATAACATATAAACGCACCCAAGAGGGCATCCACCACAGAGATGGAGATTCAGCGATGGAATCTGCGATGAAAGAAGCTCATGTGCAGTGGCAAGGTGGATTGTCACATCGCAGAACCGGGCGACGGCCCAGGGAGGTCTTCATCCACGGGTGGATTGATCACGGTTTATTTGGTGTTTATGCGTCGCATAACTATTGGTGTGCTTTCTTATGACTGTTTGGTACAGTTGTTTAACAGTGTAATGGTGTGAGATAGCACGGTTTTGCATTAGTGTTCAGGTTACTCTGGGTGTAAGTGGTTGGTGTTTTTTTGTTAGTGTTTGGTGTAAGTGTTTAACACCGCCATGTCCTTGCCCTCCCACAGGTCCCCGGTGCGGGGCGGCTCCACCGAGCGCCGGCCCGCGATGTGGCGTTCGCCTGAGCGCGAGTGCTCCACCCTGCTGCGCAACGTGGTGGAGCAGGAGAGGCTGGAGGCCGCCAGGAAGGAGGCCATTAGGTTAGCCTTCGCAAATTCATGGATGTAGCACGCCACGTTGATACTGAGTTCCTTTAGGAAGTGGAAGAAGTCCTTGTCATATGGTATGGCGTGTGGCATGCTGTGCTATCATTGTGGCGTTGTGTGGGACGGTGTGGGGTTGTGTGGCACGGTGTGGCATGCAGGTTGGCGTGGCTGGACTCAGAGACGGCGCGCCGGATGAGGGAGCTCAACGATTTGTGTCAGCAGGAGATCGATCACATCCGCCAGACCAGGTGCGGTTACGCGGAGGTGCTCCATGCCACTTGAAGCCTTTGCCACGGGTCGCCTCGGTGGTAGTGTAGGGTAGATGTTTAGCGTGCTTGTGCTACGAACCTGGGGATCCGACTTCGATTCGGCCAACACTAGAGACGATTATCTGATCCAGTCCTGAGCCTCTTCTAGGTCGATTCAGCCTCAAATGAGTGTCTGATCCAATGTGTACATATTACCACTGGAGAGATTAAGGCAGCCGGGTGTGGTACTGGGCAGCCACCACATTGTGTGCCATGCCGGCCTGAATAGGTGCTGGCTAATAGCACTCACCCCAAGAGTCTGTCAAGGCTCTATGGGGGATCTTTGTGTTTGTCGCACCATGTGCTTTTTCTCATGAGTGTCATGTCCTGTGTCCTGCGTGCATGACGGGCCACAGGCAGGAGGCCGGGTCTCCCTCTCAGTGGGCGACCAAAGCAGAGCAGGCCGTGCGAGAGAAGCTGCAGCCACTGCTTAAGCAGGCGCAGGTGAGCGTGACCTCTACACCATCCTTGTCTCTCACGTGCCACCTGTTGTAAAGCAATGACTGAGTTTATAACCGGGAGCTGTTAGGCGGAGTCTGGTGTCGCCAGAAGGATTCCGCTTGTACCTCCTGCAAAAGCGTGCATTGGGCAGTGATCAGTGGCGCGAGTGATGACCTGAACCACATTCACACTTCGGCTCACAGAGGAGGTAGCCGCAGATCCCATGTCTAGTTCTAACACGGCTAAGTGTAGTCGAGTCTCTTCGAGATGAGAAGCCAGGGAGTTTGTTGGATCTTCACCTGACAGAGTGAGCTCCAGTGATGCACACGTTGGTGCCCGTTGGAGCCAGGGGGATCATGCTGGCTGCAGGGGGATCATGCTGGCTGCACGCACGGGTTGTGATTGTCCTTTGTGATAATGACTGTAGCGATGACTGCGCCCGCAGGAGATCTCCGATTCGCTGGAGAAGAAATTTTACGACCAGGAGGAGGGACGTGTGGATGGCCGAGGCAGGCGGCTGCCCCACGGCCCGGATGCCCTCCCGGCCGAGAGCCCCCGGCGGGGAGCAGTGGACGAGGCGAGCGGCGTGCACGAGGCTGCGGTGGCCATGCAGGACGCGCCAAGCGTGGAGACCATCCTGCAGAGGCTACAGGACATGGAGGTGCACTTCAACCCCAGGGAAACACCATTTCCCCAAAGCCGGGTGTTCATAGGAATGCCGATTGAAACCGGACCACTCGGCACGCTGTTTAGATGATGACACTGGGTCCCTCGTTGCCTGTTTGTTTCTCAGAAAGAACAAGATACAATCAGGAGAAAATGGACTTGCATCACATATTCTGGTCCCGAGTTCTGGGCTCAAGAGGAATGGAAAGGTAAGATGTAGCTCGGAGCCCAGAACTTTTTTACGATCGGAGAACACGCGACAAAGATGACCAAAGAAAGACACGCGAGCATGAGAGCAGCAAAGGAGCTGCTTGATGCTTGGTACTGGAATTCACAATTGGTCACCCTCAGGGAGAATAATGGAACTGTGATGCACCATAGCGACAGAATTTTAAAGTTAGCGGAGTCATTTCATGCATATCTCTGTACAGTTAACACAGAACTTGATTTCTCAATGATCATTGGTAAATTCATCTATAATACCTTTTGAATTGATCAGTATTGCCTTTTTATTTATCTCACAATTAAAACACAATCGTGTTCAAGAATGCGGTATGTTCCCAGTGAGTGACGAATACACGTTGCAATGCGGCGTGAATGCTGCTGCATTGACGATGAACTTTCATTGTTCGCCATTGTTAGCGAGTGTCCCATGTCCACGTGCGTATTCCTTTGTAGCAGAGCAAGAGCATCCATCGCGAGACTGCAGACCCGCCACCCCACGGGCACTGTGCATCAGCCGGCCCTCGGGGCACGAACACGCGGAGGTGGTGGTGCAGCCCCCAGCCAGCCCCACGCATTCAGAGTGAGCGGCTCATTCTGCCACAGTCAGGAGGCAAAGCATTGAACGCACGGAGTCTCTGGTGAAAGTGTGCGCGTCATCGTCGCGAGGTGCGGGAGCGAACGATGACAACGGCCGTGGTGCCTGTGCTCGGTGCCCCACATTCACCGTCGGTGTCCCACGCAGTTCGTCCGAAGAGCGCGATGGCGCGGACCACACGGCGCTGGCGGAACGCGGTGAGGAGCGCCCTCTACGCGGCACGGGAGGCGGAGGCGCGGGCGTGCCGCTCGCGGTTCCCGCGTCCGCCCTGCTGCGTCTTCGAGACTACGGGGAGCACTTCTCCCACCACCTGAGGATGACGGGGCACGAGGCCGTGGGCAGCTTCAGCCCTTGGGGCACGGCATCTGAGTAAGCCGACTCGTGGGTCCCGATTGGGCGGCTCCAAGCTACGTCCACCTTGGGTTCTCCAGTATAGTGCAATTGGCGATCGCAGTGCGACGGCAGCACGTGACGATAATGTCACGTGATTGTGAGTTTGTGAGCTTGCGAGCGTGCAATGGAGAGCAAATGCGTTGGCGAATTTGTAAGTGTTGCTGAATGTGCCAGTGTGTTGGTGAATGTGCCAGTGTGTTGGTGAATGTGCCAGTGTGTTGGCGAGCGAGCGTTGGCGAGTGACCGCGTGCCCCGTCGTCGCTCCCCCAGGCTGGCGGACGCGCTGTTGGAAGAGGCGCTGTGTGAGGTGTCAGAGGAGCTGCTCGGGATCTGCGAGGGCTACGCCGAGGCCGTCTACGACTCCGAGTTTTTGCAGCCAAGAGATGCGGCCTCCGCCCAGCCGTGCATCGCGTGATGTCCCTGCTCGGGGAGACGTGAGACGCAGCCTGTGGAGGAGACAATGGCGCCGTAAATCTTTACGCAGTCCACTTTTGTTGCTATTAATGGAAAAATCACTCGCTATGCCATGCTGTGTGTAAATTATTCTTGAGTGTTTTTTTTTTATAAAAGGGGAGTTCCTATCCCATGTGTAGTGGGTTCAACTGAGTCGCAGACATACTTTTTGGAGGCAACAAATTATTTATTAACACCAACACCAAGCACAAAGGGGTTATTGCCCCTTTACCAGATAACCTATGGTGGTGGACCACCAGGCTAACTACGCTAGTTACTGGGAGTAGCTACAATGGACAGGACCCTGACTTGGGTCCTCGTCCACGTGTTGGTGACTTCTTCTCTTGGACGTAGAACGTAGATCTTCAGATGATAACAGTAACGCAGAGCCCTGGTCCCTGTGGGGAGCCCGGTTTATATGCTCCCGGGTCGTGGCTGGCCCCGCTCTTGGCCACCTTCGAGGACCCTCTTGTCGATTCTCGACCCTTCCCGTAGGATCTCACCCTGACACGTGACCACCCCCTAGCCCCCGCCTGGGGCCACTGTGTAGATCTTACTGGTCACGTGCCTTCCAGGGTCAACCAGAGTGCCATGGCCCAGGGTAACCTCACCCCATGGCTGACACTCTCACACTCCTTCATGTAGGAGTCAGCACTGCACGCCACGCGTGGTGCCACTGCGCTATCCCAGCGCTCACCGAGCCCCCTCTAGGGCTGGTACTACAACCCACCTACGGGGTGTCCGCTATGACTGCATCGCACGCCGTGCCTCGCTCGAGCCGGCATTACACAGTGACATGCACGATGTCACTACACATGTACGGTGTTTGCTGTAATTATCCGTATATATATATCACCCGAATCAAAATTATTTATCGAGATTAAAGATGGCATGAAGACCAAACTGCACGGCGATTTTTGTTTCGTTCGACCCGAGGCCGCTCGTGAAGTTAGCGGTGGCAAGTCCCCTGCCCATTTGTTCCATGGGGAAAAAACAAACAGGTTGTGTCCACACCGCAATGTGCGTGACTTGGGCTGGCCACCACGAGCCTGGAGGCTTCGCTCCTGGAAATTGTTTTTGTCCGACTTGAAGTGATATAGAAACGTATGGCAGTGACGTCATTGTAGTGCAATGTCGCTGCTACCCCGTGACGTTTGTGCTATTCGAACGGACGATTCAAGCCTCGCGCGAAATATCTCGCCTACACGAGGCGGGCTCTATTTCTGCCTGCACTGTTTACACAGAGTTCCCCTGTTGCCCGTCTCGTGTGGGGGGATGACCCTCACGGGGAGTGACGTCAGAGGACGATTGTATAAGGGGGAGTGACGTGAGTGAAGGGGTGGTCGTCGTAAATCTCCGTGTTTTCCTATCGAGGAGGCTCGTGAAGAATGCCAATGGGCAGTTGGAAGCAGTCGCCCTCCCGCAACAACGGAGGGCAGAGGGGCGACACTCACAACAACGAGCGGAGCGCCGGGTGGCTAAAACGCAGCAAGTTGGCGCAGTAAGGGGTACAGCTGGTGCATCTACCGGTCATCTCGGTCGGCCAACCCATGGCACCTGTTGGGTCTGTCCTGAAACCTGTCAGTGAGCCTTCGACACTTCAGGTGGCCTCAAAGTGCACCTGGCCTGGCACAGGCGGCAGTGGTGACGTCACAGTCACTTAGTTGGTATCGGTCGTCGTCAGCAACAGACTAAGGACGGCAGTTCTGTGGCCGTCCTGAATGGGGGAGTGCGGAGGGAGACTTTCACATGAAATAAAAGACGACTGAGCTGATTCGTCGCCACTGACTGCCGGAGTGACTCGCGAAACAACCCCCGTGGTCATTGAGCGCCACGTGCACGGCCCCCCACACACAGCCCTGCTCCCGTCACGTGGGCGACCCCACGTGGTCCCCCCCCCCACCGTCCCCCCCCAGACCCGCCTCTTGCCTCAGCGCGTGACGTCAACCAGAAGCCGAGGTCGCGACCCCGGAAGTGCGCGCGGCGTGCGGCGAGCTCGAGGCGGCATGGGCGACACGTGGGGCTCGCTGGGCGTGAGGCTGAGCCGCGGTGTGGAGGAGACGCTGCAGGCCCTGGGCTTCACCACCACCACCCCCGTGCAGGTGCGACACGCGGGCAGTGAGCGAGACATGCGGGGGGGAGGGGGTGGTTGTAGGGGGGGGGAGGCGAGTCATCGGGCGGACGCGACCCATGTGGGACCCCGCTACGGGCTTCTGTGTCCATGATTTCAGGGTGTTTGGGTCATCGGTGCTTTCGTCGTCGTTCACGAAAGTCTTCAGATCTGACTGATTATGTCCTGATCCCGGGTGGAAGAGCCTCTTCTCTGGACCTTGGGCTCTGTGAGCGGCCTCCCGGGGTCTCGGGCTGTGTGATGCGAGGCCGCAGCTGCTGAACCCCGTGTCCCCCTCTCTCCCCAGGCCGCCACGATCCCCCTGTTTCTCAACAACAAGGATGTCGCGGCAGAGGCGGTAAAGGCTCCTCGTTCCACGTCTCCGCAGCCCTCACATTCACCCCTCCACTCTCCTCACCCCTTACGCCTCCACTCTCCTCACCCCTCCACTCTCCTCACCCCTCCACTCTCCTCACCCCTCACTCCTTCACTCTCCTCACCCCTCCACTCTCCTCACCCCTTACTCCTCCACTCCCCTCCACTCCCCTCACCCCTCCACTCTCCTCACCCCTCCACTCTCCTCACCCCTCACTCCTTCACTCTCCTCACCCCTCCACTGTCCCCACCCCTCACTCCTCCACTCTCCTCACCCCTCACTCCTTCACCCCCTCCACTCTCCTCACCCCTCACTCCTCCACTCCCCTTACCCCTCCACTCTCCTCACCCCTCACTCCTCTACCCCCTCACCCCTCCACTCTCCTTACTCCTCACCCCTCCACTCTCCTCACTCCTCCACTCCCCTCACCCCTCCACTCTCCTCAACCCTCACTCCTCCACCCCCTCACCCCTCCACTCTCCTCAACCCTCACTCCTCCACTCTCCTCACCCCTCCACTCCACTCTCCTCACCCCTCACTCCTCCACCCCCTCACCCCTCCACTCTCCTCACCCCTCACTCCTCCACCCCCTCACCCCTCCACTCTCCTCACCCCTCACTCCTCCACTCTCCTCACCCCTCCACTCCACTCTCCTCACCCCTCACTCCTCCACCCCCTCACCCCTCCACTCTCCTCACCCCTCACTCCTCCACCCCCTCACTCCTCCACTCCCCTCACCCCTCACTCCCCTCACCTCTAACTCCTCCACTCTCCTCACCCCTCACTCCTCCTCACCCCTCCACTCTCCTCACACCTCACTCCTCCACTCCCCTCACCCCTCACTCCCCTCACCTCTAACTCCTCCACTCTCCTCACCCCTCACTCCTCCTCACCCCTCCACTCTCCTCACATCTCACTCCTCCACTCCCCTCACCCCTCACTCCCCTCACCTCTAACTCCTCCACTCTCCTCACCCCTCACTCTTCCTCACCCCTCCACTCTCCTCACCCCTCATTCCTCCACTCCCCTCACTCCCCTCACCTCTAACTCCTCCACTCTCCTCACCCCTCACTCCTCCTCACCCCTCCACTCTCCTCACCCCTCCACTCCCCTCACCCCTCCTCACCCCTCCACTCTCCTCACCTCTACCTCCTCCACTCTCCTCACCCCTCACTCCTCCTCACCCCTCCACTCTCCTCACCCCTCACTCCCCTCACCTCTAACTCCTCCACTCTCCTCACTCCTCCTCACCCCTCCACTCTCCTCACCCCTCCACTCTCCTCACTCCTCCACTCCCCTCACCCCTCCTCACCCCTCCACTCTCCTCACTCCTCCTCACCCCTCCACTCTCCTCACCCCTCACTCCTCCTCACCCCTCCACTCTCCTCACCCCTCACTCCCCTCACCTCTAACTCCTCCACTCTCCTCACCTGTCCTCACACCCCTCACTCCTCCACTCCCCTCACCCCTCGCACTCCTCCACGCGTCCGCATTCCTCCCACCCCGTCCACTCTTGGCAACCCCTCGCCCGCGTGACCCCCGCGTTCTCTCCCGCTCTCTGTCCCAGGTCACCGGCAGCGGGAAGACGCTGGCCTTCGTCATCCCCATCATCGAGATGCTGCTGCGGCGCGACGGCGGCCTCCGCGAGATGGAGGTGAGGAGGAGGCGGCGGCCTGGGCCCCGCGCTTGGTTGTGGCGCGAGACTTTCTGCAAGGGGATCCTCCCGCGTCGGCACGTTCCGACCGTTTCCATTGAATCAAGAAGTTTATTTTTTTAACTTTTGCGTGGGAGGAAACCGGTGTGCCCGGAGAAAGGCTACGCATACGAGAGACGATAACGCTCAGAAGGCCGCGCAGGCGAGAGCACGTGAACCCTTTTGCGATTGCAAGCCCCGTTGTGTTCATGTCATGTTCACGGGCTGTGAGGTGGCCAGGAAAAGGCAACACGTGAATATGGCTGTGCGGGGATTTCAGTGTTAGCCTCCCTCTCCTATGCGTGGTTTTTCTCCCGGCGCTCTGCTTTTCTCTCAGTGCGCTTCGCCTGGTAGGATGGGAATGGTTTAGATCGATTTGTGTGTTTCGGTGATTTGTTGACCTGTCTTGTACTTGGCACTACTATCAATCATGTCTTTGTTGTTGTCACTTGCTTACTGGACATCTGTGAAAAAGAGCCCCATAACTGACCGGATTCCTCCTCCAGTCTAAACACATATTCTGATGTTGAAGTCAAAAGCACTCATTCAGTGAAATGGCCACGCACATCTCAACGCAGTGACGAGCGCCGTTGCGAGAAAGTGTTGTGAGACTCGTTAAGAACTCGTGTGCGTGACGCACAGGGCACGACTTTGATTGTAATTGAAAGCAATCGCGGAGCGTGTGGGTGGGGGGATTCTTGGCGCGACGTGGACGACGCGAGAGAGAGAAAGAGAGAGACCCCCCCCGGGTTATTTTTCCCTGCCAGGTGGGGGCCATCATCATCACCCCCACGCGGGAGCTGGCGGTGCAGATCGACGAGGTGCTCGGACAATTCCTCCAGAGGTTCCCGCAGTTCAGGTCCGTTGCCCAAGTGCTCACTGGCAGTAACGCTCGGGTCGAGGCTCCGTCGAGTCTGAGAATCGCCACGCTCCCTCTCCTGGCGTCTGCAGCGCACGTGCGGCCCGGTTGCATTCAATATCGGTTACACCGGGAAACATTTACACGGTGCGTTCGCGTGATCCACGATGACGACTTACCACCTTAAATAACATTTCTTCTGCTTCAGCCATATCCTGTTCATCGGAGGCAGCAACCCAATGGACGACGTTCACAAGTTCCTGGCGAACGGGTAAGTCGGTCGCGGCGTCCCTCCCCCCATTCCGTCCGCCGTGACCTCGGTTAGCGATCGCACGATAGTCGCACCAGCCTGACCCAGGCGCGAATGGCGTTTGCTTTTCCCTGCTCGGCGTTTCCAATTCCTTAAAGTGGAGCGTCAAGGGGCCACTGTACGTCGCTGGATAAGACCCTCTAGAGTTGTCACAAATGTCCCTCGGCAATGTCAGCGGCGTCCGGACAGTGGCGAACCGCGACTGGATCCGGAATGTCGCAAGGGAAACCCAGTTAGTCGCTAAATTTCGCGACAAAGTCCCCACTCCTGGTTTTGCTAGCGACGCCACGGGATTCTGATTCTCACCGGTTCCTCCCCCCCGCCCCCGTGTCTCTTCCCTCGGCTCCTTCTCTCCGTTGTTGCCTTTGGCCGCGCCCAGAGGCCACGTTATCGTGGCGACGCCCGGCCGGCTGGAGGATCTGTTCAAGCGAAGCGACGAGGGCCTGGACCTGCGTGGCGCCGTGCGCAACCTCGACGTGCTGGTGCTGGACGAGGCCGACCGGCTGCTGGACATGGGCTTCGAGGCCTGGTGAGGGGAGTGTGTGGCGTGGTGCACTGTGGCTGCGGTGAGGGGCGGTGAGCATTGGTGAAAAACCGGTGGAGGGGGTAGCGAGGTGCCTTTGTGTTTGGAATGGGTGTGGTCTGCACCGATACCAAAGACCATATTTAGCCGCCACTGCAGTGTCTTAGCCGCATTAATGCGGTGAATCGAAAAACCCAAAAACCGCGTTTCTGCAACTGCGACCCGAAATCCTCGTGACGGAGGACAGCAGGCGCGGACGTCCGACGAGTGCGGTCCGGTTGCCGGCCCTTCCTGTAAATCGCTTCCTGCCGCCCCCTCCGCGTGCCCGCAGCCTCAACACGATCCTGAGCTTCCTTCCGAAGCAGCGCCGCACGGGGCTCTTCTCGGCCACGCAGACGCAGGAGCTGGAGGCGCTGGTGCGCGCCGGCCTGCGCAACCCCGTGCGCATCGCGGTGAAGGAGCGCGGCGCGGCCGAGAGCAGCACGCGGCGCACGCCCGCGCGCCTCGACAACTTTTACGTGGTGCGCTGCCTCCTCGCCCGCTCGCACCGCACCGTCACCGAGCACCGCGCGGCGGCACGTGCCGTGATCGCGTTGTGGCCGTGCGGCCCGCGAGGTGCGGCCAGGAGGTGGCGGTACCGGGGGCCGCCCCCTCGTATTCGCCGCGGTGCCGGGGTTTCCTCCAGGTTCTCTGGTTTCCTGCCACACGAAGCCAAACGCTCGTTACTCATGGAGTTTTGTGGTCAGACATCCCAGTGTAGCAGGGCCCTCCTGAAAACGGGTCCTGGGGCTCTTGGCGAGGCTTTTCCTGGGTAAATAACAAAGTCGCTGTTCTTCCCTCAGATCTGTCGGGCGGAGCAAAAGTTCAATCAGCTCGTGGCGTTCCTCCGTGCACGCAAACAGGAGAAACACCTTGTGTTCTTCAGGTACTGTGCTCTCATGACCGTGTGTATGCGTGTCGCGGTTAGCAGGCTGCGCTGCTTCAGTTTGATTCCCGTTCATGGCTAAGACAAGTGATGATTATCTGAACCGGTCCAGGGCCTCCCCTAGGTCGACTCAGCCTCAAATTAGTACTTGGTGCGGTGTGGATAAACATCGCCACTGGGGAGACAAAGGCGGCCGGGAGTGGTGATGGCCACCCACCTTCTCGTGTGCCGTTTTGGCCTTCATAGGTGCTCGCTAACAGCACTTGCTCCAACAGTCTGTTAAGGCTAAACGTGGTTCTTTGTGTGAGCGTGTGTGTGTATTCCCGTGCATGATAGTGTGTGAAGTCGTGTGACGGTGCATGAATGTGCATCTGTGACGGTGCGTGCGTATTGGTGTGTGATGGTTCCCGCGCGATTGTGCTTTGAATGTGTGTGCGTGACGGTGTGTGCTTCACGGTGTGTGGCGGTGTGCAGCACGTGTGCCGGCGTGGAGTATTTCGGCAAGGCTCTGCAGATGCTGCTGCACGGCGTCACCGTGATGTCCATCCACGGCAAGATGAAGGACAGACGCAACAAAATCTTCGCCACGTTTCGGAGCCTTCCCAGGTGGGCGATCCACGCTCAGTGATGCGGCGCTTAGTAAAATGGCGACGACGACGAAGACGATGCCTCTTTATCCAGCAAAGCCTCACCGAGAGGAATCTTGCATTGAGATGATGTTTGGTCACTTCCGTTCGTGAGTGTTCGGCGTTTGGAAGGAAAGCGGGGAACTTGGAGAAAGGTCACCCATACGAGTGTGTAAATCTGCACAGATGGATTCAATAATTCATTGCCTCTGCCCCCCCCCCGCGCTCCCCAGTGGCCTGCTGGTGTGCACCGACGTGATGGCGCGTGGCATCGACATCCCCGAGGTGGACTGGGTGCTGCAGTTTGATCCTCCCTCCTCCGCCAGGTGAACAGCCTGCGCTGTGCGTGCATGTGTATCCGCATGTGTGGGCGCATGCGTGTTTACGTGCGTGTGTGAGTGCCAGGGGGATTGTGCTGGGTATGTGTAGTAATTGTGAATGTGCTAGTGTTTATGTAGTGATGATGGATGGGTTTTGGTGGTGACCTGTGGTGGTGACCTGTGGTGGTTGTGGTGGTGTGTGGTGGTGGCGGAGCAGCGCGTTTGTCCACCGCTGTGGGAGGACCGCGCGCATCGGGAACCATGGCAGCGCCCTCGTCTTCCTGCTGCCCATGGAAAGCGCCTACGTCAACTTCCTGTCCATCAACCAGAAGGTGCCGCCTGCCCCCAGCACGCGCGCCACCTTGCGGCGGCGGCCCCAACCTGCGCGTCGACTCGCGGCGCCGGTCCTGACCCTCCCCTCTCTCCTCACCGGCTGGGTTCGTGACGCAGTGCCCGCTGACGGAGCGCGCGATCGAGAGGGACGTCGTGGACGTCCTGCCGCAGGTGCGCAGGGCAGCGCGCACGGACCGCGCCGTCTACGAGAAGGGCATGCAGGCCTTCGTGTCGTGCGTGCAGGCCTACGCCAAGCACGAGTGCAGCCTCATCTTCCGCATAAAGGGTGGGCGGCGCGAAGCTCGCCACGGCACCTCGTCTCACCTCGTCTCACCTCGTCTCACCTCGTCTCACCTCGTCCCACCTCGACTCCACTCGTCTCACCTCGCCTCATCTCGTCTCCTCGACGCCCCACGAAATGAACCGCAGCAGTCACAGCACGGCACCTCTTCTCACCTCGCCAACATAGCCACCTCAAGGCTCACAACAGCGTTCTTCATCTCACCCCACTGTCACACCACTCACCTCATCAACTTCCCGCATCACAGCCCTCGCCTCTGTGAACGTCCGGATGAAGTTGTGAGCTCCCCTGCAGTGCTGCCCCCTCATATTTCCTGAACTCGTTTCCGTTGTGTGGGGTCGCGACCCCTGGGAGGCGATTTAAGATCGGATGTCGCGGCGCGTTTGTGTGTGCGCGCGTTCGTGTGCGTGTACCCGGCGTCCGCACGCAGACATGGACCTGGGGGCGCTGGCGCGTGGCTTTGCGCTGCTGAGGCTGCCGCGCATGCCGGAGCTGCGAGGGGTCCGCGTGACGGGGTTCGTGCCAGATGCCATCGACACGGACACGATCTCCTACCGCGACAAGCAGCGCGAGAAGCAGCGGCGCGCGCGCCTCGCGCGGCCACCGCCGCCGCCGGCGGACGGTGAGAGAAATTCCGCGGCCGCCAGCACCAGGAGATGCGGCATCCGGCGCCCATTGGGTCACTCCCTCCGTCGCGCCCCGCGCAGCGCCGGCGCGATCGGCGTGGCAAAACCGTCTTTTTGCGCGCGTTATTAATCTTCTTCCCCTTGCCGTGCGTCCTCCGTGTGGTTGTGTAGGAGACACCGTGGAAGAGGGGCAGGAGGGGGAGGGATCGCGGGTGACGGGCGAGCCAGGAGAGGGGGGTCAGGTCAAGGGTCGAGGTCGCATTTACAAGCCCAGGCCCAAGCCCTGGTCGAAGCAGGCGGAGCGACGGAAGCGCAAGCGAGCGCGCACCGCCAAGGCCAGCGCCCGGCAAGAGGTGCGTGTGGGGATCGTTGCTCCGCATCGGGCCACGGGGTTCACCGAGTTACAGAGTCATGGGCGGCGGAGGGGACACCCGGCGTGAAGCAGGGACCGGGCTCTGTGCGCGTCCCGGCTACAGTCCGTGCCCCTGTGCGTTTTTGCCGTCAGGAGTCGGACTCGGATGATCAAGACATGAAAGAGCTGATCAAGGACACACGGCTCCTCAAGAAGCTCAAGAAAAAGAAGATCAGCACGGAGGAGTGCGACCGACAGATGGAGGGTGGTGCGGCGCAGTGAGGTAACAGCACCGTTGTGCGAGGTGATGGCGGTGGAGGCGGTGGCTCCGTGATGTCCCCGCCAAGCAAATCGCGCACGATCCGAGCGAGCCCATGGATCCCAACCGCGCCTCCGCATTACAATTCCAAACATCCCAGCCAAAATGGCTACAGATCAAACGTTTAATTACAGTATGCACCGTTACAGAGAGGCGGCTGCCCAAGGTGCGTCGTTAAAGACAAGGCCACAGACACGGCTACTCGCACGTTACGCCACTAGACATGTTCATTTCATTGACTGTCACATGGGGTACGGGCGTGGGGGAAGTTTTAATCATGCACGGAGGTGCGCGGAGAGGTAGAGAGTGAGACGGGGAAGTGTAAACACCGCTTTAAGCGCCCGGCACAGACAGCACGGCCACCGGATCGTGAAGCGAGCACCACGCCGCAACCTGAACTTCACCACGGGACACGAACCGCGCAAGGAGCCGCAAAGCGCCCATTTTTAATTCGGTGTTCCTAGGACGGCTGTGCGCGAGAATGTTCGCCGTGGACTCGCGCCGCAACTTCGCTGGGCGGGGAGGGGGCAGCTCTGCGAAGGCTGCGCCTGGATCTGTGCGAGGCAGCCGCTCGTTGCGAGTGTAACCGCCGCGTTTGTTGGCACAATCCCCGGCGAGCGGTACGGACTCATGAGATCGCGAGGCCGCGGCGTGAGGAGAGGCGGCCGATTGGCTTTTCCAGTCGTTTCCCGGAGGAGGCGGCACGTCGTTGATTACTACAAAAAATACACTTGAGGTTTTCACGACAAATATAAATTACTATTTAGTGTATTTACCGTAATGATTAATCTCACACAGCACCGGTCAGCAGTCTCTACTGTAAGGCAGACTGCAAGAATAAGATTCATAAGAGCTAGGCCACGTGGAGAGAGAGAAAGAGGCCCGGCTCGGCTATGAGAGTAGAGACCACCGTAGTAATAAGAAGAAGCGAAGGATCTCGGAGACCCACGGCACGGGTTGTCGGCGTTCACCGTGTTGGTCCGACTCGCGCGCGCGCGCGCGCCCCTTGCCACCCGCACGCGGCTCCCGTCGCCGCCATCACCCACGCTGCCCAAACCCAGCAGAGCGGGGCTGCGGCAAGGAACGTGGCACCCGAGATCGCAGCGAGAGGCCTCGCGCGCACGCTGACACGAGTGGGTGCCTTCGTCGGCGGCCGTCGCGGAAGTGCTTTAATTTCTGTAATAATCGGAGCTTTAGTTACTGGTCCATTCTGTGACCACCGTCTCTCGGCGCACGTGAGGGGGGGTGGAGGACGAGCGGCGGCGCGGTAGCTCCGCGCAGACGGTCTCGACGCCGCCGGTGGCCTCGTCGACGGAAGGAGAAAGTGTGGCCATCGATCCCAGACCGGCGATGTCGGCGCCGACGTCGGGCCGGACGCCGCCTCGCTCCTGCGGCCTACAGGCCGGTCTCCTTGCCGCGGAGCGGAGCTGCTCGGCCGGCGTGCAGGAGGTCGCTGCGCAGGAGGCGGTAGAAGAGCACGATGTTCATGACCGTCACGACCGCCATGCCGACGCTGCCCGTGGCGAAGGCGGCGGCGGGGATGCTGTCACGGTTGAGCACGAGCCAGCGCGTCATCCACGCCAGCGTGCTGATTCGGAACGCGGCGAACGTGCCCAGGTTGAGCAGGCCCACGACACGGCCTGCCGTCGTCTTGCCCAGCCCGGCCATGAGCATAAGCTGGCGGCCGTGGAGGAAGACGGAGTTGATCTCGACGAGGAGGGCGACCGTCGCGAAGCCCACGTAGCGGCGGCGCAGCACGGCGACGCCGAAACACACGATCACCTGGGGGGCCGGGGTGGGGGGGGAGCTCAAAACCACCACGGGGACGTCGCCGCCAACTCCTCCTCCACTTGCGCTACCGACGTGCTCGCCCTCGCGCGGGAACCGCTGCCAACGCGACCATGGGAAGATTTGACGAACCAGTCCATGCGAACTCCTTAAGCTACGTCCAAATTGGCAAGACTTCTGACTACAACGAGCGTCAACCCAATTCTCCGATCCCTCCACCGGATCCCCAAGCCACTCCCGGATCAGTTTCAACATCGCACTCGGTGTCAAGATCCTCCATGGACACGCCTCTGCCCACCTTTCCCTTGTCTCTCCTCTCTTCCACACACTCTCCCCTCTCTTCCACACACTCTCCCCTCTCTTCCACACACTCTCCCCTCTCTTCCACACACTCTCCCCTCATCTCCCTCTGCTCCCCGCCACGCACAAACACTGGTGCCTGCACCTAACCCACTCCACGCAGACACCTAAAGCCTTCACCTACTGCCCCAATACACAGCGCCCGTCTCACCCACTACCCTACTTCGCACTGACCCCGTCACGCCCAGTAGCCCACATGCAGCTGGTCACCGTGTTTTGTTTTTTTGCTGCGGTTGAACCGAGCGGCCATCGGGGGGAGTTGTGGGCGACTGGACCAGGCCACGGTCCACGTCAGCCGAGGCACAGCGGATTCCCGTGAGGTGGCGACTCGGTCAGTTGTTAAATAACGTCATGGCGCATTTATGCAGGAAAGCCTCGGCGAGTCTCAAGACAATGCATCGCGGTGCTTGGCCCAATTCCATTTCAAGGATCGTCGAATTGTGGGAGGAAATCTCAGTGCCCCACGGAAAGCGGGCTATGACCACTCGGAGCTCCTCAACAGCCCACTCGGTGCGCTGCCATCGCCGGGGCCGGCTCCCAGCCCGATGGCCTTCTGTACACGATCCGCCAACCCTCGCCTGCGTCGTCAACGATTCCACTAAACTCGCCTCTCTGGTTCCTCCCCGCGCACGCAGCAGTGGGGGCAAAGGGCGGCATGCGGGTAGGGGGAGGGGGAAAGCAGGGGAGGGTCGGCCCCTCCTCTGCGCCGCGAGGGGCCGCCGAGGGGTCGCGGGGCGAGGAGGGGGGAGCAGCTCCGTGTAAACAGCACAGCGGTGGTGGCCGGCCGCGACACTGGAGAACAAAGCGCACGTGCCGTTCCGGCGACTGGTACCGCACGCTCTCGGTGCCGTGCGCTCTCTCTCCACGTGTGCGCCCCGGAACGCGCCATTCCACGCTCGCGCAAATGTCCACCGCTACCGCACGCACACGCGCAACGCGACCGCCACGGCTGTTGTTGGTGAACACCTTCGGATCGGTCGGTAAAAGTGCTCGGCGCGCTCCCCTCTCCCTTGCGTAACGTGCCGGCTCTTAATGGGCGCGACGCACGCAATGGCACGCCCGGAGGAGGGCGTGGGATGGCGCTTGGGTAATCGGGCCCGGGAGGTGGATGACGACGGAAATCGACCTCGTGGTTTCTACAGCCCCTGCGGCCGTTGTGTTATCGGCGGCTGTGGTTGACCTGGCGATCGTCAGGCAAAAAAAACATCCGGCGCTGTTTGTGTATCGTACCCAACGCGTCGCCGCCCCGGCGCTCGCCGCACCCCCGCCCCACCTGACGCCTTTCCCAATTTAGACTTTTTTTTGCGCGGATTTATGCCGAATGTGAAAACCGTGGTTCCCACACTACTCCTGCGCTACGCCGTGCGTACGTCGCCGCTCGTGAAAACGGGACAGCGACGCGGCCCAGTGGTAACAGCGTTCACTGCTCGCTGCAGGCTTATTAATCGTAAAGCAATAAGCGCCATCTGCTTAAGAGCGGACGTGAACGATCCCGTGACGTAATTCGAGATGAGTAGGCCATTGTGTGCCAGCATCACTTGACCGAATTACAAAAATGACACCACATCGCACTTTTTGGATCACTCACAGCAGCAACATCACCCCGACTGTGAAACGCAGCAGCACCGCGCTGTGTAATAGCCTTGCGCTGTAACAATGGCACGCATTCCAAACGTGCTACTTCATCTTCATTGCTACTATCTGTTGATCTCCATAGTAACATCATAAATCCTAGTGGGCACGGAGCAGGCTGACAAGTCCCAGCGGGCCAGATGCCTGCACCTGTGCGGTTCGTGTCAAGCGTGTTTTGTTTCGGTGTCGTTTTTCGGCCGGCCCGTGTCGTAAATCACCACTCTCACACCCCCTTCGCCGTTCGGCGGTGATGCCTCTCCACGTTGTTTGCGAGCACTTCTTTTGCACTGTACCTAGCCAACCGCACTCATTGGAGGTACGGGGGGGGGGGGGGGAAGGACAACAAGAAATTCGTTTTCAATCTAGATAATTTAAAAGTACATAGCTCCATTGGCTCCCTAATATCGCAAGAAAGAGCGTTCAAGGCGGCCGCAGAAGCGCATTTGAAAGCGCGCGATGCGGTGACCGTCTCTGTTCGATGGCCAGCCATAAGCCGCCGCTGCTGCTGCGAAGATGACCGGAGCTCGCGTGGTGGTGACCCGGTGGGTGCGTGCGTCGCTTCTGGTCAGACCCTACGCCGGCTCCGTGCCTCCCTGCGAGGCCCCTCCTCGTGTGTCTAAATTCCCCAGTGACAGGATGTGCGTGCGACCTCGTGTTGACCTCATGTTTCTGTCTCCTGCGGTTACGGACACCGCTGGTTTGGCTTCACGGCGCTGCGGTTGCGAAGGCCACCGACTTTCGTTGGCAAGCACAGGGTCAGGCTTTGGGTCTTTAAATGATTGACCCTGCAAGTGCAATGTGTGATCAAAACATCAGGAGGTAAATGCAACATTGTCCTCAGTCGAGAGTCTTAATAACCACTCTACCTTCCCCACCGCTGACCTGTGGGTCGTGTGTGTGTGTGGCACCGTCAGCCGGAGCTGACGGTGCCACACAAGCACGGTGCGTTTCCTGCACTGGTCTCTTGTCACCTGAAGCGAGAGAGAGTGTCGCGGTTTCGTGCGACCGAGTGACCACTCCTGCATGCGTCCGATACTTTCAGTCGCGCATCTTGACGCGCTGCATTCGTACCTCTTGCTTCAACGTTATCTGAACACCCCACGTGAACGGCCGTCATTGTCTCTTGCTCCGCAGGTCAGGCCGCGTCGCGCCGGAGGAGAGGGGCGAGAGTCTCCAGCTCCACGGCGGGATGGGGACGCCGCCGCTCCCTCGCCCTCCCCCACCCACAACCCACCACACCCCCAGCCTCCGGCCAATCGCGGCCCTCGCCCTCGAGACGCGGCTGGGTGGGGAGCGCGTGCCGACGTCGCCGCACCTTATCGCGGGGTGGAAGGTCGCGGCCCCCGTGCCGGCCCTCCACACCGGAGTAGCCGAGTGTTTCGGCTGCTCACGACGCCTCGTTGTGGACGACGCGTCAGCATTAAACAGCGACGCCTTCGCACGCGGGGACGCTGCGGCGGGAGGACGCTGTGCTCGCCTGAAGAGCCACGGTCGCGCGCTGCGCTCCGAGCGGTGCGCACGAGCGCAGGAAGCACGTCGTTATTCGAGACTTCACATCTCTAATAAGTCCCAAGAGTCTAACCCCGCTCCGTCTGCCGTGGCCGTTATCTAAGATGCGATGGCTCCGCCATCACCCTCAAGTGTAGCTCAACACCATAAAAGCGGTATCCCGCAGCTGTTGGTCTCTCTGATGTGTACATTCACGTGCAGCGGTGTTATAAAACCCATGGACACGAGGCTTGTAAAGTGAGCAATTTTACCGACTTTTGGGTGTGCGGCCTGCGATGGACTCACCACCAGGTGATGCAGCAGCAACTCCCAGCAGCGCTGCACTTTCTGGTTGAGCAGCATGTCGACGAAGTCGTTGAGGAAGTAGCCTGGGCGCGCGGGGAGAGGGCAGCGGGCGATCGGGTCACGAACGGAGCACCTGGCACTCCACGACAGGCCGCATCCGGCACGCGGACGCTCTGCGATGCGCCCGTGGAACGGGGTGACCGCTGTGGGCCTGCGTCGTGCCGGACGGCCACCCTGCTCGCCCACCAATGAGGCCGAGCGATGGAGACGCCTTCAGCTGTCACTTGGCTTCACCTCGATTGGGACAAGGTGTCCCATGCCCCAAACGCCCCTGTCCACCCAACAGCATCAATGGATACGACCACTGTTATTGGCTGGTCGTGTGCAGTGGGGTAGAGCGGAGGTACTCCCATCTCCAACACGTCTGGCCAGCGTGGAAGAGTAGGCCAAATACCCTTACCACCAAATATGTCACGTGACCGTAACATCCGCTGGGCCCTGCCACACAGTGGGTGTTTGTCACCACGGCAGCGGCGTGGGCCTGCGGGGACACGCCCAGGGTGTCGGCGTCCCACAGCACCGCTCACGTCTTCACCGAGTCTCTTATTTTATATGCGCGGGAGGGTTCGCCCACCAACGACGCCGCTGATTCTGGGTGTTAATTCCATTTTAAAAAAATCTATTGTTTCAGTGCTGTTTCTCGCGCGGAAGTTTTGTTTCTCCGCAACTTTTACCCATCGCGCGTGACGCTGCACCCAAAGGGCACGGAAGCGCGCAGAATTCGCACACACCCACTTCGGGCGCGTTCCGCGAGAGCGGACACTGCGTTGGGATCGACGGGTGCGTCCGGCAGGAGGGGGGCCACGACTTTCCGAACGAGAATTGTTCATCTCACCTCTCACCCCCCACCACTGAGCGGAATCAGAATGGAAGAATCCGACAAGCTATGAAGCTCTTTTTCGCAGCCGTTGAGCCGTTACGCCGATTGAGAGCGATCGTGCGACGGCGAATCAGCCCCAGCGCGTCTGGCGGCGCTTCGGTCTGGCCTTTCAAAACCGGTGGCAATCCCCCGTATTGGAATAATAGTATTTACACCAACAATCCCAGGAATACGATTGGGGAATCCGTACAGCAGGCGAGCGAGCGAGCGCCCACGTTGGTGGGCACCGAGGCTCTGTTTCGTTTCTCGCCGACGCTGTTGCTGCTGCCACAGATTCTGCTCTTCCCCCTTTTATTGCAAAACGTCGCGAACACAAAAAAAAGATCAACCTGCGTAACTGCCGATATTTGTCGCCGATCCTGAAACGACCGAGGGTCGTCCCCGCAATTATCTGGCGGCTGCCGTTCTGGTCCTGCCTCACCGGGGCGGAGGGGGGGGGTAACGTAAGCCGATGTTTATTTTTTAACAACCCAACACCGCGTCGATGCTTTCGGGGTTGGAGCAGAGGCGCGGCCGTGAATTGAAACCGGCGCCGGCGTGGCCGTGACCGCGCAGGGCCCCGCTGCCGCAGGCTCCGCGCCAGCTGCAGCCAAGGGTGGCTTCATTTTGGCACGGAGCCGGCCGGGGGAGGGGGGTGGCGAGGCTTCCTCTATCGGGGGGGGGGAGGGGGCGAGGAGGCTGCCCCCTCTCGCGTGTGGGGGGGGGGGGGCGCAGAGTGAGCGCCGTCGAGGCCGCTCCCCGGCCCAACGTGCGCGGTGCCCCCGCCACCACGGCGGGGGGACTGCAGCGGGCACCCTGGCGGCTGGCGCCGGTCGCGAGCGGGCGGGCGGGCGAGCGGGCGGTTGAATGATCGGTATGCGAGCGTGAACGACCCAAGTGAACAAATGCGTGGGTGAATGGGCGAGTCGACAAGTGGACGAAGCGAGTGAATACACGAGTGGCTGGGTGAACACACGAGTGGCTGGGTGAACACACGAGTGGCCTGGGTGAACACACGAGTGGCCTGGGTGAACACACGAGAGGCTGGGTGAACACACGAGAGGCTGGGTGAACACACGAGTGGCTGGGTGAACACACGAGTGGCCTGGTGAACACACGAGTGGCCGGGTGAACACACGAGTGGCCGGGTGAACACACGAGTGGCTGGGTGAACACACGAGTGGCCTGGGTGAACACACGAGTGGCCTGGGTGAACACACGAGTGGCCGGGTGAACACACGAGTGGCTGGGTGAACACACGAGTGGCCTGGGTGAACACACGAGTGGCCGGGTGAACACACGAGTGGCCTGGGTGAACACACGAGTGGCCTGGGTGAACACACGAGTGGCCTGGGTGAACACACGAGTGGCCTGGTGAACACACGAGTGGCTGGGTTCAGTGGTTGCGTGCGGCTGTCCGGTGCTCGAGGACTCGCACCGATGGAGACGGCGACGAGGCAATGCGACGCGGGCCTCCACGTGCCGATCAGGTCCTCTGCCATCTCCGGGTGCGAGTAGAAGCTGGGGGGGGGGGGGGGGGGGGGCACAGGAGCCACCCGATGTTGTCACCGCTACGCTTCAACAACGGTCCGGGTCGCTCGTCCTCCGCTCGAGGGCCCTGTGGGGGCCTTACACCGCTGGCTTGGCCAGACCTCACCACGCTGGTTATTGCGGGGTTTGTGCAAGGGGGGTGGGGGGGGGTGAGAACCAGGACCGGTTCAGATATCGATCGCCACTGATGTGATAGCGATAATCCAGGAATCAAACGGACGTCGTCGAGTTCAAAATGCGGCGTCACAAAGTCAGACCCCCCCCCCCCTCAAATATGACGTCACATAGCTCTGCCCCCCCCAAACCATATTTCCATTTTGAAAATAAAACATACTTCAAATCGTTTTAAACTATTGTCATTGTAGTGCGTATTTAATGTGGCGCTGCGCTCTGATGAACCTGCCTGCAAAGGAAATCAACAAAACAAACACAGATGTTCTAACCCCTCCCCCCACGCATATTTTGCAAGAAGTTGACAAAATATCTGCGGTGACGTGCGTGATACGAAAGCAATTCTCATGACCGCTGTCGAAAAACAAGGTCTGGTCATCTGGTGACCCCCAGATGGTGGATCCCTATCATCAGAGGCTGTGTTCGAGCGAACCCCTTATCAGCGCTCTCAACCCACTCACAACCACCCCGTTTCTCCTCTCCGCGCACACTGCGTTCGCCTGCAGCCGCCGTCCACGTCCTGGCCAGTGACCGGTGTCTAACCGGGTCGGAGCCGAGAAGCCCGGGCCGGCTGCCTCTGTCTCGTCTGAACACGCGGGCGATGAGACTCGCGGTTTGTGATGCAGCCAGTCTCATCCCCCACCCCCCCACCCCGTGTCTCCGGTTTCCACACGAGCGATGGCTTATACAACAGCAACTTACTTTATTCTATAGAACACGTGGCTTCGTATACATACACATCACGTGACTGCCAGAAACACGTGTGCCTCCTCCACGGTTCAAGTTGCCGAGCCCGTTTTGCTTAACCACGGAGAATTGGAGCAGAGGAGTCTCGTGTACAACAGGGATCCGAAGCATGCAGAGACGGACGCGGGGGCACACTCCCGTGTGCCGGTTTCGCCACCGCATCCACACAGGACAGAATCACTACTCCAGGTGCCACGGGACACCCCCCCCCCCCCCCAGGGTTACCAGAGAACGGCGCCGCTGCCCGTGACGACGCCGTGCACCATGGAGGCGGCGCTGTTCCGCCACTTCCACGCGTTCCGGTGCGCGCAGCGCGGCGCGGGCAGGCGCTGCGCGACGCGGCCCACAGCCCAGAATACCCCTGCGGACAGCAGCACCACCGCGGGGCCCAGGAGCGCGCCCGCCTCCATCCCCGTTCGCCCCACGGTCCCCCCTTGCCCACGATCCCAGTCGCGGGTCCACGCGGTCTGTTCCTCGGGTTCTAGGAGTCGGGACACTGCGGTCCGCGTCCCCTGGGTTGAGGCGGAGGGGGGTCTCGCCGGTCCCGAGCTCGAGGCGAGACCGCAGCCGGTCCCCCTCTGGTGCCCACGCTGAGGATGATCCTCGGCTCCGACTCTCCCACAACCCTCCTTCCTCGCTCACGCGCTTCGCTTACACAACACGCGGCCTCACGCCCACGTCGCGTGGCGCTGCCATAGCAGAGCAGCGACGGAGCGCGTGGAGTCGGGAGAGTTGACGAGGGGAGGGGTGCAGGGAGGGGTGACCAGGGGCGTGGAGGGAATGGTGACGAAGGGCGTGGAAGGGTGACGAGAGGAGGGGTGACGAGGCGTGCAGGGGAGGGATGACGAGGGGAATGCAGGGAAGGGTGACGAGTCGTGAGCATGGAATTAGGGCAGTGGTGGTGAGCTGGCAGTGAGATTACAGAGTTGGGGGTCTATTTGGTGTTTGTGGTGAGCAGGGGGGTGGGCTTCTCGGAGTGTCGGGATGGGGTGTGGGGCAGACGAGGGGTGGGGTGTGCAGGGCGTGGCGAGCGGGGAACAGGCAGCCCTGGCGTTAAGGCCAGTGGCGAGGCAAGAGCGGTGCAAGCACCAGGGACTGGGGGTCGAGGGTTGGGTTCGTGCATTGGGGTTATGGGGTCCAAGTGGTGGGTCGTGAGGACCAGGTCAGGGGGAAGCAGGGTCAGGGAGTTTGGGGAGCGAGCAGCAGGGTTGGTTGCTCTCTCGGCCATCACCGCCCTCCGACTGTGCTCACCTCCACTCGAGTCCATGAGCCCAACTCAAGACGATACATCATTACGAGTCGGTGCCGCGTGAGGTGGGCATCACCACCTTCGCGAAGACAGCTTTTTGGACGTGTGAATTGTGAAAAGCGTTTGAAATGAGCGGGGGGTGGGGGGGGATTATCAATGTTACTCTTTTGAGCCGCAGAAATGACTTAGTTTTGCTACCTTTGGTGGTATAAATGTCTGTTCTGGCCCATGGACTCCAGAGCCATGCTGATGGATCATAAGATTTAATGGGTGGGTGGTCCCGTTTGGGTGGAAACATTCCATTGGGTCTAGCGACACTGCTCACATTTTTTAGCCACATTGTATCCCCTTCTGCACGAGGATTGGGGGTTCTCGTTAAAATCATCTGCTGCAAAAAACTTAGCACCAAAATATAGGGTGACCACAGCAGCCACAGTACAGCTTACACAACAACCACAAGCGGAGTTACAGCACACCCTAATCGTTCCTCGACGATAGGGATGACGAACACGCAACTTTATCCTGCGCTCGCTTATTGTAAACGGCGGACTAACCCTGAGTTTCATAACACCTAACACACTTAACAGACATTGGCGTGTGTGGATTTACATTTTAATACCGCATTCATTTTTCTGAACATCGCCATTTCTATCAATCGATACTTTTGCACACAAAAATGCAGTCTCGCGATTCCAATACTGCAGTTTCCGTTAGATTCTTATCAAAACAGACGTTGCATAGATAACACTTCTAATAACATATAATACATAAGATGTACAAGCGACCACGCCTGCCACAGCCTCTTCACACAATTTAAGAAATGGAACCAAAAAAAAAATCACCAAGCCATTTATACAGATTTCAACTTTGTTTGCACAACATAGTTGGTATCAAGTAATGGTTCTTTCAAGCACGTAGTACAGAGAAAAAGCGAGACCCAAACCAAAGCACATAGTAAGGTCCATCACAAAAAAAGTGCCTGCATTTCTTGTCACGAGGTGTATATTCATGACTAAACTTTGAAAAATGTACAACGTGTTTTGCGGTAGAGTCCAGCAGCGAGCACATTAACTACAGCATCAAAATATTCTGAAGGTACACACACACAGCTAGAGGTCACTACACGTTGTGGCGATTTCCAAAAGCACATGGTTAATGCCAATACAAAGCGGTCAGCAATGTACGGCGACTCCACTCTGTAATAAAACGCCCGTCGGCCTGTCAAAAAAACATTGAAAATGCCACATGGTAACCAGCCAGGATATTTACATGTTCAACCACATACAATGGGTGTCGCTAAAATACTACATTTCATGATGACAATGTTAGGCTTTTCATTTATTTATTTAACCCTAGGCTACACACAGGATTGTACAGCACATAAATCAAGGCATCACAATGTAATTAGAGACCCAAATGTTACATAATGGACAGAACTTAAGATTCTCATTGCTAAAAATAATATTAAATCACCAATTCTCCCTCTCATCCATCGCTCCAGGTATCCTGAGCTTCAACGCTTGCGAGAAATAGGGGAAAAACAGCGGGAGTTCTTTATCGTTTACTCTGGGGCTACGTCATGATAGCAGTGTCGTTACTAACGTCTCCTATAAGGAACAATGGCTGAGACAACACCCTGCCACATCCAGCCAGCCTCTTGGCCCTGTGCCAATGAGCCACCCATAAACCCTGCTCCACATGCAACAGGAAGGAAAAAAGATTTACCTCTTTCCACCTTCCCTCGATTTGCCAACACTGCCCCCTGGCGCCGAAAAGCGGGAGTCTCCGAGCTCGAGCTATACAGTGGAACTGACCCACTGCCGAAGCTACACACATTATACCTCAACTTTTCCAATTGCTCAAGACTTAGATGGGCCCCTTTGGTAAAAGTTGTAGGTCTAAAATGCAGTGTTTCAGGGAATGAGACTGAATTTAGACCTGTTGTACTACCCGCCATGCGTTTCCAAAACTTGTCGCCAAAGAGGCACTGCCCAATTTTTTCATATCATGATTCACCAAGGACCACTTGCAGGCATGGGTAAAACACTAGCGGTTACTAATTGGTCACGAGATGGTGGAACCAACATATGCAGACTATCAGGGAACTGCACTCACTTCCCAGGTCGCATTTAACAACGGCAAGAGACCCAGCTGTGAGCTACCCGCTCTCCGTTGTGTCGCTAGAATATCCGATCCCTCGACGGATCGCTTGACGGGTCAATCGCCTATTCAGAGCAGCAGCAGCTTGGCTGGGAGACCGACGGCTGGCAGAGGAGCTGCTGCCACCCCGGGTGCGGCCAGCACCGACATCGCTGCCACTGATACAGAGGGAGTCGCTTCCGCTTAACCGCTCGTCGCCGCTCGCCGCTTGCGACGATCGCCGTCTCTTACGCGTCGCTTTATCTACAGTCCTGGCTGGCGATTGGCACAACACGGAACGGCGGAGGCTGGCGCGGGTGATAGTCGGGGTACTCGACCGACCGCCTTCTACACAAGTCTCTGAAGGTAAAGACGGCATGCCAGCCTCATCTGCACTTGTTCTGTCATCAGAATCTACTTCCTGCCGACATAAAATTTTAGCTTGGGGTTCTTGGTCATCGGAATTGCTTTGGTTGAGGTCTTTTCCAGGTGAGCTGCCCGTCATGTTGTGTTTATACAGCTGTGTTTCTCCATCAGAACTATTGATATGTTCACTTGGGCTTTTAATTTTTGCTGGTCTTCCCACTCTCCTCTTTACGACATCTGACTGACCAGCTTTTTTTAGCGTTTCCAAGTCCTTCCTTGACACGGACTTGTTTTTTTCACGTTTGTTTACTTCTTGACTACTCGACCTGAGATTCAGTCTTCTTCTTGCCCCCAGCATGCCCGACGACCTTTTTGTATCGCGCGATTTGATGCCAGACCTGGTTCTTATAGGGCTCCTTGGCTTCTCCTTGCCCGTAGCACTGTCCTGGCATTCCGTATGGCTTTGTACAATGGCATTCAAATCGGTTTTCCTCTTGCGGCCTGGTTTACCCATCCTCTCTTCCTTCAACACGGGCTTAACATCAGGCAGCTCTCTACCAACCACAGCATGTTTGGAGTCCTCTGCATCACAACCTGATGGCGTGTCCTCGTGCAGAACTTGCTTAAGGGGTTTCTCAATTTCTGCTGCTTCCAGTTCTCGAGATCCATCATCTGCCGGGCCAGCTGGCAATGCTTCTGCTTGTGGATGAGACTGATGTTGGATGTTAACCACCTCTAAATTATCAGTCAAACCGGCATCCGTGACGGGAGAGGAATCACCGCGCTGCGTGCTCACTTCCAGGGTACCCGGACTTGCGTTCACAGTCAAACTAGGACTGGAGCCATTGTTACAGATTTCAGCAGATGCGTCCAAATTGCCTGCGGCTGGCAAATCAGCTTGTTCTACATCCTTGGCGACCGGTGAAGCACTATCAGACGGGTCTTCCATTAATAGTACTGGACTGTTTAACTGTTCATCTCTTACGGATGGATTTACACAGTTAGCATTAATCACGCAAGGCACATCCAAATTGGGTGAAATAGTATCAGTTTGTTTCAAAATATCATTTGTAAATTTCAATTCTTGCGATGTTATCGTTGACGTGAATTCATTATCTGCAGAAATTGTAGCATGCGAAGTTTGATTTTCCTTGTCAAAATGTGGGCTTTCCAATGTTTCTAATGCATCGATGCACTTTGCTGCGCTGTCTTCAAGTTGCTTGGGATTTTCTGGCGTGATTTCAAGAGATTCATTTGTGCAGTCTCGAGTACCCGCTGCGTCATCATGCATTATTACACTGTGCATACTACGTTCGGAATCGTCAAGCTCCCTTACGCCACTGACAACCGGGGAAGTAGCCACGGCAGTTGCGGTACAGCAATTTCCCATCATGGAATCTGTTGTGGCACCTTCTTCCAAAACGTCTCCTTTGTGTGCATCATGAAGCTCCTCCCTACCCTGACTCAGAGCGGACGCGGGTTGGCTCTCCTCCGGTTGACCGCTCATGACCGAGTCGCTGCCCGATGCTTTTGAATTTTGCTCGGCAAAGGAGCAGCCAGTGTCCTGTTGTAAGCTCGCAGGGGAATGCAAATTTTCGCACGCTCGGTCGGACGCTTCACTCAGTTCTTGTGTGCAGTTACTCGCGCTTTCAAGCAGTTCACGAAAATCCGGCTTGTCAATGGTCATATCGCTTTTGTCGTTCAGAACTGCGTCAGATTGGTCAATTTCCTGAGAAGAATCTGCCGCCTGGCTGGTGTCTGACCTACGGCACGGGCGGCCTCTCTTGCGCGTCTTGGCAAGAGCGTCGTCTTCCGGCTGCGTCTCCTGCGCTTGAATTTCCTTGGCGGCATCGTCACCTCTCGGTTCGTCGGCCTTTATTAACTTCACATCTTGCTTGCTAACGTTAGCTTGCTCCTGAGCAGTAAAGAACGAAGGAAAACAAATGTTAGGTTCGAGTAATTCCAACTATGGACTGTCGTTTATGCTGCCTTTTTGAAGGCAGCTCCGCCTTCACCAACCCACACTGACCAGCATGGTGAAGTATGGTGACACAACCCCCATGGCCCGCACGGCGTGGGGAAGCGCTCATCTAGCAGTGGATTGACAAAGGGCTTTACATGTACGTATATACAGATTTAAGTGAATAACAACATCAAAACACTATGCCTCCCTGACTAGTCGCAGCAGAATTCACATTCCAGTGAGAATTTCTGCAGCATTTCTTGAAGCTTGCTTACCTTGGTGCTCTTGGGTTCCTCCGTCTCGGCCGCAATTGACGCTTCTAGGTACTTCAGAGCGTATCTTTCTATTGGAGTCAGCTGTGCACACAGGAAAATAGCCTCTTAGCCAACAACTCAAACTGCTCCATTACCAAAAAGCACTCTCGCACTTTAACATTGTGCAATGGAAGCAGACAATTTGACAGCAGAGCGTGTTCTGGCATTTATCCAGAATTTTACTTGCAAAGTGCTCGTAATGGAATTACAAACACTTTACATAAACATACAGTGGAGCGGTGATGCGGCGGATAGCGCACCGTGCTAACTCCGATTGCCAGCCACGGCTAGCGTCCGTGGCGAGTGATATCCGAACCGGCGCTGAAGGCCTTCCCCCGGGTGCATACATCAAGCCGCACCGACCGGTGTGGTACGGTCAAACAACCCGCACGGGCAACACAGCGCAGGGAGGCCTTCACCAAGTAGCGGATTAACAAAGGGCTGTAAATGACACAGCAAGTCCGTACGCTAGTTTACATCATCCGACGTGAAGTCAATTGGTCAACCGTGCAAACAAGTGACCTCGGGGGTGCGATAAATTTTTGTCTCGCGCCAACCTCACCTGCTGCACGAGTGCATTGATTTCCTCCTCGGCTTTGGAGGGCTCCTCCTCGTCGCGGCCCTCTCCCCCCACTCCACCCTCCTCGCCGTCGTCGGCCGCGTTCTCGTTAAACTCGGCCAGCTCGGCCACCTGCTCAGCCCGGGCCTGGCTCGCTGCTCGGATGTCCTCCTCATCCTCCGCTTTGCCCAAAGCCTGCGCACGCAGAGAGCACGCAGAGCGCACGCCACCCTTCGCTAACCACAAACATCTCCTAAACACGGGTTCATTCCTACTGCAAGCAATTCATACACATCCCCCAATCAAATTCTAAACCGAGTGGGTCAACGCTGCTGGCGTTAAGGTCCACATTTCCGAATGTATAAAATTACCCACAAATTACTCAATAGAAATCACACAAAGCAGCAATCGCCACCACCTACTAGCAGACTAATGCCAAATTGCAGGCTAGGTGCCGAGGGTGACCTTTAAACGTTTTGAGATGCGACGGCGATGCAAGTCGCCTGTCGCGTATAAAGTGCTCAGACGCGCGTGCGTGAAGGACACTCTCTCTCAAAAACACATCCCTATCGTTACGAGAACTGTCGAGTTGAGGCTGCGGAGAGCCCAGGGCTACGCACCAGCTCCAGGATGTTGGTGTCCTTGGAGGGAACGGCGCCATCCTCCTCGGTGGAGGGGGCTTGCTTCGGCACCGCCTCTGCTGCCTCCTTCTTCGAGGCATCCTCCATGCCCACCGGCATTTCAAACAACTCCCGTATCGTTTGCTGAGGAACAAAACCAAACAGCATGTCACTTGTAAACCGCCAGTGTACGCTGTTTTTATAGCGCTCTGGAGAAGTAGCTTATTTTTCTAATAATTAGTAATTCGGTCGTAGTTATACGTAATCAGAGCACCACAGCAATGCATGGATAAAGATAACAGTTTTTAAATAGAACAAATCCACCACAAATTTCACAAAGTCCAAACAATGTGAATGGATCGTCAAAGAAACTACTTATACAAGTCTCATCTTTAAAAAAATGCATCCGTATCCAGTACACCTTCCATACAACCAGACAATCTGCAGGGAGTAGGGCAAATGACGACTCCAGCACCTGTTTGAAGTAAGCAGTGGTGAAGTTTCCACCCTCGATGGCCACGTCCCCAAGCATGCGCTTCTGGTTGGCCTTTTTCAGGATGTTCTCTTCCACGGTCCGCTCGCTGATAAGCCTGTTACAAGAGGAATCATCTCAATTTTACGACGCTGCGTGAACTGCAACAGCTCCGTATGGCAGCATTGGCTAGAATCTCAAGCTGAACAAACGATTGCCTAGCGCCTTTAAGCGAGTATGTGGCAAACCGTAGTGCAGGAGGACACTTGAGGTAAGGACCTGTATATGTGGACATCGCGAGTCTGGCCGATGCGGTGGCAGCGATCCTGGGCTTGCGCGTCCATGGTGGGGTTCCAGTCGCTATCGTAGAACACCACCGTGTCGGCGCCGGTCAGGTTAACGCCTACGCCGCCACTCCGCGTTGACAGGATGAAGCAGAAGATGCGAGCGTCCGCGTTGAAGCGGTCCATGAGAAACTAAAAGACATTAACCGCCAAGCGTCACCGGATACCGTACAGGCACGAGACAGCGAGTCACAACCGCTCATTTCAATCGACCGCAACAGCACCTGTCTCTGTTCGACGCGCGTTGTGCCGTCCAACCGAAGGTAGATGTAGCCATGGAAGTTTAAGAACTGCTCCAAAACATCGAGCATGCGCGTCATCTGCGTGAAGATGAGCACACGGTGGCTGCCTGCTTTGAACTTCCGCAGAAGGATGTCCAGTGTCTGAAGCTTGCCTGCAAACACAAACGCGCAACTTAAGAACACAGCCGCTTGTATCCCAATTTGCAATAACTGTGATTTCACTGTTAAGCACACAATAAGACGCGGCTGTTCCAGGTGGACAACCGAGCCGAAATGTGGCAACTCACCACAGTCGTACTGGATGAGTCGCAGATCGGGGAACTGTGTGCGCATGTTGCAGAGGATGCGGTGCAGGCCGGCTGAGCGTGGCGACATCTCTTCATGCAGACGCTGCCACAGTGCCTTCTCCTTCTGCAGCATGGAAGGCGGGGGGTGGGGCGCGTGCAGCGAGATAGGCGGAGACTCCACGGGCGGCACCACAAAGATAAACCTACACGCCAGCGTGAGAGCCGAGACGCACACCACATTGTCCCAACATCCCGAGACACAACACGCCCCCCTAGAGAACCTCGCGTGCCGCAAAAGGCGCGGCGGCACCTCTTCATTTGACTTCAATTTTTTCTCGCTACTCAACACCCAGATTTGGCATACGCGGATGGTCCACTTTTCAAGCAGGTTAATTCCCGTCATTAGTTTGGTCGCTTAGTAAGGAGATGCACATGCCTTTCTATTATTTCTTTCAGCTCTCTCAACCTCTGCTCCGAGTTGATGCAGAGACTTTGCAGAGTGCTCGTTTGACTCCAGTAAACATCCGGGTGGCTGGGCTTGCAGGACTGCCGCACGCTGCGACAGTGCACGTAGCCGGACCACCTCCAGGCGCCCTCTGTTATAAAAAAAAACGCAATACATATTTAGCTCTCGATTGTCCTCAGATGGAAGAAAACTACCAAAAAATGTAAATATCTAATATAGTGAAAGTGAAAAACTAGTACAATTGACCACATTATTGCAGTTATGAGTTAGTTATCCGGTAAAGGGGTAAAAAAATAAGACGTCAAGAGGCAAATGCCATGTAAAGTGTCCATCAGGGCCACAAGAGATGAACTAGCCACTCAAAAAACCGTAAAACAAGCGCACGCACAGAAAAAACAATTAAACTAAAAAGACACCCTTAGAAAGATCCATGAGAATTGATGTTTAACAGAGGCCCCGTGCGCTCGGGGTGAGCTCCGTGTGAGCGAAGCGGCACAGGAGAAGGGTGCGTGGATGTGCTGCGGCTCGAGAGGGCCCCACCGTGGCGGTGCGGCCGTGAGCCCGGCTGCGCCGCGCTGTTCGACAGGTCGCACATGCGCAACACCTCGGTGCCGTAGATGGGTTTGGGCGCGCAGCGCGCCTCGTTGATGCGGTGAATGCGCTCCAGCCGATCCTCCTGCCGCTGAGCTCGCAGCTCCTCTACTCTCAACTTCACGTTTCCCGCGCAGACGGACGCAAAAGAAACGGCCACGTTTTCACACACCCGATAAAAACGCCACCGTCAACCTGGCCTCTTGTGGCGCAACGTCACAAGCGACATCACCCGGGGGGGGGGGGGGGGGGGGGTCTAACAGAAGCACGCGATATGGACGAGCAGAATTATTTGTCGGGAAACAAGTGCGGTCAAATTGGCTGTCAATTTGTGTCAGTGTGGTTGATATCTGCAAACATGAAAAACTAAGAGAATGTATTAGAGACAGACTGGGTCTTTGGGTGAAGGGACAAAAAGGTTGTCAGCTGTCAAAACACGCGTATATAATAATTATAAGCCTAACTCTTATGTGTCTCCTTGCATAACTAAAACATAAATTGTAGCCCATCAGCCTATCGACAGTAATTAATTTTTGCATTGAACGGGGTCCCATATTTTACACGTATTTCTCTTGCCAGTGACACCTGGTAATCAAACAGCAATTGTTTAACGAGTCAGACTATGCCAATGAGTCTGAAAATTTAAAAACCAGTATGGGGTTTTCTTGATAAAAAATAATACTGATTGATATAATTTATCTGGAAAACCAATCGGCTTATAAAAGCTAGACCTTTATTTCGGCATTGATTCAACCGAACGGAGTTACGGTTTATAAATGCTTAACCCATAAACGTTCCACGGCAGCGCAAAATGAGTTTAGTGCCAGAACAAGGAACAACATAGCTGGACCTTGCTCCCAGTTTATCCTCCTGTGCACCGAGGCCCCGACCGTGTTGATGTGTGAACGCCCCCTCACCAAGTAAAGCGGTGACCTCTTTGCCGGCTTTTTGGGCGCCGGTGCCTCGGCGGCAGAAGCGCTATCCTTGCGTTTGGACGGGGCCTCCTCGGCCGTGGCCTTGCGATCCACGCTCCGGGTCGTAGGACCCCTGGTCAGCGGCACAGCCGCGGGGACGGCTGACGACCAAAACCGAAACGCGGGCCGTTGTCAGTCCACAAAGCAACGTCACGATACGTAAACAATAACAAAAACGCAGTCGAAAAAATGCACTGATGTAATCTCTCCACAAAGAAGACTTAAATAGAGCAGAAAACACAACCATTTACACCATTTTAAAACAGCAACGTAATTATTAAGAGTAAATAAAAGATGCATTAAGAGTTAGGAATGTTACTAAATTACTTAAAACGTGTGAATTATGTGCCGTTTGCCCCAAGCTACAAAAACACAACAGTATCCCACCTTAGCAGCGTTACCTTTTAGGCCTGGCTTGGCGACCTGCGGTGAGGCAACCGGCGTGACCGTGGGAACCCTAAGCAGGGGGGTGCCGCTGCTATGTGTCAGCATCCGGGCCGGCTGGGCGTGCGGCGCAGGCACAAAAGGAAGCCTCACAGGCGGGCAGCCGGCGGCGGTAGAGGGACGTGGGGCAGCGCCTAGGGTGGCAGTGGCGGCGGCAGCAGCGTGGGCGGCAGCAGGAGCGACCTGCCTAACTAAGCCAGCTGAGCCAGTAGAGGTGGCAACTGGAACTGCAAAGGGCATGCATGCATCAGGAAGAGTGGAGGAAACGGGTAGAAAAGCCACGGCAAGTTGAGAGGTTACGAGTTTCCCGCAGGGTTAGCGAGAATGAAGCTTGTGAAAGCGTAACGTTTGCAAATGCAGACGCGTTAACTGATACAATTATGAGCATTCAAACATTGTTTTGTTCCCTCCAACAGTTACCATTATTTCCCATTAGAGAATGTTTTACCAGTAAAATAACCAGATATAAGCTTTCATAGGGTGTTTACAGGTATTTAGACGATTATGACTACCACACATCCACCATCAATATCACATTACATATAGCCAATATACAATAACATGGTAATGTAAAAATATACCTGTTCAAATATTTGCATTTAAACACAAAACAAAGAGGAGTTCTGTAGAGGAAGCAGATGGGATTACCTGCTATGGATCTCGCTGGCATAGAGATGGCAGCACCTGCCAACTGCTGCTGGGGTAGGGTGGCCATGCCAATCTTGGTGTTGCCAGGCTGGGCAAGGACCTGTGTCTGTGACACGGGTTTCACCATGTGCACCACTCCACCTGCCACACAACAGTGACAAGCAGCCAAGTGCTATTACACAATGCTTTATTCCAGGTTGAGCGGTAAACCAAATTTCATTGAGACCAAGAATATATTCCAAGACAACCGTAAAAAGAGTGGGAAAAGTGCAACACAGGTCATACTGGACAGATAAACAATGACATCACATTTTCTGAATAACTATTACAGAACAGCAACAATGTAATGAATAAAATAAACACTGTATACATTTCATGGAGAAAAAAAGAGAAACAGGTTCATCAAGAAGGGAGCCATGCTCTCCTACCCTGTATGTGTATGTGCTGGGGTCCGGGAGTGAGGGTACGGATTGGGCTGCAGGCCAGCGTCAGTTTGTTGCCTTGGATGTGCAAGGTGAGCGGCTGCCCTGCCTGGCCCTGGCTGTTGGCCAATGCGGCCAGCTGAGCGATGCTGATGACTTCCCCGCCTTTCAAAACAACACACTCAGCATTAGGGCCAGAAAACGTCCATTGAAGCACCAACATCTTTATCAATGATTTGGTTCACGGTTACAAGTTTATTTTATTATATTCTAACTTAGAAAAGAATCATGTTTAACGCCTCATGTCCAGCATTCTCTACACATTGACTAAAAGGTCATTTATTGTTGCGGTCTACTATGCCGGAGAGGTTAGTATATCGGCACTCTTCGATGTGCAGTCATGCTCGCATTCCATGTTAATAAGTTAATAGTCAAAGTGGTGTCCTCCTGAAATGAGCATTGAGACTGTGCTCGCCCTCCTGTTTACAGCCATAAGCCAGTGGTGGAAATTCTGCATTTCCACGCAGAGCACAACCACTGTTGACTCATGTCCAGCATTCTCTACACATTGACTAAAATGTCATTTATTGTTGCGGTCTACTATGCCGGAGAGGTTAGTATATCGGCACTCTTCGATGTGCAGTCATGCTCGCATTCCATGTTAATAAGTTAATAGTCAAAGTGGTGTCCTGCTGAAATGTGCATTGAGACCGTGCTCGCCCTCCTGTTTACAGCCATAAGCCAGTGGTGGAAATTCTGCATTTCCACGCAGAGCACAACCACTGTTGACTTCCTCACGAAGTGGTAATATTTACTGACCCCAGCAGGGCAATGGAGCGAGTCAACCAGAAACCAGAGGATGTGAACTAGCAACATTCCAATTGTGTGAGCAGCTCACTCGCTAACTAAACCTCCTGGCCGGATTATAACTGGACAAATTAAAATCATAAAATAAGGGACAAGCTCAGATTAATGACCGAATTTGAGCGAGCAAGGGACATATCTGTACCCCAGAACTCCTATGGGCATTCCCTCACGTGCCCAGCACGTATTGCTGGGAGCGATGTGAAGAAGGGGCACGTTTAATTATTATTCCCACTCGTGTCACCTTGCGGCTCACGGAGCAGAGCCACCCGGAGCTTGTGAGGGGGTGTTGGGTTAGAGGAGATGGTGTGTGAGAGAGAGAGCATGATGAAGTCGATGATTACACTGTGCCTTTTTTTTAGCTTCACCACCACCACCACCACAACAACTCGCATTGTGTAAATGGTCCTTTCGCACTCGGGGTGAGATATTAAAATGGGTTCAAAATGATTAAAATTGCCACTAGGTTTCAATACAGGGAGTCAACCGCCGATCTCAAATCACTGCATGGGTACGAGGTTTTATTGTACCATTACAATTAACTGCTGTTTTTTAACATCACCAGGTGTTGTTTTCCTCGACTACATATTACAGTTTAGGCATAATTCTATACCATGCATCACTTTATGAACACAGAACTTTAATTCAATATAAAAGTGCTTTCAGAAGCCTCGTGGCATTTGGTTTTTACACAAGTGCCAGAACATGGAACATGACAAATCCACAGATATGGCATAATCGCCTTATTCGTTTACACGGAAAAGAGAAGCAGGGAGGAACCTTACTGGGTAGCCGTGCCTGCGTGTGTGGGGTCAGAACCACCCTCTGCTGCACCACTCCACTGGGCAGCGTGTACCCAGTGACGAGCTGGGCCCTCTGGCCCTGAATTGCCAGTGGCGCCATGTGGCTGGCCTGGGTCACCAGCCGCAGCGGGGTAGTAGGGTTCACGGGCGAGGACGTGGGGGTCAAGGTGGTGGCGACAGCAGGGTTCACAGCCGAAGCTGCATTGCGAATTATTTGGCCTCCGCTCGCCTGATGCTGCTGTATGGGAACTGCGGCGTACATGCGCGGGGCGTGCGCCAAGGCAGTTCCTGGTGAACGAAAAAAAAGGGCCATGTCTTCAGTCACACAATGACAAAACAAACTGGACTATAACGTGCAAATTTCCATTTTCTCCAGGGCATTAACAAGTGAAGACACAAAACCAGTGGAATCTTACCCTGGGTGGTTACAAAGTGGGTGGTGGGTCGAATCTGGGGCTGCCCCTGCAGATGCACGGTGGGGGCGCGCTGTGTGCCATCGATGACCAAGCCCTGCATTGCACAGAGGTTCCAAAATATTAAATTACGATGCCTAAGAATAACTGTTAAAACTGTTGCTTATTAACATCTCATGAGCTCCTACCTGTGACAGCCTCAATAGGGTGGGGGAAGCGGCAGCAGTGAGCTGGGACCCCTCTGCAGTAAGGCCTTGAGTGACCCGCTGTGCCTGCAGCATGGCCTGGGTTCCATCGATGGCAATCCCTGGAGCGAGTCTCTGCAAGGTCGGGGATGCCGCGTGCTGCGTCAGCTCCGAGATCAGCCTGGGAGCCACGGGCACGGGGGGCTGTGCGAGCGGTGCCACAGGCCGGGTCGTGTCAATGATGGCGCCCAGCGCCTGCCTCTGCACCACGACCGCTGGAGAAGCCATTCGCTCCACGGCACCGACGCTCTTCTGTCCCACGGCCACGGAGTAGACGTGCGCAGCCCCCGCCACCTCCGGTACCACGCCTTGCAGAAGCCTTTGAGGCAGGCCCAGTGAGGGCAACTGCTCTGTGCTAACCCCCGCGATCAGCCTTTGTGCCACAGCAGCCGGAGAAGCTGTGGGTACAATCCCGTCTGTGGCGGTAGAAGGCAGAGGTTTCTGCAGGCTGTTCTGCACCAGTGATTTGGGTGCATTGACCATGACCACCGTACGGCCCTCTGACTTCTGCACCGGTTGCACCATTCTGTAAAAAACAAACCAATGTCCTTGCTCTAAGCATGTCACATCACACAAAATATTGCACAATTACAACAAACCAGGGATGCAACAATAATAATAAAAAAATACATTGTTTTTTTAAATAATAATTCATGGCACATTTTAAAACATGCCCACCTCTGCAGGCAACACCACAACACCCATTCGCACATCCGCCCACGCCTGTGGCCCCAACCCCAGGGATAAATTGTTGCTGCTGGCGACAACAAGAAAGTCAATGTTGTCGAAGACACTAATGATCCAACCTGGTGATAACAATGATTATGTTGCTGCTGTTGACGACACTACCGCTGCAGTTACTGATGCTCATAACGACGCTGTTGTTGATGGAAGGCTACGTGCCGTTTCAATGTTATCCCCTCGTGTGCAAGGTTTTTCTTTTGTACTCTGGTTTCCTCCCACTTTCAAAACTCAATAATTGCCAAAACAACCCCGAAGCAGAACCTCTGAAAAAAAAATTATACGCTGTGAGGCTTCATGAATAAAGTAAACATTATAGCCATCACCATTAGATTAAAATATCTTTGGCAACCACATTTGTTCCAATAATTTTAACACGTAGGCTTTTGCGACAAATATTATCCGTGATAAGAGGGCTTTTGGGTTAGATCGCGTAAATTTAAATGTGTCCTTAAACCCGCCACAGCCAATTAGTAAGGTTTGTCACGAAAACAAAACATGCCAATTCATTACTAGTTCAGCACACCGGTGCGTTGGAGAGTAAACCAACGACATTTACAACTCTGGCTGTCCGCCTGATGATGCTAGTTGTAAATTACTGGCGAAACTTCGCACTCGAATTGTAAATGTCGTGGGGTTTTACTCTCAAACACACCGGTGTGCTGTTTTAGGAACGAATTGGCACGTTTTGTTTAAGTGACAAACCTTACTAATTGGCCGTGTCGGGTGGCGACTGGTTTAAACGACATTCGTATTTACGTGATCAAACCCAAAAAAGACCTCATTATGGATAACACACTGGAAACAATGAATATCTCGGCCAGTACGCCAACATGGCATGCGGGTGGAGAGGTACGCAGTGTGTGGGGGGGGTTCCTCAGAGCGCTGCTGCACCTGTTAACCTTCATGCGGACGGGCTTGGGCCGGGGCGGGGGGTCTGGCGCAGTGGAGATCTCCTCGATCAGCTTTCGAGTCACCTTGCGGTTGGGCAGGAACACCTCGGCCTCATAGCGCGATAGCTGGTTCTCGGCGTTCACCAGATCAAATATGGACAGGTCCACATGCTGCAGAGAGCACAAACCACAATGTGGTCATGAGTCACCTCAAGAATTTATGTCAGATCAGCTTTTATGACAGTTTATCAGTCGAGACATCACAATGGTTAATATATAAATGTATATTTAGGTAGGTTGCTAGTCAATTTATTTTTGGTTAACGGATGGTGACTTCCTAGCACAAATATGCCATCCAAAGTGCCAGATGTTGACGAAACATTACATTGATCGCTGTTATATTTAAGTCGGATAGAAGCAGAACTGTAGTGAATTACACAATGGGTATAACGTGACAGGGAGTCTTCGAGCGGCGCTTACCCGCCAGGGATCGTATTCCAGCGCGGTCAACACGAGCGAGGCAGTGGTGTAGCAGATGCCCTGCGTGATGAAGGGCGACGTGATTGGCCGAGGATCAAACAGGTTGGGGTGGTTGCAAACTTTGCGAAGCTGCATGAGGATGTTGATTACACTCATGAAGTGACCGCTCGCCAGAGTCTCTCTTGTTCTGAGAAAACAAAATCATCCACGTCATTAATGTATACATAACCCAAGTCCCTTTTGTAAACGCCCCATCAGTGAGTGGCACCATGAGCAATAACGGCAATTAGCAGAGTAATTAAAACAATCAGGAATATTAACCCCAACTTGTAAACTAGCGCGAGAGGCGTCCGCTGTACGTACGTGGCTTGCGACATGAAGTCGTCGTAGAGGTAGCGCTGGCGCTTGGACAGGCGGCACCGCACAATGTGCTCGTACTTTTTTGGCATCTGCTTCTCAACGTCCATTTTTATTCTCCTCAGCAGAAAGGGACGCAGAACCTAACAGGAGCCAATGATGGCGACACACATTCAGCAGCCCCTCGAATGGACCTTCCACACGGACTTGCATTCAAAATATGCAGATACCATGAACTGACAATGCTAAATAAATGGAACACGATACAATACTAATAAACGCAATGGATATAGTAAACATAAACATATACCTACACCAGTTGTCAAATCTCTGGACCAGCGAACCACTTGTAAACCCTCAAAAACATTTTTTGCAGACCACCATGCACCAATGACCTATTTCTCAAAATTGTAATTGCTCACAAAAGTAATATCTGCAGCAATTGTGCAGAGCACTTTCCACGACCTAGGGACCACAACTTGGCAAGCACTGGCCTTTGGAATACAAATTCAATAAAACGCCTTTTGCACACGCTGGCCAAAAAATGCATCGGAAAGCACAAATATATTATGATGTGCATTCGTGCACTGCACCACACCTTGTGCAGACGTTTGACCAGGCTCTCGTTGTACTCCTGGCTGCCTTCGATCATGCCTGTGAGCGGGTTGGAGAACCACTCGCGGAACTCGCGGTGCGACTGGAACACGTGCGGCATGAGGAAGTGCATGAGAGACCACAGCTCCATGAGGCTGTTCTGCAGCGGCGTCCCTGTCAGCAGGAGCCGGTGCTGGCTGTACACAGTGGATTTGGAAATTTGACTTTGAGAGTGACTCGAGCAGCAAAGGTACTCGACTTAAAGTCAAGCTCTGAGCACAATATTCACCCAGCGTAAGGAAAACCTTCAACGTGCCACCAACAACGTAATGTCTTACAGTATAAAGCTGAACATTACTGACCTGTTGAAGTTAAGCAGTGACTGCCATCGCTGAGACTTAAAGTTCTTAATATTCTGAGCCTCATCCAAGATGAGGTACTTCCACTTCTTGCGGCGGAAGGCCTGGTGATCCTGCAGCACCAGCTTGTAGGACGTGATGCACACGTGGAACGCATTGGGCCTGGTCCAGCCCTGCGCATCGTCAACCACACACAACAACATTGCAGTGACTACAATGGACACACCACAAACGTATTGGCAACATCAAAAACATGAACTGCACTGAAGGCAACATAAGAGGAGGTAGGGAGTGTGGCCATCACAAAAAATGGTATCAAATGTAATTCTCATTGCAGCAGGTTTTTAAATGGAAAGATGCAAACCTGTCTCTTTTGCTTCCTCTCCTTGGGTACGCCATAGTAGGTGAGGATTTTAAACGCAGGAAACCACCTCTTGAACTCCATCTCCCAGTTTAACATGACGCTCGTTGGCACCACGACCAAATGGGGACCCCAGTTTCCTGGCAGCAGGGACGACATCACCCATTACATTATGCTCTTGCATGCCCCACTCACAGGCAACAATCTTTATGTCCGTTTGCATATTGGTTATAAGATCACTACAATCCTAAATTGAATATTTGAATGTAAAGCGCTGTCAAGACACTTGATAAATAGCTTCACAAAATAACACATTTATTTTACCTGTAAAAAATATATTTTAACATTAAAACATCCAAGAGCTCTAGGGTTAAGTACTAACCTCTGTCACAGGCCAGGTGCCCAAGCAGAGCGATGGTCTGGATGGTTTTTCCCAGGCCCATCTCATCAGCCAGAATCCCATTGAGCATCTTCTCATTCATCGTGACCAGCCAGTCGAGACCGATGTGCTGGTACTCACGCAGGGAGCCCCTCAGCAGAAAAGGCACAGGAGTCTTAACCTGAGCGCAAAAAATAATGCGACCACTTGTTCAACGTTCTCCAGTTATTTTGATAAGCGCAAGTGTTAAGATTGAAAGGCACTCATTTGTAGAGATCCTAAAGTGCAAAATAAACAGGGTAGCTGTTGCAAATGTCCGCATTACCTGTGCGGTCGCCAGCGTGTAACCCTTGGGCTGCAGGCTCTCAGCTGCAGCTGCGATATCCGTTATTTCTTTCTTGGGGCCTACACCATCAGCACCTTCCTCAGCAGCCTGGGACTGTGGTTCCTTGTCGTCCGTGACAAGGAACTTCATCCCAAGGTCGCTTCCTTCTTCATCGCCCTCCATCTCTTGATCCTCGTTCTCATCTCGGTTTGAAACGGTGGGAGAATCTACACTCTCTAAAAAGCAAGACAGGAAAGTAAAAAAAAACATTAAGTTATAGTAGTAATAATAATGAAAAGAAAAATGTTCTGTAAGCCTTGAATACTTGCCCAGTAACTGATGTGGGTACTGTTAGGTGATACAAAAATGTAAGCTATCCAGGCATGGCAGCCAACAGGAGCAAGACTCAGGGTGGGGGTCACAGATCCATCGGCAATACAGCTATTTACTGCTCCATCTGGACTTGATTAACTATTATGGAGATTACATACAATAGAAATGTATACCAACCTGGTTTATTATCGTCATTCTTCACTTCTTTTTGGCTTTTTGGTTCCATTTCCTTCACCTCTACCTCTTCCCCCACATCCTCCACAATTAATGGGGGTTCAGACACAACCTCATCTGCCTGCTCTTCATATGCACTTGCATACATTTTATAGAGGTCTTCCAGAGGCATCTCTCCTGTGAAGCACAGCGCCAAACACATTATAACACTGGAGACTTATAACACTGACGCCGATGTGGCATGTGGAGCGTGAAGGTCGTCTCACCTTCCCGCGCGAGCTCGTCCAGCTCCTGCTGGTAACTGGCAGTGCCTTCCACCCCTTCCTGCTCTTCGATCGTCTCTTCCACATCTTCATCTACTCCACACAGGATGTCAAACGTACAACAACCCAATCAATGAGCAATTCATGGACATTTAAACTTTTTTACATTTTGCCCATTTGTGTCCCAGGACAACCTCTGTTCACGAGCGAGCTTCTCACCATCCTCATCCTCTGCATCAAACTCGTCGTCGTCGGTAATAGAGTCGCCGCGCTTGCCGTGCCCGCTGCCCTGCACCAGACGAAGAGCACAACCAACGTCAGCAACCCACACCACCGCACAAATACAACCCAGTGGTACTCGTGTGGCAGTCATGTCTGTTCTAGTGTTCTACTCGTTATGACAACACCGCGGTAATGAGAATTTTATTTTAAACGTCTACTGCAAAAAACTGTCATACCGTTTGCCAAAAATAAAAAATAAACGCTTTACGTGAAAATGTGCTTCTGAAAAGGATCATCTACAAAATTCCACATGCAAGCAGCATTGAAGAGATTATTCACTACGTGTTGAGGAATTCATTGACACCACAGTCACAAACACCGACAGTGATGTAAGCAGTTCCTACATTGATCTTGCCACAACATAAAAAGCACACAGCTACCTCACCAGCCGGCACCAGAAAAATGAGTGTGGCTAAAGCTCCATGGGTGCAACAGAGCTCTTCTCTTACAGAAAACAGCAATGGAACGTGACCACATCCCACTGCTATAAACTTGATTACCTTCACAATGGTTAAATTATTGCACGCAAACATCAACCAGTAAATCATACTTGAAATAATACTCTTTGTAAATGGTGACAACTGATGTGAAACCACCGCTTAATTTACACAATATTTTTGAAGACTGTAATATGGTTTAAAATACCTACAAACCTCCTTCACACTGTCATCCTCCGTGTCCTCGTCAACATCAACGTCCCCCTCCTCACTGGCGCAGCGAGCCTCATCTAGTTGCCCATCATCGTCGTCGTCGTCGTCATCCCGGCGGGTGGGCGTCCACGCCTTGCCGTTGGCGTGCAGGTTGCCCGAGCGGCGCCGGCCGTGCTGGCGACTGCCGATGCGGCCGTCGCGGAAGTCGCTCCGCCAAGGGGACGCCAGCATTTCCGGAGGCAGCGAGTGAAGCAGCTCTTCCAGCGACAGCTCGCCCTCGCGCCGCAGCAGCTCAATCTCGCGGCGCCGCGCCTCGCGGCTCGCTGCCTCTTCCCGCTCCGCCTGCGCGATCGTCTCCTCGTCATCGGACTCATCCGTCGGCTCAAAGTCCCCATCCTCTGCAACAAAATTAAGATGCAGACCGTTTTCATTTTTTAAGAAAAATACTATTGACAATATTTAATGAATGCATCCATATTACCAAAACTATACATTTTATCAAAAATCGTGTTTAGCTGAGACCGTAACATTTGAAAACCAACATTTACCAACATGGGCCCCTCAAAAATGACTAGCCAGAGGTTTATTGGTTCACCTATAGGGCAGGTTCAGCATCAAATGCTAAATTGCATCAAATCTGATACTCGCATTTAAAATTAAATAATCCTCATTGGTGAATTTGTAATTCCATGTGTTTAATTAGATTTTTCTACAGATGGCAGTGACATGCAATAGCCATCCTACAGTCAGAGCCATCCATCAGGTACGGCGAATCGGGGTGACCCGCCCTAGGCCCCGCGCTTTGTATATATGTAGAACTTCTTTCACACCGTATATAGCCAACTGTGCTAATCGGAGGTGCGGGGGAAGGACGAACTAAACACAAAGCCCAGGAGGGGCCCCACGCTTCCACATCACGGTGTCAGATGTAATAACCCTGGTTTAGTTTAAGGGCCTAACGGGGCCCCCCACATGGTGATTTTCCCCGGGCCCCGCAACCCATTATAGACGACGATTTCTACGCTATAAGTATTTGTAATGCGTGCCGTGTTGTTTAGAGATGTGTTGATGTCTCAGTCTTGACGACAACATCCCGCACTTACCGGCCTCCGTGCGTGCTGGGCTCGAGGAAAGGGACCCCGTGTGAGAAGTAGCTATGGAGTTGTTGAGGCCACGGCTCAACCAGTCCGAGTACTTCTCAGTCTGATCCACGATGTAGTTCAGCTGCTTGTCCAGGGCCTTTTTGCGCTTCTCCTCTGCGAGGCTCTGCTGCTTAAACTGCACCACCTGATGGACCACAACCAGAGGTTCCAATCTCTTTGGACTTTGTGCATTCTCACTTTATTCATCCCTTAGCCCCGTGTATTGTTTTACAGCCAGAGGTCGCAATGTAAATGTAGAATCTTCCCGAAATGAAACCTATTTGTCCGAAACGCCATGTTTATTACCGTTTCCCCTCAGAAATAAGTGTTGCTTTAAGTAAAAATGTTCTGAGAAGCGTTGGTATACATGTTTGGCGCTCTGAGCCATTTCAGCTGGGTCGCCATTGAAAGAGCTTCTTGGCTCAAAAGGCCTTACCAGAAATAAACAGAATGACTTAAGCGTCATCATGTCGTATACTGCTCAGTTCAAACACTGGTTAAAGCCCAATGTCAAATTGTAACAGGGCAGAAAACAATGAAATTAAATTATTCGAAGTAGATTTTTGGGTTACACCACAATTATTTTATCAATGTGGCCTAACCCAAAAATGTAAATAATAATCATGATGAAAAATAAGAATAGACTTTACCCTTTCTAGGAATAACACAGGTGTAAAGATACCTTTTGCAAGTCATCAAGTCTGCATTAACCACATACTTGTGGCAAAACACACACACATGCTGATAATATATGCATTGTCTTTGAAACTGATTGGCCTACACCAGAAAGGATAAAACCTATTATTATTGTTCATCATTTTATACACTTGCAAAAAGATCCATAAGAATCATAATAATGGCAGTAAAAACCTACTTTTGCATTGCGTCCATTTCACATGCTGTTAAACTTAGGAGGCAATCGTTTCTACTGCAGAACAAAATGTGCGCCACATGGCAGCTGTGAACCACACCTTCTCAATATTGGTCCAGAAGTACTTCACTTCTTTGGCAATGTTGGCAGCGATGCGGCGAAGTTTGGACAGCTCCTCCTTCTTGGCCCTCTCCTCCTTCTGCTTTTGCTCCTCGTGGAAGCGCACCACAGTGCGGGCCAGCTGTGTACAGTTATAGCGTGCCAACACGTCAGTGTGCGTCCCTCTGTCATGCTCAACAGCTCAATCGAGGGTATCATGACTGAAAAAAGTCTGCCAAAAGGCCACTGTGCCAGCTGCTTGTGGGGCAGGACATGGGCATATATGCCTCGTCAACAAGACACCAATATAAACACACACACGGTAGTCAACACAGCATTGTTACCTTTTTAGCGAGCGCACGCTTCCACCGGCGCTCCTGGGCGAAATCCCCCGCCAGCCACTGCATCTCTTCAAGTAGATAGTCTCTGTGAGTCTTGGGTCTGGGTGGCTCAGTTACCCGAGTGAGTTTCTTGAGTGACCACAGGCCGGCCTTCTTGAGGTGTGCCACCCGCTGCTGGATATCTGCTTCCTGTGGCCAGACCATACAGTCAAATAGGCTCTGCACATTGCCAAAGGCAAGACTGCACTTGAAACTAATTAAAGCACATTTTGTTTAAATGCAGGTCTGTCCAGCTGAACGAGCGTTATTCCTACAAGGATTCGCTAAAACAAGCAATTTGAACTCAGACCCTTTTGTTCGCAAACCAAGCAAAATGTTCGCTTATCGAGCAGACGGATCGATAAACATGCATCCCGTGGCAGCTGGGGGCGCACAGTAGCCCCGCAGCTGTTTATGTTGCAACTCTCCTGTCCTGAGTGGACGAGTGTTTGGTCGTGTGGGAGAAGAGGGTCTTGTGGTGGCCCTCTTAATGGGTGGGTGGCGGGAGGTGTCATGTTACGGTTAGCGCACAGTGCTACAAACCCAGCGACCAGAGTTCGATTTCCACTCACGGCAAAGCACCAGTCACGATTATCTGAACCGGCTTCAATTTGTCGTACTCGCATAAAAAAAAGTTGAAGGAAAATTTTGGGGCTCAAACTTAGCTCAGCTTTTACCATGGGAGCGAGTCGATGGGAAAATGATGATCATTAAAGGAGTTTTCACTTAGCGAGCAATTTGCGCGGAGCGTATCTCACTCGTTAAGCGAGACACGTCTGTAAAAAAATGTTTACCTGCATCTCTTTGAGATGGAACATCTCGTTTTCAAGGGTGTCAAGTGACACGTAAATAGGAGTATATTATTATTACTACTACACTTATTTACCTAGGAAAGCCTCACCAATACTTAAGACTGTTTTTCAAAAGAGTCCTGCATAGTATTGGCAGTAGGGGCAATGTTGCTGTGTGTAATCCCAAATGAGTAGGTAATTTTAGCATTGGGATGTTTGGCCAATAACAATTAACATGTATGTTTTTTTTATATTAAGTAAAGCAAGTATTATAAAAGTTGATGCTATTGGCATTAACAATAAAACAACACATTTTTATGACATTTTCGCACCTCCGATTAAGCACGGTTGGCTACGTACGGTGCAAAAGAGGGTTCAACCGACATATACACATTTTAATCAAGAAATATCAGAGCGTGTTTAAGTGCCTCCACTCCACAAGTAAAAACTTCAAAATGAAGCATTCAAAGTTGTCCACAAGCTCTGCCCAGAGACACCGATCAGACCTGCACACCTGCTTTGCCCGCTCAGCGATGTCGTCCTTGCCATCAATGGCGGAGGCGCAAACGGAGGAAATGGAAAGCGATCGCGGCTGCGAAGACGCGTGCCCCCTCGCCCCAGTGCTGTGGCTGCCAGGCAGGGAGGTCTGCAGGTTTCTGCTGACAGGGACACCGGTCGACCCTGCCTCCCAAGTGAGTGAGCAGTGCTGCCGCGTCACCCGCGTTGACCCAGGAGATGAAACCAGCGCGGCAGTTCGGCTGCTACTTCGTAGAGGACCAATGCCTTCTGGAGATGCCTGCAACAAGCAAATGTGCATCCCCATTACTATAAGCGCATGCACCGCTTGCCTTTCTGCTTTTGGAAAATTAAACAATTAAGGCAACATTCATGAACCATTGATTGTGTTACCCACCTGCTTTGCTAACGATGTAGTGTTATGAATAGTTGGTCCTTCTGAATTGCCAGAAGTCAGCACAGCAGCTGCGTGCAAATAAAGAGTAAGCATTTTTATGCATTCGATAGCGGTAATAACCAACACCGACAAGTATGATATGTTTACTACTGGGCAAATTTCAAAAAAACCTCTGCAATGTTTTTCATACACAACAAATAAATATACCGTGTAGAGCTCAAACAGAACAAAAACAAATAGTGAGTAGCTACTCTGCAAAATGGACACAAACCACTTTAGTTACCTGCATGGTGGTGCTGGATACCGACGGCATGGCCACTTGAAGCAGCAATGGTTTCTGAAGAGCCCTCCTAGTGCAAAACAAAACACTTTCAGCCCCGTCTTCTCGACCACAGATTAAGAAATGTATGTGTGGGGGGTTCTTTTGATATACTATTGCATTAACGGATTCTTGAATCTAAAGACCCTCATGAATGTCACGATGGCTGGAGATAACAAGTGTCGCAGGCTATCATTGGCACCGTTGCGAGGAAAGACGACAACCATGCAAGCAAATCCTGCAGTGCTCTAGCCAGCCGGGTGTTGGAATGGTTGACACTTTTAAAGTCACCTTCCTGCTAATTTCGGCTGGCCAAAATCATGACATTGCTCATCTTAATAAGGGCAACAAATCATAGCTGTTGTTCACAGCCATAAATTGGAGGTGACATTCAACTGAAAAAATATCCATTGGTAGACAGACTAAACCCGAGTCTCCTTTTCACAGCACCTTAAGTAAAGCAATTAACATATACCTCTAAAAAAGTTAATGCATACAACTATTAATTTTTATTTTACCAGATAGCGAATTCATTTACTAAACAATGCAAGGTTTTATACGTGGCCACTCACTCAATGGCGTTCCAATACTGAGCTCACCTCTTCCGCGTCATCAAGGCTCTTCTCCTGCAGAAAGAGCTGCAGTGGCTGAGGCGGCGGCTTCTTCAGAAAGATCTGTAGGTCCACCATGTTGCCTCCACGTTGCAAAAAGTATAGCTCGCTCACCTGCTCCCTGTGTGGAGGAAGCTGCGTGTGAGTATTTCCATTTCAGGTCAAACACCAACAAATGGACTGCTTTGGCAGCAGGCATGTAAACCACTCGCTCCGCAATTCTAGCAATTGTTGCGGCTAAACAATGGATATTTTTTTTTGCCGTGTACCTATTTGCTGTACTGTCTTATGCGACGCATTAGCGTAAAGTACAATCAATGTATATTTGTATAGATGAAAAACATTTTATTATTACCAGCACAATAGATTTATAATGTAAATTATATATAATTTTAGTTCATTTGTAGACGTTATATGGCTAAATGGATGTGAACATTAATAAAAAGTGCCCAAAATGAATGGGTTAATTCAGTTATGGGGTGCCCTGGTGTCAGCCTCAACAAACCTACGTATTAAAACAGCTTTAACAAAACACATTATTTCCAGTAAGAGTAAATGTAGCCAATATACAGCTTGGAATGCGTTTCAGATTGCTTTTTTATGTCATATTACACATTGTAATATGTTAATAACAAAAATGAAACCACCGAAAATCATGGCCATTTATGGAGTACTAAATCCTATGCTACAATGGTTATTGTACATTTCTACAAGTGACTGGGACTGCCTGAAATGTGCCTTTTCAGTTCAGTGTGACGTCACAGCTAAACGAGCCACAATTGCTTTGCAGTGCAATTCACTTTTAGAGTCAAAGTCGTGCGACATTCCAACATGCCCATTGGTTCGGGCCTCTCCAAAAAAGCATCATGTGGGATACAGTATATATACGCTTTCACTATGAGGACACACTTGGCCTTTTTCCTGATAAAGCGGTGTAAATGACTAGGATGGTGAATTCTTAACACTGAGGATGCTCTATTCACAACGCATTTATCTGCTTCAGCAATTGAGCAGTTTCATTTGCCTCAAAACTAATTTATTTCCAACTGCTTTTGTGTTTAGTATGTTGTTCTTCTCCCCACACCTCCGATTAGCACAATTGGCTATTGGCTACGTGAGGTGCAAAACAAGTTCAACGTACATACATACAAAACCAAAATGTAGGTGATTAATGCTGTCACTACCTGTGTATCACCCGCAGCTTTTGCATTTCACTCTGGTTATGTTCGCAGATCAGTCCGCTCAGTCGACTCTTCTCTAGAAGTTCGACTGCCTGCTCTATGTTTTTCACATCGCCGGATTCCTCCGGACACACGGAGGAAGAAGTGCTGTGCGGTTCAGAAATGGTCACTGTACTCGTCAGCTGTTCTGAAGTTGGATTATCTTGCTCCATGTCATGTGACACAACGAAATCTTCTTGCAAGCTTCCCAACTCGCCGCTTTCCAGCGTTGTTGGCAAGTCTGCTTTGGTCAAAAAATTCTCGAAGCTGGACAGAGAACACTCCTCCTGCACCACTTCAAGTGAATTCTCTACGACAGTTTCTATTTGGTTTGAGGGACATTCGCTCAGGGAATGTTGTAAACGATAAGCCACTGGCGAGTCCAGGACATGCTCTGCAAAACATGCCTCTGACAACTCATGACCAGTCTCCAGGAGAGCCGCATTGACTTCTGGTGACCGATTCTTTACGCAAGGACTCTGAATGCTCTGCCAGACGTGGGTTTGGAGTTGGGAATCTAATGTTAGTGTTTGGTCAGGTTCGAGAAGTCGCGTGGACAACAGTTCCTCCTTAAACTCTGGACTTGTTCCTGGAATGATGTTTGCATTTTGAGACGCGTCGGAATCTCTGCTCATCCCGGGAATGCCGTGCTGGTCTGTCGAGGTCAACACAGGTCTGTGAACGCCCATGGCTTCTGAAGAATCCTGCTGTGCAGGCTGAGCGCTGTGGACGGCAGCAGGAGGTTGACTGGATATAATCCCATGACCAGTCTGTTTGTTGCTGCTGCTGCCGTCGTTGCTGCTGCTGATGGTTTTCTCCGATCCCGGTCCCGACAGTCTCACATCCAGCTTGTCTTCCTCATGGTACATCATCAGAATGCCACGCCAGTACCTGCCCCTTTCAACAGAACGAGAAGACGGATTGGAATGCTAATGGTTTTTTTTTTTCAGGATGATCAATCCGCTGATCAATAGCATTTACACATGGTGGATAGCATGACTGCAGACGTAATAGATTTTAGTGGTTATATATTTTTACATTTCATTTTAACTATTTGGGTTTCCTAATCTTCAGCAAATGAAGACAGAAATAAAACGCGCTAACGAGCAGTTGTTAACAGTTAAAAACGTTTATGCTAATTCATTCCGTGCGTCTGAATATTCCGAAGGGAATCCGAATTCGCGGTTTCCAACAGCAACGGAGCGATGTTTATCCAGATCCTCACTTCCAGCGAGCACGGCGAAACGACCGATAATCAGTACAAACAAGAACATGACCACGGTACAACACAGAGCACATAATGAAGCAACTCGTTCTGTGCACACAGCCATACAAACGTGCAAGAGTACAGACGTATAGTGGCAGGCGTACAGCAGGCATTCGTACAGAGACATACGTAGAGACATTCGTACACGGAGACCTTCGTACCCAGACATACTTACACGGAAACATCCATACGCATACAAACGGAGACGGAAACATGCGTACAGAGACATTCGTACACAGACATGCGTACAGAGACATGCTTAAACAGAGACATGCTTAAACAGAGACATGCTTAAACAGAGACATTTGTAAACAGAGACGTGTGTAAACGGAGACATGCGTACACAACGAGCGCATAGGCCGCCCCTTCATCCCTGCAATGATGGAAACGCGGGGCGGCACGTGACGCGCCCCACGTGGCCACGGTGCCGGCAACTCGGGGCCCGGCCCGGGGAGCGCGCGCAGGCAGCGCGAGCCTCGCTCTTTGTCTCCTCCCCGCGTCGCGGCCACCGCGGCCCCGTGTGCGGAGGCCCCCCCCTCCCCCAACCTCTTCCCTCCCCGTGTGCCTTGGGACCCCAGGGACGTGGCCACCTTGGTGGCGCATCGAAACAGCCACCAAACAAACCGCGCAGTACGCAAGGCGCCACCGTGACCGCCGACTGGCGAGATGCAAAGTGGCAGTCACCGCATGAACATTCACGGAAATTCCCTCGTGAGCGCCGTCTGCTCCAGACGCCCTCCCCGGGTGGCGCTCATGGTATGGGCGCTGCCGGAGGCTCTGCCATGGCGAATGTTGCACACGCGAATGTTAGATTCGGACCGGGTTAACCTGCGGCGTTTCCCCGTGTTGCGCGAATGACTACAGAAGCGCCGTGTAGACCGAGGTAACAATGTTTGTGCAGCCATTACACAACCATGCTGCCGATGGCTCGTGCGAACAGCGTGGAACCCTTTCTCACGTAAACAGGTAAAGGTGCAAACCTGCAATTAGTTGCTCACGCCACTGCTGGTGAAGAGTGCCTCCAACTAAAGGGAGCTTCTACGGAGCCCCTCCAAATTGTTTTTGGCTTCTTCCAAAGTTGATGAGACGTCATGGGGAGGTGAGAGTACTCACACTTTACCCCACCAAACATGACCCTTACTGATCGAACTTGTAGCCCCTTTGTTTTAATCTCACGTTAACAACGAGGCCGCACTCCAGAAATCCGCATTGACCAGCGTGGTGAAGTATGGTAATGCCTACTCGGAGCCGATTACGTGACGAAGCCTTCGGGCAGCAGTGAATTGACAAAGGGGACTTGCCAATAAAGCTGGCGTTTACATCGTACGAACCTCATAACCCGGTCGTCCTATACCCTGTGGCAAGTCCGCGTTGACCAGATGCTAACCCGTGATATACCAATGTTGTAACCGTATTAACCCCCCCGGTGTTGTTAAACTCGGCGCTAACTCCGTGCTAACCTCATGATAATTCGATGTACACCCGGTGGTTAACTCCATTGTAACCTCGCGTTATAACACACGGTGCCATCCCTACGCTAACCACTACGGCAAAACATACTGATAATCGGGCGCTCGTTTGCACGTTAACCCACTGTAATCGCCGCGTTACCTCGAAGTAATCCCCGCGTTACCTCGAAGTAATCCCCACGTTACCCAAGGTAACGCCACCCCGCCCGGGGCACGATTCATTTTGCGCTGTGAGGACCCCCCCCCCAACACAAATAGTCGTCCGAGCCGCACACGGCTCGAGTGCCAGAAAAAAAATACGGTACCATTTTTTTTAAACCGGTAACAGCCACAACTCCGCGTCAAATTATTCCAGTGCGGAAGAAACGCCGAGAGTAATTCTCAGCGGCGAGACCGAAGCGCTGGGGGAGGGAGGACGCGGGGGGGGTAGAACGACTTCAAATCCGCGCCGAGAAACCCGCGGCCCCGCGCGCCGCCATGTTGGATGGCCTCCACATCCGTTCGCCACTCACCTAACTTTCCTTCACAAATATTTCGATGAAGGGCGCGGCATCCACCCGAATCGCGTCGGCATCCGTGTTCCCCGGAGCCCGATGTAACTTTTCGTATACAGTGAGCCCGCGAAACGCGCGCTCTGCGGGGCGATATTTGCGTGGGAAACATCCGCCGCGGTGAGAGGCCGGGCCGCGAGCGAAATGGCGGCTCTGGTGGGGGAGGAGGAGGCGGTGGGGTACTCGCGTGACGCCACGGCCGCCCGCGTCTCGCGCCGCCTCGCGATTGGCTGAGAGCGCGAGGCGGAGGGGAGCTTGAAACGTGCGCGGCTGGGCCGCTTTGAGCTCCCGCAAGCAGCCAACAACAAACACCACAAACACCACCACTGTAACACCACTGTAACACAACAACAAACACCACCACTGTAACACCACTGTAACACAACAACAAACACCACCACTGTAACACCACTGTAACACAACAACAGACACCACAACACCACCACTGTAACACCACTGTAACACAACAAACACCACAAACACACCACTACTGTAACACCACTGTAACACAACAACACAACAACAAACACCACTACTGTAACACCACTGTAACACAACAACAAACACCACAAACACACCACTGTAACACAACAACAAACACCACTACTGTAACACCACTGTAACACAACAACACAACAAACACCACTACTGTAACACCACTGTAACACAACAAACACCACAAACACCACTACTGTAACACCACTGTAACACAACAACACAACAACAAACACACCACAAACACCACTACTGTAACACCACTGTAACACAACAACAAACACCACAAACACACCACTACTGTAACACCACTGTAACACAACACAACAACAAACACCACTACTGTAACACCACTGTAACACAACAACAAACACCACAAACACCACTACTGTAACACCACTGTAACACAACAACAAACACCACAAACACACCACTGTAACACCACTGTAACACAACAACAAACACCACAAACACACCACTACTGTAACACCACTGTAACACAACAACAAACACACCACTACTGTAACACCACTGTAACACCACTTTAACACAACAACAAACACACCACTACTGTAACACCACTGTAACACAACAACACAACAACAAACACACCACTACTGTAACACGGCACAACAACAAACACCACAAACACACCACTACTGTAACACCACTGTAACACAACAACAAACACACCACTGTAACACCACTGTAACCCAACAACAAACACCACAAACACACCACTACTGTAACACCACTGTAACACAACAACACAACAACAAACACCACTACTGTAACACCACTGTAACACAACAACAAACACCACAAACACACCACTGTAACACAACAACAAACACCACAAACACACCACTACTGTAACACCACTGTAACACAACAACAAACACACCACTACTGTAACACCACTGTAACACGGCACAACAACAAACACCACAAACACACCACTACTGTAACACCACTGTAACACAACAACAAACACACCACTGTAACACCACTGTAACACAACAACAAACACCACAAACACACCACTACTGTAACACCACTGTAACACGACAACACAACAACAAACACCACTACTGTAACACCACTGTAACACAACAACAAACACCACAAACACACCACTACTGTAACACCACTGTAACACAACAACAAACACCACAAACACACCACTGTAACTCCACTGTAACACAACCACACCACCACTGTAACACCACTGTAACAACAACAAACACCACAAACACACCACTGTAACACCACTGTAACACAACAACAAACACCACAAACACACCACTACTGTAACACCACTGTAACACAACAACAAACACCACAAACACACCACTACTGTAACACCACTGTAACACAACAACAAACACCACAAACACATAACTCTAACACCACTGTAACGCAACAACAAACACCACAAACACACCACTGTAACACCACTGTAACACAACAACAAACACCACAAACACACCACTACTGTAACACCACTGTAACACAACAACAAACACCACAAACACACCACTACTGTAACACCACTGTAACACAACAACAAACACCACAAACACACCACTCTAACACCACTCTAACACAACAACAAACACCACAAACACACCACTCTAACACCACTGTAACACAACAACAAACACCACAAACACACCACTACCACCACTACCACACCACTCTAACACGGCACAACAACCCAACAACAAACACCACCACCACTACTACCACACCACTCGTGACTGACAAGAGATGCAACACGAACACCCTAACGGCACAACCCTCATACACCACGCAGACCCCACGCGTTGCCCCTCGGCCTCTCTCTCACAACACTCCACTACACTTCTTAGTCCATGGGCCCCAGACCAACTAACAAAAGATCACTTATTGGTACCACCTGAGGTGGCAAAGTCTAGTCATGGTTTTTGTAATCCTCCAGTGTGTGGGACACGTTCTGATTTGATAACCTTTGCGAAGTGGCAGCTTAGTTGTAGTTACCGTGACTTTTATACCAATACCCTGTGACAGGCGGTCCAGAACGATGAAGTTGACATTATTACTAAAAAACTACCACGACCAAAGCCAGTTAGGTCACAAACTGGTCTTTATTGGTTTAAATATACAATGAAAGCACAGGATAATAAGGATTATCATCGTGAGGTAAATAACTACTTGACTATTATGAACATTGACATTCGCATATACTTAGTCAATGATACATGTAATCCCATATATATCGTTATTGATGGGAATATGTGAAGAAGCTCTGTGTGTACTTAGATGGTGTTAACAAGGGTAACCAAGTCCAGAATGACCACACTGTGCATCAATGTATACTGCTACTACCACAGTAATACCATCGGAATCACCGCCCTGTGTCACTCATCAAACTGCTCGTCTATCTCGTCATCTGACTCCCTGAGTTCGAAGTCAGGTTCTGGATCATCCTGCAGTTGTTGGTTACTGCAGGTCTGTAACCTACACATGTCTGTGCATGGCAGTCCATTTGACAGGCACGTGCAGCTTGGCATTTTGCATGAACGCACACACTTGCATGCCAGCAGTTCCAAGACCACATCTGGTGCGGGTGGGGAGCACATCCAGTAAATGGCCAGCTTGCTTTCATCGTCTGTCAATCCATACCAAGGACGTGCGGTCAGGGGAGGCAGGGGAGGCAGGGGAGGCAGATACTCACCTGTCATAACTCCAATGCAAGTAGCTGTTACGAAACACGTCCCCCCTCAGTGAGGCAGATGTGATAGCTGCCTCCCCTGGTGCTTTTTCATTGCAGTTTCATGAAATAAGTTACCTGGAGTATGGAAGGCGAGGAAATGAAATGAAGGGGTCTACAAACATTATATTGGTGACATACTGAGATAGTAACAGGCACGCGCTTATTGCCCGCGCTCCATCCAGTTACTGAGGGGTTGCGCAATCAGAGGGGAGGCTGAGCTCGTCGCTGCCTCACCTCTCGTCTCTTCCTGCAGTATTTGCAGCGGAGCTCCGCAAATTTGGCGATTTTGACGAAAAAAATATTGGAATCGTACAGAAATTACATTTATAACACAGATCAGTAGAAAAATCTTAATATTCATTAGATTTTTTTTTTACTTTTCGTAACAACTATCTTCATTGGAGTATGACAGGTGAGGCCCTCCCTCTCCTGACCATACGTCCCTGCTGGAGAGTGATGTCTGCACCCCGGTTCAGTCTTTCAGCATTTTTTATGGAAGTCTGTCGGTAGACATAAAAACAACATCAATCCTCTCACTCTATGCCCCTCGTGGAGGACCTGGGTCAAGGCTGACTCTGCCACCTGTGCAAAGGTTTTGATGTTGCCATTCATGTTTTGGACCAGGCTCATCCCATAGATGATGGAAGTAGATGGGGTTGGGATGTCTTCTGCAGGAGACACATTCTTTTCAAGCTCTCTGGCAAGTGCAGCCTTGTTTGTTTTTCGTAGGGACCCATCAGCATTTGCCAGTGCCCATGGCAGTGGGCCCAGTGGGTGGGCAAGGACATCCTTCATATTCTTTGGGTCTTTCGGTAAAGCCACGAAGATAGAAAAAATAATAAAAATATATAAGCACCAATCTATTCATATTCTCCTTTCTGGCTTTCAGCCACCAGGATCATGTGGTTGAACAGGTTTCTATCTGCCTTCAGAACCACATTATGTGCTTTCTTTCCATGTGCTGTTTTTGTGCAGAATTTGCTTGGTCATTTTGTCGTGGATTTTCACAGATGGTGGGTCCTCAGCTAACCTTGTTGGCTTGAATACCTGGTAGACCTCTTCTCCTATCTCAAGAGCTCTCAACTGCTCCCTGGTCACATCAGCTGGAGCCATGGTGCCAGTGGAGAGGCTAACCAGATCTGTCTCATCAGGGGACATAGGATTGATCCAGTTATTCTCCATAAGGTCAATGAGACACTGGACATCTGCTTAATCTCTTTTGATCCTTGGACTCTGTAGATCTGGATGGGACGGTTTGGACCTATCAGGTCTCTTAGCTGTCTGAGGTACATGCTTCTGTACTCAGCTGTTAGGTAATATTTGGTCACTTGACACGTTAAAAAACAAGATTTTCGCCTATTTTTTTATATAATACCACGTAAAATGAAAATGACAAACGATATCAAAAAATCCCTGTGATCATTTCGAGCTATTCCAAGTAGGAAGCAATATCTAGAATTATGTGGCTTTACCTATTATGAAACATGAGTTGTCAAACTCGGCATGCAAAATGTCATTTTGAGAAAATCGCAATGACAGTTTTGGCATTGTGATGCTTGTAGCAATGAGATTTGAGAGTTATACACTGGTGTTCTCCCTCTTATTGCCATGACAGCAAAGTAAATAGTCATATATGGCTAAGCTAGACATCTACTCCAGAGAATAAGCTTTTCAATGATATGCAATTCAACTAGTTTATTTCTT